TTCAAACTTTTCTCTACTGTCAAGTATATGGGTGAAGAAATGCTATATATATTTTGAGTGAGGAGTATTATACAAGCGGCCTATAGCTTTAATTGTATAGTTGACTATAATTCACTGCTTCGAGAACTTTTTCCTTGTTCAACTAAACCTAAACAAACATTGCACTACAGGTATAAATAAGAGCCTTATTAATGTACATGTTCATTTGAATGGTGGCGTCTTTTTAATTGCATTAAAGGTTGGATTTACACTATCAAAGTTTCTGTGATCACAGGAGGAATTTTACACATACTTAGGTGAATTTGAAGGATTTGTAAAAAATGTTTGAGGGAACGCGGACTCAGTGTTAAACACCGAGTCAGTTGCCTCAAATATTTCTTACAAATGCTTCAAAACGTAGAGTTTACCTATGAAAAATTCCTATACTGCGATCTGCGATCACATGCATAAACATTCATTTGATAGTGCAAACCGCGGCCTAAAGGAAGATACAGCCTCTGTAAAACAGTTTTATGTGCAAGGTCTTCTCTCAAACTATATATAGGCCTAAGCAATGTATAAGAACATGATTGTGAAATGAATCTGTGAATACACCTGCATGCATGTATTTAACGGTATTTGTAGATTAACAGTATAATCCATATAGACACGTTTACAAAAGTAACAAGTTATATAAAGCATATATAAACATGCACTATTTATCCTTGACATCTATACTTAAAATTAGGCACTATTTGAAAGAATCTCCCAAGACTGAGATGGTTTATAACATTTTAAACTTTCTATATATCATACACCACTCTACATTTCTACAATTCTATCTTGAACTGATTACCTTTATATATTCTTCAGTAAAACTTTAAACTTCCTCAGGATGTTTTCAGACTTAAGTAAACCAGATTTCCTCTTGCAGCTAGAGTTCACGCCTGTATAATATATCTAGATGTTTCTCTGTATAACAGGCATAAAGGCTTCCTTGATTTAACACAAAGACCTGTTAGCTGAAGTAGTTCTTCCTCAACTCGTGCGTATAGGAAACATGATAGAGGAATATTCAAGAGCCTATGACTAATGACGTTACAAAGGGGAGTGGCTTTCAAAAACAATACAATGTACATGATATTCAGAGCGTCTAAAAACCAGTACCATGCAGCCGACCCATGCAGTTTCAAAAAACATAAGACAAAATATACACCAAAAAATATGATACACCAAACATATGGACGTAAACAAGACTCTATAATGATATATGAAGGTTTTCCACTAAATGCATGTATAAGACTCTTTGTAGTTGATGTGACCAATTAGCTATATGACAGTTTTGAAATCAAATAGAAATATCAACCACGAATTTTAACGGTGTGTTTTTTTTTTCAATTTGATGTGCTGGACAACGTGTATGATTTTCAGAACGTCATCTATATAAGGGGTATCTGAATATGAATACAAGTATCCAGGTTTCTGAGATAACAGAGCATGGCAAGGCATAATTTATCGTGCTGTCAAATTTGGACAAAAAGACCTCTGAAGTCAATTTGCAATGATTTGAAGACAATATATAAACCAGTTCGTAGTATCGAGGTTACATGTAAGATCACATGAATGCCGTATCTCTTTTTCTGTAATCAAACATTGTCGAACTTTTCAAGTCAACAAGAACATGATGGTTTCTCGTCGTAGAAACACAGGATCAATAGGGGGTTGCCCTCCTCTGGGGGAACAGCTGCCTATAAGACAGAACAAATATATAAACCTATATATCCATGCAGTACTGATTCAGTATAATTCGTATCAGTTGGGTTAAAGAACTCTTATACTCACACTACAGCGAAAGCTTTTGGAACTGGAATTTAGAGCAATCTATAGTCCAAACAAAGTTAGGTTTTGTGTAATCATTATAAACAAGATATATATTATCATCATAATAAGACTATGAAATTTAATACATGCAAAATGTCGTAGTTTCAATAAGCTAATATTGAGTAATCATTATCATGAATATGTAAACATTAGCTCAGTGGAAACCTGCATCACAATTTATCATTGTCAATGAGTATACCTTAAGAGTATGCTATATGAAGGAATTTTGATTACAACCTAATTGTTGTTTCTGAAACAGTGTCAGTCCGATATTAAATTATATGGATATTGGATAATTACCAACATTAAGTAAACAGTATAAAATATCTGTGACCATATATATAAAAACCCCTTAGATTTCCTTACTATATCTCTATACTATACTATATTGTATTCAGCTGGCATGTTTTGTATGCAGCAAGGTTCCTTCCTTCTGTAAACCTTCTAGACTACAGCTACAACAATGAACAAACAATTCACTTACGATATTGAGTGGCTCACGAATGATGTACAAACAGTGAACTGATAGTACCCAGTCATACGCAATATACCAAGACTATAGAAAGTATCTCTATACTTTTAATCGGGTTTGCAAGTCCATATTTTTCATCGTAATTAAAAAATTCTGAATTCATATAAAAGATTCCTCGAGTCAATGAATGTATAGACTAAATAACAATATCATTATATATAATTTGTTTTAAAAATACGCGGTTATCCTTCAACGCCTACCATATACATCAAAACAAATACAATGTTGACATTGTTTTACCTCAACTTTCTCACGCCTGTCTCTATTGAGGAATAACAATAGTTGAAATAAAAATAATAGTTTATATATTTACAATAAATTATATAATAAATTTACACTCGATAATTTTCATTTGCAAATTATACCCTTCAACCATTATTCAATCGAGTGAGATGTCAACAAAATTTTGACATTTTGGAATAACAATTACACTACTATATATATTTTCACGTTTGGTTACCCAAGAATCCAACAGCATGTTGGTAAAATCTATATAGAGGCATGAAATTTTATAACCGTCTCAGCCCCTTACAATAACTCATTTTCTATATACTTTGCATATATCCAAGAGTCAGAAACTCATTTATCGCGAAACAACACAAATAGGCCTACTCTGGAACGGTAACTCGCCTAAACTCGCCGCGAGAAAATGCGAGTTAGGCGATTTAAGAAAACTTTGGTCAATTATAAGCAGTGATTTAAGGCGAGTTTAGGTGGTTTAAGGCGAGTTACCATTCCAAAGTAGGCCTATAAATATATAGAACGTACTTCACAATCTAACATTCTTACTATAGAATTTCTTCGAAATTCTCACGGCTATATGTCTTTTCAATAACAATAGGTTTGTTATGATGCTCTCCGAGGGTTACGAAAACGTAAACAAAACCACAAGACATGCTGGGATCGTTTTGGTACACAAGACAAAATTCTAAAACCTAATTAGGAAGACTTTAATTTGAAACGTGTGCCGACTTTCGAGATGGGAAAATTGTAGATACGAGTATATGATCGCCGAGTCAGTTACAGAGATATTCCTAAAGACTCTGTATTATATAAATATATGTACACAAATCACCTATATATGTGCACACAATTCTTCTCTTCCCTTCCTCCGCCTGCCCTCCAAATTTCAGCGGTTAACTTCATACCGCGTATCTTCTAGCGCAATGATTGGAAATAACTGTCATTTATAACTGGAGTGATATATTGAATTTTTCACTCGATTTTTTCATTTAGATCGAAAAGGCACACTTTTGGGCACACTGAAGGACGTGACATAAGTTTAAGAAAACGAAAACCCATATATATAATTCAATTTTTTACAGCTCTATACTTACAGCTATATACTCAGAGTATTTTATTTATTTCTGTATGAAATATACATACAATCACATAAAAATCATGCATAATGTGTTCATGACGTGCAGACGCTTGGCTACCGGTAAAATTAAAGAGTCCTGACTCATTTATTTGCATACGTCAGCGTTATATTTAGTCCAAAGAAAAATTAACGGCTGGCGCGGATTACCAAGACAAAAGGATTAAGAAAATTAAAAATCTAAACGGAACCAACACAAAAAATTCGTTTATTTTACAACTTAAAATTTATTCATAGTGGATATTAGAAATGGCTAGAAATGCAAGTCCCAAAAGCTAATATTTGGCGGTACGTTTATACATCGCAAGGCACTTAAAAAAGGCGCGCAAATCAAACTAGACTTGAAGTTCTACAACGGTTTGAATTTCGTAACACACATATATAAACCTGCTATAGGCATATATACCGAATAGGAGAACGGTTTTGCCGATGAAAATTTTAAGTGTGAATTATTATACAATCAATATTTTATATCACTAATCGGGGACAAAAAGTCTCCTCATATTTGATCGTATCATACAATAACTGTATAATTGTCCGCGATTTATAGCATCGTTCGCAGGCAACTCGCGGTGAAAAACGGAAGAATTGCGAAATATTAGACTATACGAAGAGAAGAAGACTTAGAGTAGCATGCCTGCGGTGGATGCTAAGTCCGGTTAAGGATCCAAAAATTTCCGATATATATAATGATATAAATTCGTATATGAAGTCATATGGAAGAAGTCAAAGCCCTTAAAGAGCAGCAAAGTTTTCGCGAGTGAAATTTAGAATTTCATATGATTGAATACTACTACTAGTGGTTTGTTTCGAAAAAATAAAAAATATCTCGCTCTTCGCTCAGACTGAATTAAGGGAAATTTTCAATTGAGAAAACCCCAGACTGGATTTGATACTTTTCCGGTTTATGGACAGTGTGTTGGCCGATAAAGACTAAAATGCCTTCAAGAGTACAAACGACAGTCTCATTACAAATATCTCGATAAAACTACAGACATTATATATACAATACACAACTTTTGCCTTAAACTGTCGCATGCAACCTGCTTACAACTTGAGTTGTACTGTGTAAATCAAGCACACAACTGTATAAATCAAGCACACAACTGGTCTGCGTTCAATCCAGTAAAACTGCATGAAGTTGTAAGCAGGTTGCATGTGACAGTTTTAGGCAAAAGTTGTGTAGTGAAAATTAACCTTAATATATATCACAATAAAATTGAGCATACCTCACAGCTTGGTACCTTGTATCGGGAAGAATCTCAGTGCTTTCACCGCGTGATCGAACGTGTCGAATGGAAACTCTTCGCGTTCAATGAACTTTATTATGAATAATACGAAGCCAACCAAGCATGCTATACCGCTGTACATAAGTAACGTCAGCCACATCCGGTTGTAACGCTCCAAACTGAATGCAATATATCTGGAATAAAACGAAATAAATTAAGGATGTTGGTTGGACTAGACTTGCTCAAAATCTTCCGCACAAGGGGTCTAAAAATATTCCTGAAAAATATCAGACCAAAATGAAATTTGATCAGAAATTTTTTCGAGTATTTTTTCGATTTCACTTAGACTCCCAGCATCTATTGGTTAAATCCATAGAAATAATATAGACACTAATATTTCTATGGTTAAATCACGCCATGCAATAAATATAATACGGATGACCAGGAACGGTTGCGAAAAATGCATCACTAGAACCTCTAGCAGGATTCGAACCTGTGACCTTGGATTCCGGTACAGCGTTGTACAGCTTGACAAATGGCCTCTGTAGCTCAATTGGTTAGAGTTCAACCAAGTGAAGTGAAAAAAAAAAACATTTTGAAATCTACATCTCGCTCGATCGAACTGAATGTCGACATGGGTTTAATAGGTTTTTGGAAATGTATATCGGTTCCTCCCGGAGGGGCTCCTCTTGTACAATAAGAGCGAACCATAACATATAGGAATTAAAGCAGTTCAAACAGACCTTATACAGAGCTATCCAGTTAAATAAAGTTAAATCTTTAATATAATAATTCGAAAAACAATGGGTCCATTTTGAGGAAAAAATTGCACTTGACTTTGCAACGATATTGGCTGTTTTGCTGGCCATGGGCTTCCGCCCATATGACACTATGAACAATCATTCTGTATAAATTACTGAATGTTACAGTTCAAAACATTGCATATATTTTTGCTTAACGAATTAAATATCGGCGAAAAACTTATAAAGTAGAAAAATCGCGGAATAGCGCAGTCCATTTAAGGCATCCAATATCATACAATTGGTAAAATTTCAGAAATCATTTAACGGTAACTTTATTGTGTGGAAAAATTGCAGTTAATTTTAGATTGATATTGGCTTTCGGTGCCAAGCGCTCGAACAATTAACAACAAGTTGATCTTAAAATAGACACCAAGTGAGGTGTTTATATCCAGCAAAATAATATAATGCGGCTTTGATCTGCAAATAAACAATGTTTCTGCGGGGCAAACAAAACTTTGTCTTCCAAATTGGAGGTCAAAAAGTTAAATGTAGTCTGAAGTTGCCAAATGTCACTCATTCCTGATGCAACTTGGCAAGTACAATATATAAAAGTTTTAAAACGTTTCTTTATATGTTCCGTATGGATTCAGCGAGGCCTACTTGGTGGTATAAAATTTAAGCAAAAACTCATGAACCTTTATGCAATGCGAGTTCGGGCGATTTAAGAGAACTTCGGTCAATATTTGCTTCTAAAAGGATTTGGGGAAAAATAAAACTTTCTCGTGGTCACGTGACCAGTCGTGTAATTGCTATTCATTCCTGAACAGTGTGATAGTGAAAATTATCGAAAATCAAAATTTTCAGAATTCTATTTAAAAACACCACATCGCGTATCTGTGCCGATTAATTGATTACATAGCTCCTTTGCCAAATTTCAGGCTGAATTGGTTCCGATGAATAAGGGTGTCTAAATGGCAAGTTTGAGGCTGTATAAGTTCTTAATCTGCATGTGTGATGGTCATACATACATGTACAATGGAAATACTTATAGCATCATTTGCACACTCTCAAAGCTGTCAGTTATTTTTAAGGTTGGCCACCTTGTGCAACATAGCAACGCTTATATTAAAGGTCACCTATGCGTTTTTGAAAGTTTAAGTGCTGTTTATAAGTAATGTCCAAAAATGAGTCTTTGGCTTTTCCTGATTATTTTCGCGATGACTTAACGCTTGTCTTTGTTGCAGTGTTTCAGTTCTATTTCAGAACCATGAAAAAACTAGTTTCATATATTTATTCTAAATATGAAACCATGCATGTTATATTGCTAAAACTTTGAAACTTTGCCAAGTTAAATATAATTGAATCATTTAAATTATGTGCTGCAGCAAAGTAGAATCTACAATGTGTTCTATGCAAAAAAAAGCTATATATAATTATGAACGGTTTTCACGATTAGCAGGAACACATGCAGTCACAAAATATAAGAACGAAACCCTTATTTGGTAGACAATGAACCTTTCATATGCCAAACAGTGCTTGTATCTGAAGAGTGACCTTTGTTTTTATAGCTGAACAAACACTTCAGTTGTGTTTACATTATTCTTCATTAAAACACAAAGAGTCAAGGGTATATTAATATTATACAGTCGACTTGCAAGACAAGATTGACGAGATTAAGTTAACTTATCCGGCATAATAGCATATACATGTCACTTGATGTCAGGAGCCTGTCATCGATTTTTATAGAGTCAAGTCACTGAGTCTGGTGGACAAAAGCCAATGTCAATGATTGGGATGTTTGTACAAGCGCACCTTATATTAGAGTAGTTAACAGGTCTCGTTTTCAATACGCCCCGAAGTCAAGTCACAAGTCATTTACTCCGCGAGTAGCAAGTCAAGTCAGAGGTCATTACTTCTGTGGTCAAGTTGCAAGTGATTCTCGAGTTCTTTTTACCCGTGACAATATATAGTACCTATTATTCTATATTATACTTTGCAATGAGCTATGTTTTAAACGTTTTAAGCAGCTGCGCTAGTTAGTTTATTAAAGTTGTCATATGCATGTCATGTATAGCCGGTTCATTGCATGTACATCGATGAATTTCCAGTGGTAGAAAATTAACTTTACGAATCTATATGTTTGACTTTCGTTGGTAACGCAAGTCATTTCCTGCAAATCAACGCAAGTCAAGTCGCGAGTCACACGAGCATGCAATACCCTGGGTACGAGGTTGTCTCGAGTCCAAGTCATATGACTCGAGATATGTGACTCGCGAGTCTGGAACTTTGTGACCGAGTCTGATCTCAGTGATATCAGTTCAGTGCATAATATAACTGTTTCTAATTCTCACTCCTATATATACTTATGGTGTTAATCCTTTGGCCTCTTTTCTTACTTCTTATGTACGGCCGCGCCTAATTATAATTTTGCCCTATAGTTGCATGCTCAGTTGTATCATGGATAATAAAATAAATGGATAGGACTCTAGCTGACGTAAGTAAAAACAACCTGGTTGCAATCTGTGACGTCACGCGTATTGCAAAGTTCTCGGCATTTTTGTTGTTTCGCTATACTTTCCGCTTTAAAAGAGTAATTTGAAGCATAAACTGGTGTAATTGTTTTAATTTAAAAACATGCCTAAGCCACGACAAAGTATTCAAGGTAAATGTTTTTCGTCTTTGTTTTGTATTTTTTTTACATTTGTAGCTACGAAATTGGCGTCCCCAATTTTAACGAAATTTGCGATGTATTTTTCACTGTTTAGTGCTTGAAATATTTGCTAAAATTGACAGGGAATACTTAGAGATTTCATCGTAGAATGGCGTAGTCATATTTATTTGCTCTTTGACTAAAATGTTTAGCTGTATTATTGCTAAACATGCCGTTTTTGAGAATTTGGTTTGCAACTAGGTTTCAACATCCAACCACGCCATCAGCCCATTGAAAACATTAGATCACGTCAGTTAGTTTCCTGTCCATTTATTTTATTATCCATGGTTGTACGAGAGAAGTTCTGCATGTCAATTTGACTGTATATGAATTCAGTTATGAAATAATACTATGTACTGATCGATGTATACATTACGAAATGGTTCCATGCATAAAGGGATAATCTCGACGGAAATTTCGAGTGGAATTTTTATACATTTTTTAGACCTAACCAGAAGTTGTGAAATCGACCCTCTGGCAGGAATCCAACCTGCGGCCCTGCGATTCCGGTACAGCGCTCTAACCAAGTGAGTTACAGAAAGACAGTTGTCGAGCTCTAACCACAAGTTCATGTATAAATACGGAGGTGATGCCAATGTAAGGTGTATGAGTATAAAGCCTCGTTTACACTACGCTCAATTTTTGGTACGGCACGGATAAAATTGGTACCCGTACCACTTTTTTGGTTCTTGGACTACCTATTTAGCTAAGCCCCGTTTACACTACGCTCAATTTTTGGTACCTTACCACTTTTTGGTTCTTTAATTGGACTACCTATTTAGGTAGTCCAAGAACCAAAAAAGTGGTATGGGTACCAATTTTATCCTTGCCGTACCAAAAATTGCGCGTAGTGTAAACGGGGCTTAAGTATCAGCCTATCAGGGTTTTGGGCAGCTTACTCAACTAATGGGTGATTCCAGCTATACACTAAATTTTGATCAAGGCAAGAAAAACGAAATCCAACACCACAGCTAGAAAGAGCATCTTAGAATGAGTAATGGTTAAAGATTGGTGGCTAATTGTTATAAAATGAAGAAAATATAGCCCTGTGAAGTTCGCAAATTTTCTATATAGCCTATTTGTATTATGCGCGGTAAAAATACTGAACCACTTTCGCAACCAAACTTTGCAATTTTATTCATTTTAAGATGCTCTTTCTAGCTGTGGTAATGGGATTTCGTTCTTCTTGCCTAGATCAAAATTTCGTCTATAGCGCTGGAATCATCCATTGTTCAAGGGATTTGTCGATGGAAATTTCCAGTGGAATTTTTATATATGTAAATAATACTAATGTGATGATGTATATCACGACATGGTTGCCATGGGCAATGACTTGGCACCAGCATTCATGTTTGCGTGTCGTTAATGTATCCTGTTGACGTTCAGGTGGTTGAGAATCTTTTCCGCCGGGGAAAGGAAACTCTTCAGAAAAGGAAACTCTTCACGAATGGAAACGAACAAGAAAGGCAATATATATACGAGTCATAAAATAATGTGTCCAATTTCATTAACGAGAATGACCATCTATACATTAAGGACCCTTAATTTAAGCTTGCATCCATCCTAGCATTTCTGTCGGTGATTTTTCTCCTCCTGGCAGATGTGATTGAATGAATGACATGCAAAAGACTGAGAATTGTTTACTTCTGAAAAGCGACTCTATACTTTTGTGTGCGAGTTCACTCATTTGCATCCGTCAGAAACACAAATCGCCGACAAAATTGCTAGTGTGAACCATGCTTTACGTTCAATAAGAGATGGCCTTTACTACAGGACATCTGATTCTGCAAAATTTTTAAAAAGTTTAAGATTGAGCTATTCAGATGAAAGAAAATCAGTTTATTCTCATTTTTAGACAACCAATATCGTACAAAGTGTGTGCTCTGTTGGGGGTTCACAATTTTTGTATCGGGTTTTGCTATATTTGTATATAGTTACCTTTTCAATGTTTTGGCTATATGACAACTAGACATTTCTTTGGTGGTTAATAATGATACAGCTAGATTCACAACTGTTTCAATATATTTAATTGTTACACGTGGGTGTTTGGTGCGACGCATCTCGTTCTTTTTAAAAATTTCGGCGCCAAAACGGACAAACAAATTTCCCGAAATGGTATTAAAGTGGCGGAGATTTGTGGCCAATTTAATTAGAGACAGTAATCTCTGAAACATAATAGTTTGGGGTAGATTCACATAGGCGTACGGAAGGAAAAAGACTATAGGGAGACCTTGCCCGACCTTGAGCGAAATTGCCCGAATTATTACAAAAATATTTTTTGGGGAGGGGGTGATGGGTAGGGTGGGGTTTAATAAGCGCCGTGCTTCCTTTTCATCATTTGCCAATTTTTAAGTATAGCATCATGCCCCGTTTTCTAGCATAGTCTGCCCGATTTTTAAGTATAATCTGCCCGACTACATCTATGGAGATTCATTAGATAAATAATTCTCCGATCATTTTATCAAATGTTGGGGGATTAAAGGCACAGGGTTAGCGCTAATCCAGCTTTGAAAAAAGGAATTTATGGTCGTGCTATAACACAAGTTTCAGAAAGAACCGTTGGAATAATTGAAGAGTTTAATTGGAAAGAACTTTCCAGTGCAAATGTCTCTCCATGCAAGTCCATTTCTGCGGATCTGTTATCCCGGGGAATCTTGAAAGCTGATAAGAGCAAAATTAAATATGCATGCATGTCTTTGGACGACTAGAAAGCCTGGCTTACACTATCAAAGTTTCTGTGATCACAGCAGGAAGTTTTGAAGGAATTGTAAGAAATCTTTGAGGAAACTGACTCACTGTTTAGCACTAATTCATTTCCCTCAAACATTTCTTACAAATACTTCAAAACCTAGAATTTACCTGTGCAAAATTCCTACTGTAATCACAGCAACTTTGACAGTATGGACCAGGCTTAAGACTATAAATGTCTATGGACAGGATCCATTGAACTCAATAAGACTGGAACGTGCATCTAATGAATCTTCTTCAAGCTTCTTTCGAATACTTAATAAAGACTATTGTCTGATAATTAGTCACATGTCTGAGCCATTTCAAGTACTTTGTTTGTTATTTTTGGCGGTTGATTTTGAAAACGCATGAAACACCTACGCTTGTATCAATTAAATATATTGAAACAGTCTCCAATCATGCCACATCATTGAAACCACCCGCAAAGAAATGCCTTATACTGTCATTATCCAAAACATTGAAAAATACTTACAAAACAACTGAACAGAGAGCGCACTTATAATGATATTGGCTTCCCAAAGCTACGACCTTTATTCAAATTGATAGCTCTACCAATTTCAAACTTTTCTGGCCATGTTATTACAGGAGGAAACCGGAGAACACGGACAAAACGTTTGTGTTTGGAAGAGACGTGCGCATATTGCAAGAACCAAGCTTCGGTCGTAGAGCAACAATCGACAACAAAATTCATGGACTGATTAGGCTGAAACGCGACCTCGTTCCCAGGGCTTCTTCCCTTTTCGGCTGAAACGGTAACATAGCCTCCCTTCCCATGCATGTGAAGGAACGTTTACCTGACTTGCATTCTAGTGTGAATGTCTTCTTTTGATGTATATGAACAAGTAGAGGGTTATGAATATTATGAGTACATGTACCCTCAACCCAACATTCATAACTCATCCACTCGTTTACATGCATCAAAAGAAGAAAATCGCATCTAAAATCGCAGGAAAAATGCAAGTGTAAACGAACCTTGCATTGAGACTAAAATTTAGATTCTTTCCGAGATGGTTTTGTATTCTATTGCGTTTCGACAACTCTCCCAGCGAAAATCTCTTTGAAACGTGGGAGGGGAGTTTTACATGTGAATTTGCGCAATTTTTTACAAAAATAACCTTGAGATCTAAGTGTCCCACCTTCCAATGTCACCGTGTAGAAGCACATGACTAAATTCTCAACGCAAATCATTAACGCTAAGTCCTTATATTATACCAAATAAGTAAACCAAGTACTTATAACAAAGAAAACTTTAATGGTATCCTTAGTTCGACATAGCAAATTATATTTTGGCAAAGAGTCGATATGATGCAAAATCAGGAATATCGAGCAAGTAACGTATATAGCCTTCCTTCTCCATGCATGTTCAATGTTGTGAGACTAATGATATTTATATTCTCTCTGAGGTGGCTTTGTATTATATTGCACGAGTTGTCGATAACTGCCCCAGCAAACAATAAAACATTGACAGGAGAGGGGAGAGGAGTTTTACATGTGAATTTGCGCAATTTTTACAAAAATAACCTTGAGATCTAACTCATCTAAGTGTCCCACCTTCCAATGTCACCGTGTAGAAGCACATGACTAAATTCTCAAAGCAAATCATTAACGCTAAGTCCTTATATTATACCAAATAAGTAAACTAAGTACTTATAACAAAGAAAACTTTAATGGTATCCTTAGTTCGACATAGCAAATTATATTTTGGCAAAGAGTCAATATGTTGCAAAATCAGGAATCGTGCAAAATTCGTGGACCGATTATCCTAAAATGGTAACCGGTATATAGCTTCCCTTTTCCATGTTCAATGTTGTGAGATTAGCATCTATATTTCTCTCTGAGGTAGTATTGCGTTGTCGATAACTCTCCCAGCAAACAATAAAACATTGAAACGGGAGAAGGGAACTGTTTTACATGCATGTAAATTTGCGCAATTATTCACAAAAATAACCTTGAGATCTAAGTGTCCCACCTTTCAATGTCACTGTGTATAGAAGCACATGACTGATCTTTGAGGCACCAACACTCCAATTCCAAAGTCAAAGCCAATTAACACTAAGTCCTTATACCAAATAAGTAAACCAAGTACTTATAACAAAGAAAACTTTAATCGTGTCCTTAGTGCTATACACAGCAAATTTTATTTTGGCAAAGAGTCAGTATGTTGTAAAATCTTGTTTACCATGATAAGGATTATCAGGAAAACTTTGCCAAAATATTACAGCCCAGACAACTATTTTAAATAGAAGCATGCATAAACGATTTTTCTAAGCCTCCCTTCGCTGCTTCTTGGAACATCTTCAGTGCAATTTAAGGTTATTCTATTCTATAACGGCTTCTACATGCAACGGTATTAACGGTTAGAAAATTCAAATTTGAATAAGCCAATAAGTTTATATTGATCTGAAGATGTTGCAAGAAGCAACGAAACATAAGCTTGAATAAACTAAATGGCTTATGGCTCTTTTATAAAATAGTTGTTTATTTATTTATTTAACTTTATTTTATTTATTTTGCCACAATAGATATACACATATATATACACACACACTTAACTGACTTAAAAACTAAACAAGACAGAAAACAAGTCAATGAATACTTCGTGGCCAGTGCCCACAACAGCTTGTGAATGTGAAGTCAATTACTGTGGTCCCGATAAGTGAGAGAATACATGCAATAACTACAACATGACGTGGAGATCCTATATAAGTCTGCGTGCTGAATTGCACTTCATGAGACACACAGATTTCCAAGTCCTTGGATCATCCGAATCGAAAATTGTTTGAGATGCTATGTTGTCTGGGCTATAATATTTTTAAACAAAACTTCGTTTTCTATCCGGAATATATTGATTGCTACAGTTTTTATCAGGAATGCTTTTAACACATGATATCGATCTTCTCCACCCACGGGCCCTTGCTCTAGAATTTGGGAAGATTTTTTAACCTTCAGACTAAATTGTTGTTGCGCACTTCAAGAACCAAACGTTTTATGTATATATAAAGCATATAAGTGAGTGTGGGTGTCGGGGTGTGATAATCATCCTTACTTGCAGCTGCATGACAGCCAAGCTGAATTACGAAGGTCGCAGCTCAACTTCATCAGACTCGAAGGCTTTCTAAGGGCGCCTCTGGCAGCCACCTTTTAGACCCATTGCACATGACGTCACAGCGCCGGTGACGATGCATCTGGAGGACAAATTAGCAATCTATGCACAATATAACTTTTGTAAACAAAGCAAATTTTGTAAAACTTTATAATAATTTTGTACTAAAACGGTTAATTTTTGCGCTGTGTGTGTTTGTTGTACCCGAACAGATATTAGAGAGTTTGAGCAAGAGAACGAAGTCGGACGACGACGATGTGGTTGACAATTTTTGCCTGTCTTGCACATTATCATGCGCATTCTGAGTTTAGGGTCAGGAGTGAAGACAGATTAGAGATTCATGTCTAGCTGTTTGTGAATGCTGACTCAAATCCTTACCCTGATCAGAATAAAACAGCGAGACATGAATCCATCCCGTCTTCTTTCTTCTGCCTTCGTTCACAACGAATATTTTGGCAAAGTTCGTTGTGAACTTCGTTCTGGACGAAGGCAGAAGGACAAAGACGGGATATAGTTTCATGTCTCGTTGTTCCCTTCTGGATCAGGGCAAGAATTATGGTCAGTATTCATAAACAGCGACACATGGGAAGACACGTTGAGCAACTATCAGTGACGTCCAACTCAGTATGTGCAAGATAATGTGCAGGCGGCAAAAATTGTCAAGTATGCCTTCGTCTTGGTACTTCGTTGTCTTGCTCAAACTCTCTATTAGTATTGTAATATCATGTTTGCGTGAATTTCTATTGTTCTATTGTGCTGTATTAGTAACTAATTCACTCGCCTACTCAAATGTACAGGTCGTATTAGAACTAATACGACCTCAGTTGACGTCACTACGGGTCGTATTAGTATTACCATATCACCTGGAAAGTTTGAGCAAAATTATCACAAAATTATGCACTGAAAAACACACAAACGTTTAATTGTTATCATTATCAGTGTCTGAACACTGATTTGGGTGAAATTCACGCAAAAATAATATTACAAAGTAATATCATGAAATGAGGAGTATTAGTCATTAAACCACCCGCTCGACTCGGGTCATTTATTAAAATTAACCCTCGTCGAGCGGGTGGTTTAATGAATAATACTCCTCATTTCATGATATTACTTATAATTAGGGAGCATCTGGAGGACACTCTAAGGATCAGTGCAATGGGTCTATATGATTCATGTCTGATCATGGAGCACAGCGGTGGAAGAGTCAGTTATGGGCTAACCCCAACCCATGCACCATATCAACATTGTCTGTGGGAGGAAACCAGAGTACTCGAAGAAAACCCACAACCTTCAGTAGAGCGTCGACTGACTCTTTTCACATAAGTGACATGAGTCCACAGGGAACCCACGATCTCAGAGGCGAAAGGCGCTTGCCTAGCTGACGATTGCGCCACTGAATTCCCATGCATTGTTTGATTTCGAGGAAGACTTAACAAAGCCTCGTCAAGAGTCTTCCTTTCTCCGGAAAGATTCTCAACAATTTGAACGTCAACAGGATATATTAACGAGAAACCTACACGAGTGCTGAATCACGGTCATGCAAACTATTGCGTGATATACAATCACGTCATGTTAATCATAATTAGTGTTGACGCATAATGAATTAACATAAGTAAATGATAAGCACAATAATACATATTAATTAGTATAAGAGTGATTAGTCATCAAAAAGTCAATTTGCTTCTTGGCCAAATTGCTGTTATATTCATTACACGTGTATGAATATACCAGTTCACATCTGCCAAACTGACATTACGTCTTTTTCTGAATTTCATAAAAAATTCCATCGCTCATTTAAATCTACTTAATTTGTAGTCTATAAAGAGCTCTCGGCAATTAAATTTCATTAAGACTCTACTTTTTCTCATAATGATTCGTAAACTAACAGTGATTAGTAGATCATGTTTAATTAGTATAAATATTGGAGGTATGAAGAAGTCTTTAATGTTTTTGGATTCGTTCTTAAGTAAGCTTTATTCGAGTATAATTGGCTTCCAAATGTGATCGACCAGAAAATCGCACTTTCAGGGCCTCTCGGCCAAGCGCGACCTTCGCAAGCCCAGGGATACACGAAACCGGAAGTGCAAGAAACCGTGCAGTATTTTCTAAAGCGCATACTCTTGAATTGGGACGCTTTAGCACCCGTAACAATTTTCACAGAGAACAACCTCGTTCCCAGGGGCTTTTTTGAAAATGCGCAAATTTTCAAAAGGCCCTGGAAACGAGGTTGCACAGAGAAGTATTACGAAGTATTTGTGTTGACATGTTTTGATAGAATAATTTTGCCTAGCGAAAACTGCTCAACTTCTGCGAAATAGCAGTTCTCTGAGAGGCCAATCATATCTCTCCCTTTAGTCGTCTAACCCAGAGCCTAATTTTCAACGAGTGACCGAGTGAAAATGGCTCTGGGGACGAGAATGGGTAGTACCCACCTTAATTATGGCTTGCCTCTGCTGGCCCCCCCCCCCCTCCCGCAGTTCGGCGGGTCAGGTGACACAGTAGGGAGTTTAAGATCTTCACGACGAACTACCGACTACGCTTGAAATACTTTTTGTTGTATGTATGCAAATACTAAATGCTTGTCATAACAAGTTTATCCCAAATATGTTTTATGTGCATGGCTTTGTGTTCGGCAAGTTTCATATTTTAATGTTCATCATTTCTTTATAAAAATACTCTCCAACCTGCAACGTTGCGTAGTCAGTTTTGGTGCAATGTTCTTGATTGTGTTTTACAACACAAGAATGTGATTTTTATGCTGTAGCCAAGGTCGCTACGGTGAAAAGTATGCTCTGGGGATATGTAAATTTTGTCTGCCTTTGTTAAAGCAATGCGAAAACAAGCCTTCAACCGTACTCCGTACCCGTTGTTCGTTGTCGGGATCTTAAACTCCCTAGTATTTAAAAAGTCGGAACATGTAGATAATGTACTACAATTTGATCGGATTACATAGATTGAACTTACCTGTCATTGCAGCGAACCAGAAATTCGTCGCTAACATCATTATTAATATCACCAAGTACCAAAGGCTGAGTTGGAACACAGGGCAGAGAATGCGTCGATAATATATTGCCATCCACCAATGAAATAACTATCAGCTCATGTGATCCAAGGATGATCACACCATCCTAAAGTACAGAGAATACAGATAGAGTTGTTAGGGGCGGACCATTAAATATCCTGCAAAATGCATTTTATTAGAGAGGTTCAGATTTGACTTCCACTACCGTTAACGGACATTGACAATTGATCAATCAGATGCGCTTGATCTACCAGATTAACCAATCAGATGCGCTTGATCTACCAGATTAACCAATCAGATGCGCTTGATCTACCAGATTAACCAATCAGATGCCCACTGAGTACGGTAGTCAAATCAGTCAGAATTTGGACCCTGTTTTAGAGAATACACAAACCTGTGTTCCATCTAAAGACAATGAAATTGCTTTCATACTTGGCGTGAAGCTGTCAGTTTCGAACCACGTTAAACGAGTATCCACCTATTAAAAGTCGAAGAAGACGTCAAAACGAGAACGTCATTATCAGAGCAGGCGAGAGGTTGCGCTGGACCCGGGGCAAACCTTTCCCAGGGGTCCCTATGACATCAAAATTGTAAAACAGAAGAAGCGATGTTTTACAATATATTGCACTTTATTGCATATTCTCCGGCACTGACAGAACTAGGATTCATATTTTCTCGCGCAAGCAACCCTGTATCAAGAAGATGTAAGGGACTTCGTCGCTTTGGGGGCCCAGGGCAAAGTGCCCCCCCCCCCCTCTTGGCGGCGCTGGTTATTATAGTTGTAGGGTCACGTAAGTATCTACATCAACGGTTTTCAACTGGTTTTCTCATGTGTCCCCGATTTCACATGATTGAATTACCACGTCCCCTGAACAGAAATTGCCCACTGAAGTCTATCAAAAACACGAATTTCGAAATAGTAAAATAGTAAATGATTTAAATTTTAAATAATAGATAGAAAGTCAAGCAAACATGTTTATAGTACAAACTATTGTATTCAACTATTGTATTCAACTATTGTTTTCTCAGTCCTAGACCAGTTTGTGTCCCCTAGGAATTTGCCAAATGTCCCCTCTCGGGGACATGTCCCCCAAGTTGAAAACCGTTGATCTACATATTAAAATGAATCTAAGTGGATTTATGAACATCCTTGTGCGTTTGTTCCATGGCCAGATTTTGAGGGGAGGTGTGCACATCCCATGAGAGTTTTTGCACCTCCTCTGAAGTCACGCAACCCCCTTTTGAAAAAGGTCAAATGATAAATCAAGTCAAAATTTCACTCAAACTTAACAGCTATCTTTAATGTTTGTTAATAAAATTTTAGAATACACTTTCTAACGACGTTTTTCTAAAAAATTGAAAAAGTGATAATTATTCGTCTCCGTGTTAATTATTCTCTTAATGCAAAATTTCGAAAGAAACTTTGTAGTATTGTTACGAGGGCAGAAATTGTATGCGTTGTATAGTATTAAGGTACGGTATAATTAGCTCGGTCAGAAACAGTAAATTAAGTGTTATTATTGTTGTTATAAAATAAGTGCTGTTTTCTGCTGGCCGAGGAACGAGATAAGCAGAAAATATTTTCTGCACAGACCACTGGGGCCTGTTTAATATGCGGGTGCGTCCACCATTGCTACACCCGCACACCTTGCCCTACACCCGCATAGCCTGTCCTACACCCGCCACACTGCCCTGTTTTAAGATTTCAATATTAATGACTGGAAACGAAATGGACAAACGATTGAACTTTGCCATTTGTTAGATTTATTGTTAGATAGAGTGTACGAGGTTGCAGCAACCAATGCAAAGCTGTATATTATTGATTAAAAGTTAAGCAATGATAGCGGATGGCTGCAGCGTCATTCTAGCTAACACCCTTATATATTAAAGCCATGCGTCTTGTAACATTCAATCGATAAGAAAAATTCTCTTCTATTTTCCAAAGAACTTCAATTTAAGATTTCACATCTTTTTTCATATATGATCATTTCTTGTCGTCTTTGACCCAGTGAAATACGCGACGCTCTTCTTTGTACTACTTTGTTTTGATACGACCAGCTTTGATATCTTTATTGTTTTTACACCTGCTCTGAAGATGTTCCAATATTAAAGTTCCTTAGAGTTTGTACATCTTCAGAAGACTTGAAGATAAGGAGTTTCTGCAACAATGTCTATACTAGTTGACCTTGCGTCTAAGAATTCGATTTCTCCAGAAGAGAATGATGCAATTGAAAGTGCAATTCATTGGCGCTATGGTAGATGACCAAAGTCGAAATGTCGTCCAAAATTTTCCACTTCGTGTAACATATGAGGCGCCGAACTTGAGCACACTGTATACAATAAGTGGACTGGTGCAAACAACAAAACACGCAATAACCCATATGCAAGTAGAGTTTCTCTTCAGGCCAATGGTACCGTCACCAGGTGTAGCTCGCCTTTTCTTCTTAGCGACCACAAACATTTTGTAGTTCATGAAAAACATCATACCCAAAAAAAGAGCAATACTTATTGCCGTGGCTATGTATATCTCATTCCTAATGTACGAGACACGACGCAGTATTGGTATAAAGGGAACTATTAGTTGTATCATGATCATAAATTTGAGAATCCGTCCTTTGGTTACCCTGGCTTGATAAAAGAAAGGATGCACTATAGCAATATATCGGTCGATGTTCATTGATAATAATACACACAGCTCTAATTGCTGTAAAATTATGTGGAGTTCTCTCATAATCTCCCCTGTTTGTGACGCAGTGTAGTTTTCAAAAGCCCAGGCGATTGATAACAGTATTACCGTTGGATGCGCAACTATGATCACAAGTACATCGAAATAGGAAAGCACAAGTATCATAAAATGACAAGTTCCTCTGCGAAGTTTCGGAGATTTCCACAAGCTGACGATAACTCCTGAATTGAGCAATATTCCAGCAAATGTGAAGAAACCATTTACAACGCATAAAGATATTACATTTATTAACATGTACAACTCCATTTTGTGTTTATGAATTATGACTGCCTAATGTAAACTGCTTCCGACAATGAGATATAAAAAGATATGGCTGGAAAACATTAATAAATTTATGTGGCTACGTTTTATAAATAAATAAATATTAAATTGCCATCTGTTTGTCCATGCAGTATAGCGTGTGCGTTTTAAGCACGATAAGGGGCTCAAAGATGCGATTTCATCTTGATATACATATAATCTTATAACCAACATATATATCTTATAGCAAATATATTTATCAAATAGATACGATTTTGCCGTTGTCAGTTCATATATATATAGTGTATAGATACACGATATCATTGCCGCCGGTTTATATAATAAAAAGAAAAACCCCGAATTAAATTAGGTAAATAGCTTACTTTTTATCCGCCCAAACATTTTGAAATTTGAAAAAGTCGAAATTTTACAAATATCACGCGTGTATGATCTATACAAATAAGAGAATGCTATTGGCTACCTTAAGTTACGTCACGTGTGACGTAATTCCGTGCGTTTGTCCTCTTATAGATCATGGCTCTCGACCAATGAAAGCTAGCGCTTGAATTATTAACGTTACTATATAAAATCTTATAGCCAACATATAATCTAAAAGCCAACATTTCAAAAACTCAATAATTCATGAGGAAAACACAAAGAGAAATCATAGCGTGGCGTGTCTTAAAATGTGATAAAACACGCTTCAAATTTCAACTTCTATTTTCTCAGCTAATACAAAGTTATTTTGGAAAATTATTTCGCCAATGCCGTGATCTAACTGAGACGTTTTTGAAGCTGTTTGATAAACTCGTAGTTCGTGTTTTATCACATATAAAACACTCCGCTACGCGTCGTGTTTTATATGTGATAAAACACTCCTACTCGTTTATTAAACAGTACATAATCTTATAGCCAACATATAATCTTATAGCCAACATATAATCTTATAGCCAACATATAATCTTATAGCCAACATATAATCTTATAGCCAACATATAATCTTATAGCCAACATATAATCTTATAGCAAACATATAATCTTATAGCAAACATATAAGGGGCGGACCATTAGAAAAGTGATGGGGGAGGGGCATCAAAGCAAAAATCGAGCAGGGGAAACAGAAAAAAATTCGTGCACCAGAAAAGTTTGAAAAAAAATTCGTGCAGAGACTTTTCAATAGGGAAAATTATAAGTTGACAGGGCCTATCAGAGGTACAGTGTAAGGGTGGCCCCCAAATTTGGAAAATAAAAGAAAAATAATTTGGAACGTTTTTTGATATAAGTAATGGTGTGAGAAAAATTTTCTAAACCTAAATTTTTTTTGACCCCTTTTTTTATGTCCTGGAAAACATTTCCAACAATTTTTGGAAAAAATATAAAATTTGACCGAGGGATTATTAAAAAAAAAATCGACACAAGCAAAAAATTTTGAAAAAATAATCGTACACGTTGGAAATGGACCCCCCCCCCATCACTTTTCTAATGGTCCGTATCTAATCTCATAGCAAACATATAATCTTATAGCAAGCGTAGGTAGTGCCAAGAATACGAACAAGCTTTCGTTGGTAGGAATACAACTACCTGAAAAATATAAAGAGAATTTCGACGTTTCCAGATGAACGGCCTTCGCTCGAAACGTCGAAATTCTCTTTATATTTTCATGTACAGTCGAACCTCTATTAAGCGGCCACCCTCGGGGATCGGCTTTGTGGCCGCTTAATCGAGGTGGCTGCTAAATAGAGGTACGCAAATAATGGACCCTGTGCGTAGTCAAATCTTTTGAAGTGTAGAGCTTTTGAGATGTAAAGTGGCATGTGTTAAAACTTAATTTTTAAGCCTTATTTTACAAATAAAGCAAATTAGCTCGACTTTTATTTTCGGTTCTCGTGACAAGGCGTTGCGCCAAGTAAATCCTGCAGGCTGGCCGCTTAATTTTTCAGGCCTTAAAATATCGGTCGGTCACGGACATTGTCCGACCCATTCGTGAAATTGTCCGACGTAGAAAGGAAACCACCGGACATTCTGTCCGACCTAAGTGAAACTGAGGTTTATTGTTTGTCCGATCCGAGTGTATTGGTGTCCGACCGAACTGTAGCTTTGTCCGACGTAAATCAAAATGTTAAATGGAAAATCAGAATACTATTGTATAAAAGGTGAACTGGAAATGTTGTTTTAATGTAGTCGAGCGCGTGGCGGCGAGCGAAATGGTGAAGTGGAAAACGGGCTTAAGTTGTCGAAGTCTTTTTGATACTGCTGTTCTGGAAAGCAAGTTAATTTTGGCTTGGAAATAAGTATGAAAGAAACAAATTATCTTTACAACATTTACCGTTTATTCATTTGTGTCATTCAGACTTATTTCCGAGTCAAAACTGAACTGAAGGTCATCGGACATATGTCCGACCCAAACTCAACATCACCGGACATTTTGTCAGACGGCCCTGGAAAAGATATTTTAAGGCCTGATTTTTAGTTAATAGAGGTAAATATTGACATAAAACATCATTCGGGCCCGCTCTTTGGGTGGCCGCGGCCGCTTAATAGAGGTGGCCGTTTAATAGAGGGATATAGTTTATAGTATTTGTATTACAAAAATTTCGGGACTTCAATATGTGGCCGTTTAATAGAGGGTGGCCGCTTAATTAATGGAGGGCCGCCTAATAGAGGTTCGACTGTCGTTGCATCCCTGCCAACAAAAGCTTGTTCATCTTAAAGATGTGTCGATTGTGTCGTTTAGCAAGAGAGAAGCGAGACGCCAGCTGTCGCCAGCGTTTCACAGCTCTTGTCGAAAAGACCGTAGCTAACAAGGGTATGTGAGGTGTATAACACACCTCCCCCCATTCAAAATTTTCTCGAGGAAGCATTCCCCCTATCCCCGCGGTAGATTTTTTGCTCGTATCCATTATCACTGGAGAAAATAAGGAAAATCCATACTACAATTCCCATACTGTATTCATAGTGCATGAAAATTGCAATTAGTACGGAAATAGGATTTCCCTACTATTTCCAGTGTGTGCTAATGGAGAGTTTTCATGGCAACCGAAAACGACAACGGCAAAAAACAAAGTTACATAAGCCCCGTTTACACTACGCTCAATTTTTGGTACGGACTTGGACTACCTATTTAGGTAGTCCAAGAACCAAAAAAGTGGTACGGTACCAAAAATCGTAGTGTAAACGGGGCTTTATATTTTTGTATGTAAGTCAAAGCATACATTACAAAACTTTACTGGCCTCTTCAAAGTACTTATGATTACGTCTGTATGGTCATGTAATTTGACCCCTACATCCCCTCCCCCACCCCCACCAACAAAGTCCTCGCAACGTCCCTGTTTGCCAGCGAGTTTTAATTTAGAAACGCCAAGTTTTTCGAAATTTAATTAAAGCGGAACAGTCTTGATAATTGATATAAACTTTTTAAAAAGCCATCTGGCATCTTGTAATATTGTGTCAAACTTAAAATGGAAAATCGATATTGTTCTAGCTTTTAAAAGGCCTACAGTCCGTATACACGAACATCTTATAAATTCCTCAATACCACAAAACTGATATATATGTCGACAAATTCGTATATAGGTTATATATAAGAATTTAATATTATTTCCAGAAAGCCATTACTCATTATAGGATAATTAGACGTCAAAATGAGGATAATTTGCATATAAAATATACTTCAACATCTCAGAAAGAACGAAAGAAACAAGTGAAAACATCAGCAGCAGTGTTTTATCAGATATAAAGATACGAGGCGAAGCCGAGTATCTTTAGGTCTCATAAAACACGCACTGCGAATGTTTCAAATTGCTTCAAAAACGATCAATCTAGTAAGTTCATTGGCGAAGTAATTTTCAAAAAATACGTTGCCTAAGTCGAGAAAATGAAAGTTAAAGTTTATGTAAATCAAGGGAAATCTCTATCACATATAAAGATACGACACGCTTATGATTTGTGTTTTCATCATAGGATTATAATGAAAACCTAGCGTCTTCTTTGCAGATGAAAACGCATAAAAAACTTCCCGCTGATTGTTTCAATATTTTTACCGAGCCACGAAGATTCCACGCGGGGGCCGCATGAATGACGTCTGATCTAAATAAATCGTGTTTCTCTTAAAGAGAGTGAAATTTTTGTCAAATCATGAATTCATATTCTCACCTGCCACAGAAATCGCCCAGATGGTTCATACGCAGAGAGTTTTCCAGATGACGTCAGCACAACGGTATCCATGCCAACGTGATGACGTGACAAACCATGGCCAAGCACGTGATGTAAGATCCCAGATGAACGTTTAACAGTTCTTGTTAGCAATGGGGGAAGACTTTTGATGTTTTCGTTATCAGATAAGGTGGCATCGCCTGTGAAAACAAATTGGGGTGGTTGTATTGAACGGTCTCAATAAGCACTATTCTTCAACAGAAATTTCAAAAATGTCAACACTACAATAAAGTAAATGTCTCAATAAGTTATTTGCAGGTTTGCATGGCGATAAAACATATAATATTTTCGTTAAAAGGTTTGAATCTAGGTTCATTCATTTTTTGTTTGTTTTATTTTTCTTCTAGATTATTACAAAATTAAATAAGTTTTGTCTGACGTTTCGGTTTCCTATACGAAAACCATTTTCGAACGTTCAAGTCTTCGAAAATGGTTTTCGTATAGGAAACCGAAACGTCAGACAAAACTTATTTAATTTTGTAATAATCTAGAAGAACAATAAAACAAACAAAAAATATATAATATTTTGTTTGTGGAAACACCACGTAAATCTATTACTGCAAAGCTTTCGATCCGTAAGCCCGGATCTTCATCAGTGCTAATAATATCAGATTGAAAGCTTTGCAGTAATAAATTTACATGGTGTTTCCACAAACAAAATATTATACATCTCTCAAGTCGACCTATTGACCTCTAAATACAAGAGTACTACTGTACATATGTACAATATCACATAAAGTGAAAAGTATTTACATTATTCTCTCACATACCAAATATCTATAGACCTCTTAATTGACTCACCCGTTTCCTACTTTGCAAAAGCAACAAATCGCCCCTTACCATTTAAATGTTGATGATCATATAAAATGGCGAAATGCTGATGTAAAATCCAACATGGGGGTGAGAATAAAAACCAAAATATTTGTATGATTCATGGTGTGAATTCTTTACTTTACTATACTTCGTGCCCACATAATTTAATCCCTCATTTTGAGAAAAGTCAGGGAGACTCAGGACTGTTATGCACCTTGTGATGGTACCTTGGGATTGGCAAAAGCCAAATATGCATGGATTATACCTTTTAACAATCCCTTCAAACACTCATTAATAATTCATAAGCTTATTGGCAAATCATGTCAACCACAATATGTCACGTGCAGGGGCTTTAAACCTGATAAAACACTCCTAATTAGTATCCTATCTATTGTATAGTCGTGCCCTCATTGTATTCTTTGATAAAGAATACTAATAAGGCAGTATTTCTATTGAATTTGTAGTCGTCATGTTTTGTTAGGTCTAAAGCCACATAATCTATCGCCATTCCCAATTATATTCTCCTGGGATATAGCTTGACTGATAACTGTGTCACAATCTCCACACTTGAAACAAGCTTTAATGAATTAAACTCACCTAAAAAATCCTCGTCTCGTGAAGAATGACATACTGAATTATTAAACAATATCGACGATGTTACCAGAGCATCTGATGCCACGAGAAAACATTCTGACTTCGAATTCTCTTGATAAACAAGTAACTTCACCAAATCAATGCTTTCATCACCATTAACATCAGCGAGCGTTGAATGCTTAGCGTCTAAAGGTAAGAAGCAAAGCGGACTGCCTTTATTCAAGTTAAGGACCTCAATTCCATGGCTACGCCGTATTACAACCGAATTTAAATCTTGGATCTCCTTTTCAGGTAACCTAGTAATTCCAGTTTTTGCCAAAGTCATTAATTGTTCAGCCATGGTCCCCTCAGTATTTCTGGAAGGTTTCGAAACCGATCTTGTGAATTCTCCCAATGATATACTTGTGTCTCTGTGGTCAGACCAAGAATATGGAAGGTGGTTTAGAAAGGATTGGCTGTATTTTTTCCAATGAACTTCGCCGCGGTGCAAGGATTTCTTTTTAAGACGAAGTTTAAAATGAAGTGACTCTTGTTCCTAAATATAGATAATAAAAATGTGTTTCTGTCAATAATTTTATATCACAGTCAGGGTGTTAGCTACAGTCAAATATTCTGCGTTAAACGCGGTTTTCCCAATTACCTTGAGGTCGCAATTTCCCAATTTGGGTCAGCCAAAAAATAGTTATAGAAATTCATTGTTGTTAATACGCCATTAAAAACATGTTTATAACTACATTTGCTCAAAATTACTCCCAAAATGCGGGAAATGCCATTTCAAAGACACAAAAATTTTAAAAATCGAGAGGGGGCAACCGCATGCATGCCCCCAGACCCACAAAGAAATGCCCGGCTTCAGGCTAAAATAAATTTCCCAATTTCAGGTAAACGCGGATTTTTTTTACTTCTGGCTAACACCCTGGCAGTCTAAGGATAATTTAGCACAGTATATAAATGCTTTCGATAATCATGCAATGAAGGCGCATTTAACATATAATAATACTGTAAGTATCTATCTCAAACTCATTAATAATTCATGAGTAAATTAGCCAAACATATTGCTTTATTTTGCTCACATGATAATACTGGATACCTGATGAAGTACATTGATCCAGTCTTAGGAATCCAGTCAAAATTAATTAAGTAGTGATTTATTCGTATGAGATGTCATTTCAAATCCTCCAATTCGGACTGGATTAGATTTTAATTCCTCGTATTTTAATCCAGTCCTCGGCTTCGCCTCAGACATGAGCGAGCTTAAGATCTACAACGCGGACTTACGACGCGGACGTCGCATTAAACAAGTTTTATTTTAAAACGATGGCAAATACCATTAAAATATTTTTATCACAGTAAATAAAATGAAATTATACTGGAAAAAATGTACAACATAACAGAGCCTAGCAATATATTAAGAAGATATGTTTTATCATAAGTTTTTACGACTTCTATGACGACGAATCTTTGCAAATATCACGTCGTCTCGGATGGTAGTTTTGGCGGGAAAATGTGCATTCGTAACAATAGTCTATAAAGCCTGGTTTCTATCATATCGTATGGCTGTTAACGTGTCATAACAGTGTCACAAATCTCGCAGAAGTAAACTGTGACAACTCTGACTAGGCTCACACTCGAAAACTAGGATTCGGTAAGCACGTCCGCGTCACAAATTCGCGTTGTAGATCTTAAGCTCCCTATGATCAAGTTGCGCGGACGTGAAATCTAGTCCAGTCCTCGTAGTCGGATTTGAAATATTACATAAAAGACATTCGACGTAGGGTACATTTGAGAGAAACGTTTCCAGTTTGACTTTATCAAAGGCATACAGTACGTTCTCCCACGTTTCCGCCTGTAGTAAACTGGGTGACCCTTAAGGTTCGTTTACACTTTTAGATGCGATTTTCTTCTCCTGATGGATGTGAACGAGTGGATGAGTTAGGAATGTTTAGATGAGGGCATTGAAATGAATATAATACTCAGAGCATTCATAACTTATTTACTCGTTCACATACACCAGAAGACGATAATCGCACTGGAAATCGCAACAAAACTTGCAAGTGTAAACGAGCCTTTACTGAACTACAGTGGCGTGCAAATAGATGATAAGGCTATGTTTACATTGTATCGGATCAGTTTTTGTTTCGTTCGCGAAAAGTTACGGCCCAAGTGTAAACAGCTTCCGCCCCGCCCATCTATGCCGTCGTATTTTCTTCTATATATTATTAGAATAGTAAGTTGTTGTTTGCCAGATTCCATCTTGAGTCACGCATTGAACCGAAATTGCTCCGATTGGTGTTTACATTACAATGAGAGCGTTGCAAAAACCGATCCGATACACCGCGCACCACTTCGAAGAGCGAACCGCCGCACCACCGGTCCGTTGCAGAAATTGAGACGATAACAACATTTCATATGTAAACAGAAGCCCTATCCGGTATGGTTTTTGCGTCGGACGCAACGTGATCCGATACAATGTAAACATAGCCAAAGTCGCCGATGAGAGTAGTCTGTATTCGCTGGCTATTACAGTACTGAATCTCTAGAGAGAATATTACGTGCGACAAAACTTAAAATTCGTTAAGCTTTTTTAGATCAATTAGCCTTGCTCACGCCGCCATTTTTAGGCGGCTTTTCTGAGCCGAAGTCTGTGAGATAAGTCCACATAACAGCGACTTTTTATAATTTTTTGGACGGATGATGGTAAATTTGCTTCGTAAATGGTTAGTTTATTTTGAAAAATTGCTTTTCACATTGTTTTAATTGCATGGCTGCATTGGTTAACGGGAATTAGATGCCACCCAAAAATGGCGGATATTCGTCATAGTGACAAAGGCTAATTGAAGATAAATATTACCATTAGTGTACGTTAACCCATTAAGTTGCGTTGCATCCCAATGCGCCCTGATTATTATATTGCTCTGTCTAACGCCAGACGATTTTACTCGTCAAGGGGAGAGTGCTGACGCTCAGTGGGTTAAATCTCACCTCATTATGCTCTAATTTCGTTTCAAAATCTCCAGGTTCATGTTTCCATCTGGTCTCTCCCGTACCACCATCCAAAGCATAACTGGTAAAATGACCAACATATTTTGCCAACGCCTACAGAATTTTGATCACAAAAATTAATCAAACAAAATATGAAAGGATATACATTGTATTATCCCATAGCATATCACATAACACAACACAATACCACCACACACTACACCATATACCACCACACTACACCATACCATACCTCACTATACCATACCATACCATACCATACCATACCATAACATAACATGACTTGACTTGAACTACAGTATATCATAAATCACACCATACAATTGCATACCATGCCAAACTACAGTATATCATAAATCACACCATACAATTGCATACCATGCCAAACTACAGTATATCATAAGTCACACTATACACTACCGCACCATACCATAACATACCACACATGACAAGAAGATCCCATACTATTTAACACCATGACATATTATACCATACCGCACCATTATACAATACCATAGCACACTACTGTACGTCCCCATTCCACACTACATATACCAATCACATCATGCACACCATAAAATTAAGCATCGCTCAAACGAGGATGAGAGTTGATGAGATCATCTCTCATTAACTTTGAACTGGTTCAAATTTTAATGCCAGTTTTCGACATGCACTAGTAGTCAACTCTCATGCAACTCTTGTTCTCGTTTGACCGGGACATGAGATTTGAGAAAACTCTCATACAAACTCTCGCTTCTCAACTCTCATCAACTCTTGTTCTCTTTGATCGGGACATGAGATTTGAGAAAGCGTCATGCAAACTCTCGCTTCTCAACTCTCATGCAGCTCTGCTTCTCGTTTGACCGAGGCATGAGAGTTGAGAAAATTCTCAAAGAAAACTACCACTTATCAACTCTCATCAACTCTCATTCTCGTTCGACCACGGCTTTACAAATGGTGCATTCAATATTCTATGACTTACAGGATCAAGATGGTGAGAGAATGCGTGGCCATTTTCTTTCTCAAGCTCAACCCCAGCTCGTTCACGGCTGATTTCTTCCGCTGTTTTATTCACTTCAGGTCGTCGAGAATGATCATGTCTTGAAATTTCATATACAATAATTATCATGTGTTGAAACAGTGCTGGAAAATGTCCGACAGCACCAGCAGCACCGCTGCCAGGAAATTTAAAAACAAATTCTCTTTGCCAGAAATTTTCTTACATCTTGCAGGAAATGTTTTTCATCTTATACTCTGGAATGCCATATAATTTACTTATTATTTTTTCTGTGTTGGTGTAATGTACTCAGGTGAATATGATGTTTGTGATGTTACTCTGAGTGTATATCCACACCGGGCAAGCTTGAAAAATATGCCTGGCCACGGTGGGAATCGAACCTACGACCTTTGGAATACTAGCCCAATGCTCTGCCAACTGAGCTACGCGGTCAGGTCGGTTCGAGTATGTGATATTTCGGAACTGAGTCTAGTTCCTTCGATATCAATGCAATCTAGTAATCATGATCTTTTTCTGTGTTGGTGTTATGTACTTCTAACTTTTTCAGCAGCTGTTTCTTGTTTGGACTTTTCTTCTTGTGTACATGCAAACACACTGGTGACGATGCACCATTGCTAGAACATGCTTCTGCACCTTCTGCACCAAGCCTTCTCGGTGTGGATATACACTCAGAGTAACATCATGCAAACATAATTTACTTATTGTTTAAAAATTCCAAAAGTATTTTGCAAGTCGAGACTATCTTGTGCCGAGATTGAACTAGTTGATTGCAATGTGCGGGACCTTTTATATTTATGTATACCTATACATCAGGGTGTTAGCCAGAAGAAAAAAGTTTTGCCCGTTAAACGTAAATTGGGAAAGTTTTTTTGATCGATCAAAGTCCTTGTGTAGGAATAAATAGTGTTTTTCCAACGCGTTTCTCCTTAGATGCAAACAACGGCAGCTTGGTTTTGTACATTTCATTTCCGGTGAATGAACACTGAAAAATGCACCCGATGGCACTTCGTTTTGTATATTTCATTTCCGGTGAATGAACATGGATGCACACCGATTACACTTTGTTTTGTAATTTGTACATTTCATGTCAGTGAATACACACCCAATATGAATGAAACGCGATACATTTTGAGAAAATAGTTAATGGGAAAAAGTAAATAAAACGTTCTTTGATATAATAATAAAAAATCAAATGCAAATGCACTTTCTCATCAGAAAAACTTCCAGTAGACCCAAATGGGAAATCCCCTTGGGAAGAGTCCGTCAAACGGACAGTATATGGGCTAGCTAACACTCTCTACATATGCAGGAGTTTTTATATTTGACTTACTTAAGCCCGTTCTCCACTAGGCGAATTTTTTCGCGCGACGCGAAGCAAAAACAAATCTTGGCAATGTGATTGGTCAGCGAAAAACTTCGCCGCGAAAAAGTTGGATCAGTTCCTACTTTTTTACTGTTCGCGCGAATAAATTCGCCTAGTGGAGAACGGGCTTTACACAGGAAATTTTTATTTTTGGATTTTGCTGCTAGGAAAAGAGAGATATTTTCTACGCCTGTGTTGAAACATGTGGAATATTCACAAGCTGAGTGCATCATCGTCTCGGCGTAATGCAGGGTATCTGATGAGCCTCAACAACAGATGTTTCCCACAACTTTATATACATAAATTATGCGCTGGTGTTAATTCGGTGGATGCCAACTTTTTCAGCTGAATGCTTGCGTGTGGTTGCGTATGTAACTTGACATTTTGGAAATAGTCTGGTACTTACTCTCTAGTAGAGTCAGAAGTTTTATGGTCTTTGAGGTTGAGAACACCACCAACTATAACCAAACCATTCTCTCCAAAAACGCTTTTATTACCAGCCGCAATAAGAACACTCATTTCGCTGCGTAAAAGATTTTTAAAATAGATCATCATTTTGATTAAAGGGAGCTAGATTTATCAGGGTTCATACATCACACCACAGATACATGTGGACAGGGGCCACAGGGCCGAAAGAAAAAAGTTATTCTGTAGACACTGTAGTATGGTCTTACGTGATTTTCAATTTTGGTTCAAATGTTATGTTCATGGGTTTTGATCTCCAAAGGATTTTCAACTGATGTGATAGTAATGTAACAGTCCAATCACTCCAAACAATAGCCAATACCTAGTAATTATATAAAAGTGAGATTAAATCCCTATTATAACGTATTAATAAAATAAAATGTGTAAGATTACTTCTTTTGAGTTAAGTGTCTGCAAAAAACCTTCGCTCACCGTGAAACATAAATCACAAATTTAATTAATTTGCAAACTTAAACTACTGTAGCTTAATTTCCCACTTTCTCCCACTAACTGTTGATTTTTGTTGGACTACTTTTGTTACAATTAATGTCTGTGAAGTTACGTGTTAATACAAAGACATATTGCTGTGTAAATGAGAATAATTTTGGCAAGACTGCAAAGTATTTTTACCAGTATTGAGAACTGAATGTCAAAAGAGAACATGTATGTACATGTATACCTGTGAACAGATCTCATGATTTGATGTACTAATGCAGCCAGAATTCATTGCAACAGGATAGACTGTTACTGCATCATCTCTGCTGTGTATTTGACTAAAACTGAGCTCACCCTAAAAATCAGTACACAGCTCAATTGTATATAAAAAAGTATCTACAGTACAACATTCTGAAGCTACAATACACTAGTGAACAGTCCAGGGACTCTCTTTAAAATTGGGAGGAAAGCCAATGGGGGGCGGGGGGGGGGGGGCTATCATGGGAAGGTCCAAATTGAGGGGATGTCCAGTCTATCATAGTCCGGTGCCTTATTACACACAAATATAAAGTTAAATAATGCACCCAACGTGACTGAAAATTGTAAGTTAAAATTACTCAAATTTATGAGCAATTTGTTGAGTAATGATTTTTTACTCAATATTTTGAGTCAACATGGATGCATTATTTAATCAAATTTTTTAGTCAAATTTTTTTACAGTGTATGTTCAGTGACCTACTGGCAAAGTTAACCATTAAGTTGCATTGCACCCCTAGAGTGCAAGTTTCCCCTTTATTAAGCAGTTTGCTTAAAACCCATCAACTGATGATGATATACCCTTCTGTTTATGTACCATATATCTACAAATTCTGCATATTATACATTTCACTAGAATCCTTAGCTTGAGACATTTGATAACAAACTACATGTTGCTAGTTTCAACAAAAACAAAAATAAAAACCTTTTGATGTAAATGGTACAACACGGAACTAGTTGGTGTGTCATCTTTCGCTCTTTCATGAATGTCATGTTCATCATCAAATTCATTGGCATGGAAGGAAAATATTTCAATCTTGTTTTCTGAGGCAATCAACAATTCTATATATAATAGTACATAGACATAAATGTGTTCTGCTTAATAGGTTAAGAACATGCATTGCATATATATTGGTAGTTGGTAAACTTCTAAATGTACAAGCTAGGATCTTTGGCAAGCAAAATTGTCTGAAACTGTACAAAAGTAGATGTTTATTTAGTTTGATTGATTATTCAAACCATGAGGCAGGGCTCGAATTTTATTGCGGCAATTGCCGTAGAGGGAGAACAAAATGCCATGGATCATTGCAGCAACAACAGCAATTTTTATACTATTCACTGTGCATTACTAGTTTGATACTTGAATTCAGATGTTGATCAAATCATGCATAATCACTATTTTAGTGTCAGTTTTCTTAACAAAAAACCAACTAAAGAAATACGTAGACATGTTTCTAGCTTGTCATAAATCAAAAGTAACAATAAAATTAAAGTTTTATTACAGTAATTTGAAAAATGCTGTGGAAACTGTCAGGATTGCCGTAGACAGCTGTTACGTTCTACGGCAATTTTTAACGCCATTGCCGTCGATTGATTTCAGGGAAATTCAAGGCCTGCCATGAGGAATTAACTTATAGAGAAACTGTATATACCTTTTAAACTATTTCCATCTAAATCTGTGATTAAAGGTTGAACCCTACATATGAAAGAAAGTCATGATCATGGTGACATCATGATACTGTATATGACTGTGATTATGACCATATGACCGGCAAACTTCTCAAGATATTCAAAATCATCAGTAAGTAGTTGTATAGGGTATATATAGGTAAAATTCAACATTTTTATGTCTTGGTACATATTTAACCTATTAAAAAACCTGGGCTGATAGAAAAAGGTGCGCATGAAGAATTCAATGTTTTTGGAGGTGTTATATTCCTAATATATAAAAAAATATCACAGAGACATGCACATTATCAATATTTCAGACTTTCGGGTTCTAACTTGGTACCGGTAGTTTCATGATACACAATGAATGCATTTTAGCAAACCATGCAAATATCATAAAAATATTTATCTTCATCGTTGGATTTGTACCACCTCCAGAGTTCAATAAAATTCTGAAAACTTTGTATGGATCCCTGACCACCTCACACATGGCGATAATTATTGGTACCAGTCGGGTATGGCTACCAAAAAACCTAGAATTATCACACCCCATTAATGCTGACAGGAAGTAAAATCTTACTGGGTCCCTTGATCACCAGAATTTCGCTTCAGTTGCCATATTGGATTTAACTCGAAGCCATCTGGAATACGAAATAAGTACATTGCAATGATGGAGCTGAGAATGACAACCACATCAATTGGACGGACAAGTTTGATAACTCTGAGGACAAGCTCCTTCTTTGCTAGGTGGCTGTCAGATTCCATTGTGTATTAACTGAAAGACATGGGTGTGTGGTTGAAAATTTCATGTTTAGCTGAAGAGATGGGTGTGTGAAAACTTTCAGGGGATATGACAGGGGTGCTGGAGCAACAGGGGCAGCTGCTCCCATTGCACAAACAGTGTGGGGGTAGCAAGTTGCTTTTTTTACAAGAATTACAGTCATAAATAGGGTACTTTACACTTTACCATACCGCAAGTATTTGATGGCGTATGTATTCAGTGATTACTCCGGTACGGTAAAGTGTAAAATTTCCTATAAATATTGTCATTGATAGTTACTTCTCTCAAGTAGTGCCTACCCGTGGATATTGTATGATTGGGGTGAACCCCCCCACCCCACCCCCCGCCATCCACCCCCTCCCCTGTGCAACTGCAGGAATGTTAGAGATTTTGAAACACTTTTAATATTTGCACCTTTACATGTAACCATGTAACAAATTATACGTTCTAAAAAAACATGACCTTTGGACTTTATGTAAAACACTTTTCAAATTTCAATACCTTATTTTTGATACTATTTCTCAGTTTTTCTGCCAAAGAATACTTGTATAAGGAAAAGGAAAACCTTTCGAAACAGGTAAACAACTCATTCTTCTTGTCCAGTTGAAATTCAGCGCTCAATTGCTCAATTAATATCTTATTTCATGAAAATTGGAACAAAATTGGCCACCATATTGAATTTAAACGCGCCTGAGTCTGGGATCTAGATACCGTTGCTCAGCGATCTTAGCCAATCAAAACGTCTGAAGTTCAGGATTCTGATTGGTTGTTAGGAGTCATTCGCACGAAGTTTGAACTCCAAGCAAACGGGTTCTTTATTCTGTTTATATTGCAGCGTTTTGTATATATGAAATTTGTTGTGTTTCTTTCAAAGTAATTCTGTTGAATCTTGATATTTTTGTTGCTCATTTGAAGAGCTTAGACAGCGAAAAATGGAAAAACCTATCGACCCGACTTACGAGTTCATTGAAGCTCCGCGATTTATGAATTTCCTCGATGTGCTGGATGACCAAGATGCCCAAGCTGACTCATGGTTTGGTAAGTTTGAAATTTTAAACGTTACAGAAAGAAAATGTTTTATTTTAGCGATCGCTGACCTAACTTTGCTTTTTTAGATGGCAGGCCTGACGATGAAGGAGGAATACCGATATCCATCGACGCAGACGAAGAAGAATTGCGGAAAAACAACAGCGATTCGCAACGATCGAAGAGGAAAAATATTATTAATGCTATGTTTAATATAGCCGAACAAGAAGACCCTATAGCCCCAGCATGTGAACCCAAACAAACCCCAACTACAACAGAAAATACGGAAACTGGTGTAGAAGCCACAAATGCGAACGAAGAAGGTCAAATTCAGGCCAAAATTAAAGTAGAAAATGTTAAACCAGAAGAATTTAAATGTGAAACAAAGCATGTCACAGAATCTGATCAGAAAGTCGTTTGTGATGGGGCGCAAAATGACACCGAGCCTAATTCAATCGATGCATCCGAAAATGAAGCATGTAAAGTAGAAGAACAGAATAAAAATGAAATACAACCAGAAGAAAGAAATGTTCAACAGGCTAACAGTGACGGACACATTGAAACTGCAGAGAAAAGTGCGGTTGTAGAGACTAAAAACTCAGACGGTGAGACAGCTGAGAGCGATGCGGAGAGTCAAAAGGAATGCCAAACGAATAGCAGCGAAAATAGCGACACTACGGAAGAAGAAGGCCAGAAAGATAAGCTGAGTAAACAGGAAAGAAGGTATATAAACTAAGCATAGTGTTGATGCTCTAGCTGCAGCTGCTTGAAAATGAATATTAGAGCTGAGAGTAGAACTTTCAAGCAGAATGGTAGCTAGCCTTCTCTTCTTCAAATTCGGGCAAATTTGTTGCAAAATTCAATGCATAATTTAGGGATTTAATTTTGGGCTGTGAGCAGGCTAAACGGTAGCCTGCAAGAGCAAAACTGGGCACACTTGCACAGTGGATATATGGGGGCTGTAGGGGGTTCTCGTGGGGGGTGGGGGAGATGTTGATGTTTTGTGCAAAAGTAATTAGTACTGTAATTAGAATTTAATCTCTTCAGCCCAACTTCAGCTAATTTTCATGAGACTTTCAGAACACCAAAAAATTATCATAATGGTACATTAGAAATTTCAATATATTAATTGGTATAAGTATAATGAGTATATATAACTAAAAGACTCATGTCAATATATCAATAGTGGATTCAGTACCATAATACTATATTGGTACACTGAACAGGCCTTTTATTAACCTTTTAAGTGGCAATGTGCTCTGATGCACTCTACTTTAAGCCGGTTTTCCACTAAGCGGAATTTTGCGTGAGGAGCGGAATTTTTCTTTGTCTTGTGATTTCTCGGGTGGAACTAATTAGAAAAGACAAAGAAAGATTCCACTCCGCGCGCAAAATTCCGCCTAGTGGAAAACAGGCTTAAGAATGTTTTTCAAGGAGAAGTTGCTGCCACTTACAAAAATGATCTTACTTATGAAAGTGTTCCATACGATCGTTGTATTTCAATGTGATAACCTTTAACAGGGTAACAAGAGCATCGAAGAGAAGAAATAGATCACTTAACTCATCTGGCACAGGTGATGTTCCCAACAAGAAGAAAAAGCAGAACAGAGTTTCAAGTGGAAGCACACAAAGTAGAAGGTCAAGGTCAATAAATGGTAACCATCCTGTCACTGTTCCAGTTACACCAGAATGTCTGAAGTAAGTTGATACTGAGTCAAATTCTACTTTTGGTTGATGATATTTAGTGTACAGCCGATGCAACACTGATCTCAAGAATATAACTGGATGGAGATTTGATAGAACTGGATGGAACTTTTTTCCGCATGATTTAAGGCTTTTAGGCTGACTTCAGAGATTCTCCAATTAGCAAATTGCCTGCTGCAGGGGCCAAATAGAAGCACAAGTTTTGACAAAAATCAATGCAACTACATATAGCAGGAATTGAACCTGTATGTAGCCAAAATGTAATAGGGCATTTCTTAACTGGCGTCTGAATGTCGTGGTTTTAACTTGAATTTCCCAATCCATTAAATGCCAAATGTTTTATTCTTCTATGACTGTATGTGTATATAGCACCATATATGAAACATTTGACTGAAACCTGCCTATTCGAATTTTACACTGTCTTAAGGCCCTGATCAAACACAGGATATTGAAGAGAGTTTTCTCAACTCTCATGCAGGGCTCGAATTTAATCGCGGCGAATGCCGTAGAGGGAGAACAAAATGCCGTGGATCATTGCGGCAACTTGTTTGACCAAGCCCAAGGCTTATTGTCGATTTCAAGTCGCTTTTCAACGCTTGGACGTGGTTCCCAAGTTCGTTTCAAACTTGCCAAATACGTTCCCAAGTTCAAAAATTGGGCGTGAACTTTGCAACAATGTTCGGAAGTACATTTCAGTGTTTGAACTATTGTAAACAAATGTTCATAGTTCAAGTTGAAGGAAAGTTCTTGGTCCAGTGGGCTACGAAGAAGGTTTGTATTTCACTGAATTGGTTATTATTTATATTGAGTATGAACATTTTGTTGCGAAGTTCGCGCCCAATTTCCAAACTTGGAAACGTAATTGGCAAGTTTGCAACGAACTTGGGAACCGCACGTTGAAATTGAAAAGTGACTTGAAATCGACAATAATGCAAATTGTATCTAACTTTAATAGGCGTCAGAAGACGAACAAACCCTCGATGATCAAGTTAAAAACGACGGAAGAGCTGGAAATGGAATGTATTGCAAAACTTCGCAAACAAACCAAACGTCACATCAAGGTGAACGAAAACTTAATGAAGAAAGCCATTTCATGTCCAGCGGTGAACGCAGTGCGCGCGAATGGCACGAGTCTGACACGGCCGCAGGAGTTTCATTTCCAGACTGACAGACGTGTCAAACAGCATCCGATGACAACACGAGCTGATCAACAACCGGATCTCAATGGTGAGGATATCGAACAGGAATTCAAGAACAGTTTACGACAGCATCCACCATCACCAGTAAGGAAAATGTTACTTGACGTACGTAATTTAATTAATATGTGTGGTATTTAGATTTTAGACTAATAAAAAATGAAAACCCATTTCATGTTATACGCGCGAACAATGATATCCAGCACCGAAACATACATAATACTTCCACAGGCTAGATTTTACAAAAAAAAAACACGAGAAAGAAATCGATCTAGAATATCAGGGGCTCGAAATGTCACGTCCAGTGAATAACCTTGACTTAGGTAGCCTCGTACCCAGGCGCTTATAAGGAAATTCGCGCCAAGCAAGCACTTCATTGTTATATATAGTTCAGCGGTTAAGCTCAGCGAGCGTGTAACCCTAACCGAGTCCTCCCCAAGCACCATCCGCGTTAACTGCTGAACTATATATACTGTAACACTGAAGTGCTTGCTTAGCGCGATTTTCCTTATAAGCGTCTGGGTACCAGCACATGTATGCATGCATGCCTACCACGAATAGCCTTTAACCTTAAACATAATCTCCATAAGATAAATAATGACATTCCTGTAATGTTAAATGGTCAACCAATTCCTAGGGTAACCTCAATACCTTGTTTGGGCGCCACCCTTGATGAAACGTTGAGTTGGGATGAGCATATTGACGTAATTTGCAGAAAGGTTGCAGCAGGTATTGGAACGTTAAGGCGCATAAAGCCATTCGTTCCTGTAAACATGCTGCAATCAATCTACAGCGCTTTGATACAACCCTACTTCGATTATTGTTCTCCCCTTTGGGACACTTGTAACAAAACATTAAAAGACAAATTGCAGAAGTTTCAAAATCGAGCAGCTAGAATAATAGCTGGTGCTGGTTATGAGATCAGGTCTGCTGACCTTCTTCAATCTCTTGAATGGGACAATTTAGAATCTGGAAGAAAATTAACTAAGGCAACTCTTGTCTATAAAATTCTAAACGACCATAGTTCGCCGAACTTGAAAGAGTTTTTGATAAAAAGGAATATTTCGCAAACGACTTACGATCTCAGAAATGCTCAGAATGATCTGGCCGTTCCTAAGCCAAGACGCGACTTTCTGAAAAAGAGTTTTCGATATAGTGGTGCTAAACTATGGAATGATCTTCCTGGTGAAGCTAAGGAAGCCCTATCAATACGTTCTTTTAAAAATATTGTAAGGCAAAGTAACTAACCTAATATTAATTTAAATGGATTATTACAGACATATTTATATGGCCAAATCACACCAAACCACCAACTTCTTTTTAAACCATTCTAATTAATTACTATATATATTGCATGTATTTGTACTTATATTTGTCCTATTTGTAAATAGTTTTTGTAAATTTTCAAATGTCGACGCCCCTTGTGGAAATCAACTCTATTTGTTGACAAGGCTAGCGTCTTTAAATAAATTTTTACATACATACATACATACATACCTTGCAGCTGGCTTGTTAGATCAGAATTGTCAAGCTGAAAATTTACAATAGATAATGATCGGTAATTTCCCCATCTCTTGCAGTCGTGGAAAAATCGCACTGCCACCGTGCCGAAACCTTTCAACTTGACCGATGGTGGCCAAAAGAAGCGCAAACGCTCCGCAATTGATAAAGACACCGCCGAAACGGACTCTTACCAGTCCATGGCGTATCAAGTTTACAAATTTCAGACTACAACACCGCCACGATTCCGCACACGAAAGGCAAACGACTCCGGCTTCAAGAGCGATGCTGATGGCGGCGGACACGAGAAGGCGACGACGGCACCCAAACCTAGTGTCACGTTTCCGAAGACACCGAATTTAAGTACAAAGACGAGATCTCGACCTGTGGCTCAGGATGTCTTGAGTAAAGAGGAGAGAGAGGAGAAACAACTTGAAGAAATGAAAAAGTGAGTGAAACAATTTGGTGTTCATTGGTTTTGGGGTGTCGGTGACAATGCAGGAGATTATGTAGTAGAAATGAGCCGATTAATCGAAAAACAATCAGCAAAGCCGAATAATCACCCATTTTGAATAATCGGTAATCATGATAATCGGTAAAATAATCGGCTATCATTTAGATGTTATCATGAACATTCGAAGTAACTTGCCAGTTGGTTTGATTTACGATACGTTTATTTCTTATGGATGTTATAAATATACAGCCACATTTTCGATAGTTTCGGACTATCGATATTTCATGAAATGTTATTTAGAGCTCGATAATTATCGATATAAAACAAACAAAAGCTTATTTATTTCAATGTTTTCTTTCAGTTACAAGTTCAAGGCGAAACCATTCGATCGTCGTCTCATTGAATGTGATGGAATGTACGGTGTGAAGAAACCCGAGGAAACTATAGCTGCAACCAAACCTAAACCTTTTGTCTTCGAGTCCGACGAACGTTTGGAGGCGAGGAAAGACAAAGTACCAGCAGAAAATGAGGTTTGTCGGTTTTTATATTTTAACCAAATTTTACGCCAGTGTAGCCTGTCTCATGTCGTCATATGCCCAGAGCTTGACTTTCGCCAATAGACAATTCCCATTATAGACTATTTTTTTATATTGGCAAAAAAAGTATATTCCCAGAAAGAGCATATTAAAATGAGTAAAATTGCAAAGTTTGGTTGCGAAATGTTGTAAAATGCAGAAAATATAGCCTTGCAAATTTTGTATACTTTTGTATTGCGTGCGGAAATTGATTTTTGTGGATAATTTCCGCACGCAATATAAAAGTATGCAAACTTTGCAAGGCTATATTTTCCGCATTTTACAACATTTCGCAACCAAACTTTGCAATTTTACTAATTTTAGTATGCCCTTTCTAGCTGTCAGTGTGGTGATTTATTTGCATCTCTGCCTAGTTTTACAATTAGTCTCATAATGGGAATTGTCTATTCTACTTCTATATATGCCCAAGTCACGCTGTAATCTTTCAGGTACCCTCACCATCACGACAAATAGATTATAATCAATAGTTCTGCAATAAAACTTTTGTTGTGATTTTTTATAGGAGCAAACAGTGAATTTCAAGGCAATGCCACAACCAAACTTCGAGAAAGTCTTCCGTCCTCAACTGAAACATGCACGAACTGAACCAAAAGCTTTCTCGTTCGAAGAGAAAGATAAAGAAAGATGGCAGAAGAAAGAAGAGAAGATACAGGATACTTACAAAGAAGAAGAGAGGGTAAGCCTTCCTCCCCGCCCTTTGTAAAAAGTAGAACGGCCAAAATGCTTTACAAAGATGTGGTAGCTTATTTAAAGGCACAATGACACCTGTTGAGCGATGCGATTTAGTCGGCGTTAAACTTGAAAACGTCCACAAGCTTTTTCAAGTTTTTTGCATTTGTGCAGAAGGAGTGACGGTATTGTATGGCTCATTATAGTCGGCCTAATTTACACCCAATTTTCACTTTATATAAATTAATCAAAATAACTTGAATTTTGTGTCTCTCAACATGATAAATAATATCCAATTACCAAAGTAATAAGGTTGCCCTCGGATCTTTAAATATTGGATCTGGAGTACCGCTATTTATTATTTTCCCAGTTGCAGAGCGATGTTTAACGTAAATCCTAATTTGTTTCATTGTGTATTATTTTTTAGTTGCGAGAATTCAAAGCTCAACCGTTGCCGTCGGATTCTCCTGATTCCCTACCTGAGGTGTCGTCAAAATGTTGCACAAGTTTTAAACCATTTGCACTGAATACAGAGAACAGAGGAGCAAGGAAGGCTGAGAAATGGATACAAAAGGTCAGTGTTCACACCGCTGAAAATAAAGGTGTTGTGACGTATTTTGCGGGCTAAAATGATAAATCTGCGGGCTAGAAAATATTTTAGTTAGTTAGAATGAGGTGCGTATATTCTGTAGTTTATCAGGTCCGCCAGCAATTTATCCTCCAGGTGAAGGTTTTCCACTTTTTTAACGACTAAATGATAAACAAGGAAAACTTTTTTATCCACCTTCCAAGATAAAAGAGAAAAAAACAGTTCTCAAAAACACAAATTCCTGTGGTAGCAGAAACACATAGAGACGAAGGGAACGTACTGAAAGTTTTTTTAAACAAGTGAAACTGGCTTTTTAAACAATAATCCTTATAACTGCTACCCTGGGTGCCAGAGCCTCCTGTGATAGAAGTGAGGGCACGACGAGGAGGCTCTGGTCACACGAGCATCCAGCCTCACTTTGGTGAGTTCAATATTTGAACTCTGTTTGTGATTGGTCTAAATTTATATGAGCCTTTTCATTGGTTAATCGATGAGCGTCGATTGACCAATGAAAAAACTCGCATAAATTTAGACCAATCACAAACAGAGTTCAAATATTGAACTCACCAAAGTGAGGCTGGATGCTCGTGTGACCTCCTCGTCGTGTCCTCACTTCTATCACAGGAGGCTCTGGCACCCAGGGTATATAGTTGCTGACCCTAGCAAGGTTTCGATCCAACCTTGTTTTTTTGTTTATCGTTTTTAGGTAAGAACGGAACTCGACGAATATCGTAACAAAACGACCTTCAAAGCTAAGCCGTGTAAAGTTGTTCATGACGCTCCATTCGTTCCACAAAAGTCGAAAAAACCTCTAACCGACGTCAGCGAGTTCGCACTGAATACGAATCACCGCGCGGAACGACGCGAGGAACTGGAAATAAGCAAAAAAGAGAGGGAACAAATTGACGAAGAATTACGAAGAGAGCGCGAAGAGCAACGAGAGAGAGAAGAGCAAGAAGCTCTCGCGGTACTTCGGAAGCAGATGGTGCACAAAGCGCAGCCCATTCACAGATACAAGAATGTTAAGGTGAAGCCAAGCAGCAAGCCATTAACAGAAGCAAATTCGCCAGTTTGGAGCGAAATGAAACGTCGTAGGGTTGAAAATCACAACAGATAACGTATCATGTACTATAATCATAGGACATGTACTGAGTGATATTGAGATACTATCTTATCGAGAATATAGATTGCCTGTCAAAATAGATTGGCTGGATAAACACCGTGAAGTAAATTACGCATTGCTCGGTACACGCTGAACTAAATTTATTGTAGATATGCTATATTGCTAGCTCGTGATTGTGTTTTTGATCTATTTTTCATTAGCTCAATAGTTCATTTGTTTCACAAAAAAAGTTCACGCCAAATTTATATGTACCGGTAATGGTCTAGCAAGGGCTGTTTTTGTCGACACGGACATCAACCGAAAATTGGTATAACTAATTTTGGCAGCATCATAGCGCTCGTGTAGGGAAACAAAAAGCTTTTTAAAAATCTTATGTTTTGTCATATGTATATTGAAGATTACCACAAACTAGTTTTTAAAAGCACAGTTCAGCCTTTTGAATGATGGTTTTTAAGGGGCATTTCAGCCTAGGAAAATCAATTCTGTACTATTTAAAAAACGAGCAGGAGTGTTTTATTAGGTTTAAAGCCACGAGCGCGCAGCGCGAGTGGCTTTAGACATAATAAAACACGACCTGCGAGTTTTTTAAATGGCTTCAAAAACGTTTGCATAATAAGTCAAATCTGAATATGAAAAATCTTTATATGAAAATCTTTATATAAAAGTCTTTATAAGTTTGCATAACAATGGTCTTTTGTTAAAGTGTTCTTTAGCTGGTATAAAGACGTATGCACGTGACTAATTTCTTACTCAAGATTGGATAATTGCTTCATGAATTATTAATGAGTTTTTGAAACATAATTCAAGATCAGTAAACTCAATGTTTTTAACAATAAAAATGTTTTAAAATGTTAAAAACATTAAGTTTGCTAATCTTGAATTATGCTTAATTGATTTTCCTTGTTAGTTTTTTCAATTAAAAGGGCTGAAATGCGCCTTAAAAACCATCATTCAAAAGGCTGAACTGTGCCTTTAATCCAGTCCCCCTCGGCAATCTGACGTTCGTGTTGACATAAACGTCGCTTGTTTAATTAAGCTCGCTATTATGATTCATTGCTCAAAGGGTGATTTTAGTTTGGGTATATTGTGTAACTGGGCTGTACATTGCAATTTACGGCGGTCTAATTTCGTTTCGTAATATTTCCACGTTCGTAGCGAGTAGAACTACTTTCATACAGTCACAAAAATGAACATTATTCGTAGTACTTTTGTACGCCACGTATTTTTGTCTGTGGAGATATCCTTGATTTAGCGATCAATTTCTTATGTATAAAGTTTTAGTTTTAGCACATTATTAAAATCTATTAATTGCATTTGCTAACTGATTTTATTGTCTTGCTTAACAATGAGGTGATAACCTTTATATTCTCAGAGCGTCAAAAAAGAACAGTTTCTTTTCCAACGCATAGGTGCTCACTTCAAATCCGGCTCGAAGGACCAGTTTTAGTTGTGTCTCTTCCAAATTCTCTTGTGCATTGATATGTCACTACTCTTATTTGTTTTGCTTTTATCCATGTCTGGACACTTCTTAATTGTTCTCCGCTTTGGAAGTTTCCAGAAAATTGGCACACCTATTGTCCTATTCCGGCAATTTTTCAACTGAATTTGGCCACTGATGTATTCAAGCAAGCAACACTTCGATAATTTAACATATAAATGTAACCATGGCTAATAAAATAAAATAAATGGATAGGAAACTAGCTGACGTGACCTAATGTTTTCAATGGGCTGATGGCGTGATTGGATGTTGAAACCTAGTTGCAAACCAAATTCTCAAAAATAGCATGCTTAGCAATAATACAGCTAAACATTTTAGTCAAAGAGCAAATGAATATAACTACGCCATTCTACGATGAAATCTCTAAGTATTCCCAGTCAATTTTAGCAAATATTTCAAGCACTAAACAGTGAAAAAGGCACCCCAAATTTCGTTAAAATTGGGGACGCCAATTTCGTAGCTACAAATGTAAAAAAATACAAAACAAAGACGAAAAACATTTACCTTGAATACTTTGTCGTGGCTTAGGCGTGTTTTAAAAACAATTAGACCAGTATATTCTTCAATATTACTCTTTTAAAGCGGAAAGTATAGCGAAACAACAAAAATGCCGAGAAGTTAGCATAAGCTAGAGTCCTATCCATTTATTTTATTATCCATGATATATAACTAAAGCTATAATAAAAAAGTTAGGATTTCTGGCTAATTTGTTGATTATCAATCATGGGCCAATTCCAAACCCTTCGAATCTATTCAGAAAGATACTCCGAGTCTCTGTATCATAATGATAAGGAGCTGTTAACCAATTATTCGCGATCCATTTTTCACCCTCTGTCACCATACAACCACCATGTAAACTGTAACCATCCAGCTCTCCTAACCACCCACCATTTTTATAATCCATCTTATGGTTATACCACAGTATTGCAGTTCCTCGCTTTTTTGCCTTCACGATAAGATTGGCACTGTGACAATATTCATTCAAGTTGAACATATCCTTGTCCTCTCGAGCTTTTGTTTTCTACAGAAAAACAACATGTGCAACAGCGAAGTCAAATTTGGAATCTCGTCTCGAACAGGTTTCGGATTCATATTTTCAAGCCCCTAGGTCGCTGCGCGACCACCCAACGCCTTCGGAAACGAGTTTGTTTGAATAATGGACGACTTGCGCTTTAGAAAAAATTTTAATCTGGGAATAACAAAGGATATTTTCGGAAAGAAGTTATCAAAATTAGAAAAACTGCAAAGTTTGGTGGCGAAATGTTGTAAATATAGCCCTTCAAAGTTGGCAAATTTGTATACTTTTGTATTACGTGCGTGAATTGGTAACTAAATTAGTTACCAATTTCCGCACGTAATAGAAATGTATACAAATTTGCCAACTTTGAAGGGCTATATTTTCCGTATTTTACAACCGCATTTCGCCACCAAACTTTGTAATATTACTAATTCCAAGACGCTCTTTCTAGCTGTGGTGATAGATTTCGTTATCCTTACTTAGATTAAAATTTAGTCTAAAGCGCAAGTCGTCCATTCGGTTACACAGAATCCTCCTATATGAAAAATTCCATTTGTAATTGTGAATTCCGATACATCGATGATTTTACACAATTACAATATTGTTATATCATGACTGTATCGGACTTTTTAGAACAACCTTGCAACAAGTCTGATAATATCAACAGAGTTGTTACAAGATGCATGTTAACAGCTTGTTGACAACTCCCAACAAGCAGTGCGAACACATCTTGTTGACGGCTTGTTGGCAGACTTGTTACAATATGTGAGATCGATTTTCCATGTGTATTAATGAGTGTTGAAGATGATATATGAAATGTTCTAATAATAAACGTGGACTCGCGACTCACCGACAAATCTAAAGTTACATTATCTGCAAGTGGAAAGGCTGTCTCCCCACCTTTGTAATCGTCATTTAAGTAGTACAAGACAGTGATGTATCTAAAATTTAGAAAAAAGAAATGACAAACACTATATGGGAATCATGCAGTGTTAAATCAAACTAAACAAACTTAAACATACGGTACCTGCAAAGTTTACATCTTTTGTGTTGCTGAGCTTGATGACAACATGGTACATTCTGTCTAGTGTGAGTTTCACTGTCGAAATGAGCGTGATAATGACCGTACGGTTGGTAACGGACGACCTACAAAGATAATAAAAAGAATAATTAATAATTTATGAGGAAAAAGACAAGGGAAATCACAACCGTGTTGTTGGTTTTATATGTGATAAAAAGTCATGTTAATTCACATAAACTTTAGCTTTGATTTTCTCGGTTTGACAACGTTTATTTTTAAAATTACTTCGCCAATGAACTCATCAGGATGGGTTGTTTTTTAAGGTTACAGAACACCTTTGAGTGTTAATTTTGTGTAATTTTTTTTTATTGGTTTCCATGAAAACATTAGACTAGTTCTACTATCTGACCAAGTTTGAATGAAAAATGTTGAAAACTCGCAGAGTTATTTAATTAAATACATTTCGCTGCAATAAGAAAAACATTGAAAATGTAATATTCAAATTCAATTTTCTCCCGAAAAATTTTACGGTAATTACTGATTTTCAAACGAGTTGTGCTCCTGTGGGTTTTAACCAATTTTTCTCAAATTTTCACAGGACATAGCTAAAGACGTCAGTTTCAAAATTGTGTTCGGCTTTGTTCTAATTTTGGATATTTCAATAATAAAGAGCAATTCACTCAAACAATTCAGAAATATATTGCAGTCGTCAAGGAAATCGCCATATCAGCGGAATGACGAAATAAACAAAAATTTCCGAACTCCATTTTTTAGAACAACTATTTTACTGTATAAAAATGATATTTTCATAAATATAACTTAAAACCAGCAGGAGCACAACTCAAAAGCGTAACGGTACCGCGATTTAAGATTTTCCTGAATAATTCTTACATTATTTTATTGTTTGTTAATTTTAAAACTTTACCATATTTTGCATGCACTGGCGAACATTTGGTGAGAATTTGATTAAAATCGGACTTTGCAGTAGCAGTTTTCCGCAAAACGCCAAAAAGGGTGTCCTGTAATCTTAAGCCATTCAAAACACTCGCAGTCCGTGCTTTATCAGATCATAGACAATCCAGAAGACATGTCTTCTGGATTGTCTATGATCAGATATAAGACACTCGCATGTAGCCTCTTGTTTTATATTTGATATACACATAGAAATTCATAAATGAGAACAATTTCTTAAACTTCCTATACCTGCATCTCTTCACCACCGTACAACAAATGACTTGGTAATTCAGTCAGCTTCATAACCCTAAAATGCATTTCCCAAACAATAATTCATGAGAAAAACACAGCGGGTCTAAGGGCCTGTTCATATGAGCCCAGCTACACGCGTAAAACCACACAAGTTGTAACAAGTCTGCAAACAAGTTGTTACAAGTCTGTTCACAAGCTGTCAACAAGTTGTGTTCGCACTGCTTGTTCCCAGTTTGTTGTAACAAGTTTAAATTGGAACAAGCTGTTAACAACTTGTAACAAGCTTGATGACATTATCAGCCTTGTTACAAGATTGTGCTAACAAGTTTGTTACAGCCACGATATAACAAGGATGTTACAAGGTTGTCAACACAAGGTTGTAACAATCTTGTTATGTCAAGCATGTAACGGACTTGTCAGAACAACCTTGCAACAAAGTTTGATCATTTGGACAAGGTTGTTACAAGATCGACAAGTTCTTTCAAACCTGTTGACAACTTGTCACAAGCAGTGCGAATACATCTTGTTGACAGCTTGTTGGCAGACTCATAGGCGTACCGGGCGGGGGGGCGGGGGGGGGGGGCGGTAGCCCCCCCCCAGTTTTTTGGGCAGCAATATTCGATCAACAGTCGGGCAATTTTGGTTTGCAATAAAATGATACAGTCATGATATGATATAGCAGTATTACAACCTTGTGTCATCAATCTTGTAACATTCTTGTTATATCATGGTTGTATCAGGCCTGTTAGAACAACCTTGTAACAAGTCTGACCATGCCATCAAGCTTGTTACAAGTTGTTAACAGCTTGTTACAAACTTGTTACAACAACTGGGAACAAGCAGTGCGAACACAACTTGTCGACAACTTAATTGTGAAAGATTTGTAACACATTGTTTGCAGACCTATAACAACTTGTACGTTTTTACGTGTGTATAACCGGGAAACTCTCCTGAGTGAGATTTATAAAATTTAATTTGTGTTCATATAAGGGAAATAAGGCGATCTGACAATCACAACTAAATTCTTCGCACCTTTTCAAAATCCTTGACATAGTCTTATTTTTATCAGCCGACCGTCCAAAGCTCACCCAAGTTTGTTCGCTATATCTGTCTCTATGTTTTGGATGAAGTCTCTGCAGTTTATAAAAATAACCATCGATGCCTAGAATATTCGTATTTGGGAACTCCGCTTTTGTTATTTTACCTGAAAAAAAAGCATTGTAGTCAAGACCTAAACTTCACGGATAGAAACAAATGATATATTTAAAATAATTACTTCTTAAATTAATCTTATTCATCGACTTACCATCCTCTGCTTCAACTATGTTCAATTTTTCAATCCTGTTAAAAATAAGAAAATAAATATAATTCAACCTTTGCAATTATTATTGAAACGAACAAAATAATGTGACCTTACATCAGTCGTATTACTTACATGTCTAAAACATCGTTTTTGTTTAGGAACAGAAGGTGTTTCTTCCTTGCAAATTTTATCATCTTTGTATGAAAAATAAGATTAGTATTAGTATTGCCATGGCTATTAGTATGGCCATGCATGGATTATAAAAACATGTTTGTTTACTCATATTAGTCGTGTTCTATAGTATAGGACTTCTATCCTATAGGATGTCTAAGGAATCATGCTGGGAATTAAACCATGCGAATGCGATACTAATGTCTAAGATCTATGACGGGACAACTTAACGAAGCAACTCAGCGCTCATATATTTGAGTTGAAAAAGCCACGGTTGTATAGCATTTGATTAGAGAAGCACATTTGGGTTAATGTTGCTGTAGTTTCATCAGTACCTTAGTTGTATCTGGCGGCATAAAATATATCTAGTTAATGGAATTAGTATTTTAAAGTATAATATACATGCATGCAGTTTACAGCAAACATGAAGCATTGGAGGAATCAATGTTGCGGACGAACTGAACGACCGCGTCGACCGTGAGATATCACTGATCGATCTATCATTTGAGTTTTGTCTTTTTTGAACGATTTTCTTTTAATTCTGCCATTAGCTGTAACAATACCTCTAGAATATCAATGACTCCATTTTTATCACGATCCCAATTTTCAAATAGGCCACCAAGTTCATTTGGTTTCACCATTCCAGTCACTACATAAAGCGGAACATTTTTCAATGATCTAAATTTAGCCAGTGAAGTTAGAGAGTCATCTGGTATGCAACTCTATTTCGATATTAATATTTCAAAACTAAGCTAGATTTACTTATGCTGAATTAATAGCACTATCATCACCTATTTTCTCATCAAGGCCGGTTCAGGGGCCGCGGTACAGAGGGGCAATGGGGGCATATATCCCCACTTTTTTTAAATAAAAAAGTGCCCTCTTTTCTGGATTAAAGTGCCCCATTTGAAGAACGAAAAAAGTATTTCTTGAATAAACGCCCTTTTTTGCTCGAAAGAAAGTGCCCTTTTTGCAGTAGTAAAGACTCTGTAAAGGCCATTTCCGACGTTATAGAGACTCGGCCATATTTTCAAAATTTTTGTTCGGCTCGTGAACGACATAAAATCGTGTAATTTTGGTCATATACAAAAGTGCCTTTTTGACCAATGCCTCTCCACTTTCGAAATACTTCCGCGGCCTCTGGGCCGGTTATTTAACCAATGTAGCCCCACTACATACATCACTTGGTATGCTTACCATTATCAGGGAGAATGGGCATCAATTTTGGTGTAAGTCCTCCCCTAGCCACACTGTTCTCCAGGCCTTGCTCGAGTGCTTGCTCCATTATGAAGTCACATTCTGCCTCTGACAGAAAGTCTGGTATTTCTTTAAATTGTCATGAAAATAAAAAAATGAAAAACATGTCAATGGACAAATGTTTATATCCAGTTTGCAACTTTAGTTGACTCACATGCCTAATTTATGCAAGACCGGGTAATGAGAATCATGATTTTAGTTCTCATGTTAAATTTCAGCCAATCAGCAAGCAGCATAGTCTCGCTAGTACGTGCAGGCGGGAAATTCCGAAGATGTTTTAAACATTCGCTCCTATATCTATTCGCTTCAGTAACAAATTTGAATTATTTCCGAAGAAGTACAATTACAACATTTAGTGCCGGGAATCCGGGATGTCGATGACACACTAACATTACTATATTAAATGTAAGTTTAGAACTGCCTCGTCCCCAGGCGCTAATAAAAAAAACTCATGCGAGTCACTATATGAAAGGTTTACATGAAGTAGTGCGTCACATTCTAGGCGCGCAAAGGGCTCAAGCCCATAACCCCCAGCCACTCTGTGCCCCAGCGCTTGTTCATCACGATGCACTACTTCATGTAAATATTTCATATAGTGACTCGCATGAAATTTTTAATTAGCGCCTGGGGACGAGGCAGAGTTTAGAAATACATAAAGCAACGTAGTCAATAGTTTAGTTTATCAATTTGATAATTTAGCCGACTCGGCGTTTATTGTGTTTAGATTATCATTCGCTCATGAACTTTGAGCTGGTTTAAATTTTTGATGAGAGTTTTCGCTACGCGCGCCACAGTGTTTTCGACATATCTTACAACCACGATTTAATTTGTGGCTATAATGTACAGCTGCTTACGGCATGCCTTATAAGTAGCCACCGTTTGTGACTATAAAGCAGGCTATAAAGTATAACTTCTGTTTTCGCCATACCTTATTGTCATCAGACATCACGTAAAACTCTCATGTAAACTTTCGCACTTGTGAACTCTCGTCAACCCTCATCTTACGATAGACCGGGGCGTCGATCATAAATACAGTAGGCAGTGGCATATTCTATGGGTCTAAAACCTTGCCCTTAGGCCTAGGGCCTAGGCTGCTTGCTAATGAACGTTAGTTATTACGTAATGATCTTAACGGTTTACCAAAAACAGGTGGTTGAAGCGCTCTTGTTATCATTGAACGTTTCCCAATCTTTCCTAAATCAATATCTTGCTCGTATCCAATCTAAAACAATCAATGGTAGTAAAATTATTACTGTCTGGGGAATTTCAATACAAGTAAAGGCCATGTTAGGCCAGGGTCAAACGTCGAACTTTTGGCATGCGCCGAACCTAATGCAAATGAAGTGAAACAAAGAACTTAGCTCACTTTCACTCGCCTTCACGCCGGCATTCAGTTGATGTAGTGACGTCACACCGGAGGATGGTCGGAAAAGTTCGGGTTAGGATGCTTGGTGTGACGTCACTACATAAGGGATGAAAAATATAATAAAAAGTGTCGGTAGATTAAACTATAGGCTATACTCACAATATCTCTACTATTACCAATGTCAGAAATAGCGTTGAAAGTTGCAACAAAAATTTCCTTGGCGTACAACAAAGGTGGCAAACTTTACAAAAATATTCTGACCTTCGAACGAAAGTCAAGATGTCACAGTTTTGGGATAATGCATCCTTTGCGACTTTTTAAAAAATATTGAGTTAAAATATTGTCTTACCTTAACAGGATTGTACCTTGGTAATGCGTAAGATTTAGTTACATCAATACACGGTCCATCATTGACTTGATTGTTTTCAGTAGTTTGCGATCGCGAATCACTTAGCAAACAACAAATTTGAGTCAACCAAACATACAAAACGAACCGTTTTCGTCCCATACTACTCCACAAATTTTCAATTGAGGTAATCACTTAGTCTTTAAATGAACATCGATTATAATTTAGTGTTAATTTAAAACAATTTTTAAAATATCTTCATTTTAACTGCCTAAGTCGTTGCCCAGTAACACCAGCGCATGAGGCAACAGGTTTCCGTTCAAAAATTCCACATGTATCCAAAATTAAGATACCAAGTATGCTCAGAAAAAAACTACTTTAAAAATGTCGATTGATAGAAGATAAATTCGATTATATAATATTATAATATACGAAGATTTATCAAGTTCACATGCATATATGTTTTATAAACAAAAACCCTAGTATGTCGTCTCTTTGCGCTTGACTGCGCAGTTCAGTAAGGTGGTTGCATTGAATCTAGCACGGTTCTCATAGAAACGACAGGTTTTGTTTGTAAAATGTTGTAATAACAATAACTTTGTTAGCCTGAGGTGTGCATCAACTCATACACTTCAAACGATCACGGGCTACGTGGCTATAGCCTATAGTTTGTCTGCAAAGACTTTCAATGCACTTGCCCAAGGTCAACGAATGGGTGAGTTTCAGTGAGCGCTACAGAGACAACAGATGCTGCTGAAATCCGGGATTTTTAAAACGTAATAGCTATATATATATAGAAGATAGAAAACTGAAATCAAACATCTTCTGATTGTATTTATTCATCTCTAACATGTTTTATGAGAAAACCCCTAAACTTTCTTATTTTGATTAGTCATCATCCTACAATATCCTTGCTTAGGTAAAATCGTATCTTTGGCTTTTTGTCAGTTTTGTGATTTTCATTTCTTCAGTGTAGATAGACTAGATATAGTACTTAATAAATTGTGGTTGTTTTAAGCTAAAACCCCGATTTTTTAAAACATCATATTCCAAGCAGAGACCATCTGTCTGGGAGTATAAATCACAGATCACTGAGTACAAATATGTCACTAACTCCCAGGCATATAAAGGGTCGAAACGTCGAAGACAAAGTTTTCGTAATCGGCCGCTTTTTCGGGTACTTGCGGGTAAAGCAACCACAGTTTATATAAGAACCCAGAGTATAGAACCATTTGGAAATGAGTTCTTTCAAATTAGTGAGTTCTTTCAAACGGTCATTTTCTCTAAGTTCATTATACTGCATGGTCACTTCCAAATCATGAAACATTAATTTATTCAAGAAAGTCAAGGCCTCTTAGGCGTGTCGTCTTACAAAATCTAATTAGTTCTAATTACTTGTATCAAAAATCCTATATAATGCGTTCTTGCATGTGTTCCTTTATAATATTTTATAACCCTATATATGCACGCTTGCATCTAAAATACACACGTTCTCTTAAATCCCACATGTCCCCTTAAATCCCACAAGGTCTACTCATCATCTTCATCCTCATCATATCCATTATTTTCCGCGAGTTCCTCGGCGTCCTCTAGTTCCTTGATGTAGTAATTACTTGGTATATGTTTCTCCGGATCATTGGGTGCTGTCAACCAATTATTTGCGATCCACTTCTCTCCCTTGAGAATATCACATCCGCCATGTAAGGTCTTCCAGTCGAGATCTGCTAGCCAGCCAGAATCATCGAGGTAGTGGTTATACCACATGACAGCCGTACCACGCTTAGGTGGGAGCACCAGCGCTGCAGTGTGGCAGAACTGGCTGAGGTTGTATTGATCGCCCTGTTTCCGCTTCCTGAACTCCTGTATAAGAGAACAAAAATGTGTGAAAATGAAACAAATTGTATTTAATACAATGCATTACTGTTTGCAGTTTGACAATGCATGGCTTTGGCGAATATTAGCAAGAAAAAAGTTTTGTCATGGTAAATTAAAGTATTGGATTGATATAGGGATGCAACGTCGAAGTTCTCCTTGTATTTTTCAGGTAGTTGCATCCCTATCAATCCAAAGCTTTCATATTATTGCCACGACCTAAATTAAAGTATCACTATAAGTTATAGTTACATTTCGTAAAATAATTGTGTTTGGACTATACATGGGTGCATGGTTGCTTTAGTATAACCACAGGTATAGCAAACAGCTCTAGCCCAGGGTGACCCTAATTTATATTCATAGTCATAGACCCTAGAGAATGGATTGGAAATGGATGGGCTAAGTTCTTGTATAGGGGTGGACCATTAGATATCCAGGGAGGAGGGGAGGGAGGGTGGTAGATCCCCCAAAAATTAATGCAAAGAGTTGAAAAGAAAATTCTTGCAAGCATTTGGGCGGAAAATAATCTTCAGAAAGAAAAATTCTGCACAGTTTCTGCATCATAAAAACGTTCGACAAAGTCTCGAACTTAAAAAAAATTCTTGCACCAAAAATTTCACCACCTAAAATATCTATGGCCCAGCCCTTATATAGGGAAGCCATATAAACACGTGAACTGTATAAGTAATCATTTGGAAATCAATAGATAATTACTGATCAAACCTACCGTTTCGTTGAAGCTATCGACATCAGCTGCAGGAAATGCAGTCTCCCCTCCAGCTTCAGGTTGGTTTAAGTAATAAAGAACTGTGATGTATCTAGAAATACATAGAAGTGATAAATTTTAAAATTTATATAGGTTGTTTATAATATCTATTTCATCTTAAGTATCTCACTTGCACAATATAATCCTGTTCTAAATGACAAAGTATCGAATAATCCAAAGTTGAAATTGGGGGGGGGGGGAGGATGAAGCTAATCAACGGACGTAATTTATTAGGACCTGTTCCCGTCCCCCACTATCGACGTCCTTAGACTCTCACCTGCACAGCCTGCATTCAGGAAGTTTCTCAAGGTTCTGATGACAACATTTATATTGAGGAAACTGTTTGTTGGACTGTGAGTCATAGTGAGCGTGGTAATGACCATTGACATTGTAATGGACAACCTAGAAAAAACAAAGTTAAGGTTTAGTTGCATAAACAATGCTGGCAGTAGTATAGTCCTAAACATTTTAAGAAGAGGGCTTTAAAAAATTTTGTGTGCATGAATGGAAGAATTCTTAAAACCTGCAGATGTTCTCCACCTTGAACGACATTCATTGGAAGTCTTGATAACTTTGATACCCTGAAACACATGCATTGACATTGATTTAACCATCATGTTTATACTTCTAATAAACTTTGTAGAGAATATTAGACGTCTATAACATACATATACAGTACATGTAAAGCCGCGAGATTTTAGTGGCCTTTAATTGGCAAAAGTTTACCCGAGGTCTCCGCATGATGGGGTCCTAGGCATCTCATTCATTACATTTTCTTCACGCTTTTTGCTCAATTAATAAAGGGGTTCAGATTTGACTTGCACTACCGCTGCCAATCAGATGCGTTTGAGATTAATAAATCCGGCAGTGGAAGTCAAAGCTGGAGCCAGCTTTCTTATTGGCTATAAGAAGACATATTTCTAGACTATTTGTTTTTGTTTTGACCAAAAAAGACAGAAGATAGAATGTCAAAATTTTAATATTCTCATTAATTTCTAATTCAAAAAGTTCATGGAATTAAGGTCCGTGATGACCAAAGTTGTAAACTTCAGAAACATGGTTAAGTGGGGTGTTTAACTTGAGGGTTGGTCCCTGTTATGTTAGGGACTGAAGCAAATTTCCCTCCTCTCTTTTCGGCGCCTCTGCATATACCCATAACACAATATAGGACGAGCATTAATTTCGTACCTTCGTCGTATGTGCCTCAACATCTTGTCTCCAGTTCCTCTCTGTGGCAGCCATGTTTGATGGCTGTAACGATCTCGATGTTTTGGATGTGTTGCCTTCATCTCTAAGAAATATTTCTCCATGCCAGCCGTGCGTAAGTTTTGAAACTCTTCCCTGGTTACCACGTCTACAAATAACACGACATCCATTTTATAGTTAGCGGATCAAAAAGAGAGTGGGAGGAACATCTCACCAATATCCATCACTAAGACAATACAATTTATTACACCCCAGATTTGATATATTTGTATATATACAAATGATATTTAAAGATATCGTGAAAGGGTACTGGTAGCCCTTTACCCTCTCCCGTAGACCCCTCCTGGTAGACCCCCTCCCGCCCCTTACCCTCAGTTCGGGTTGGTTTGAAAAACTCCATGCATGATATGCAATATTGATAAAGATTGGTTGCTTACCATCATCAAACTCATCAAATTCCATTTTATTTATCCTGTGAAATGGAACAATTTTTTAAATTTTAAAAAGAGTTCATGTTATTACTGTTCACCCGTATCCATCTTTTATAACAATTTTTAACCCATGCCATGCCGTAAAATCGCCTGGCGTTCTCCTCTAGATCTTGGCTATCTTTGCAACATAATTAAAAAGTATTTTTTCCTTTCCGGGATGCAAATATGTTTTGCAACATAATCAGAAACCATTTTCATCGAGCGCAATTTTTCAGTTGTTTTTCTGGTTTGCTCATTGTCGGAAAACTTGGCTAGGAAGCAATATTTCTGCTACAATGTTTCCTCCATTCATCTGTATCTTATAAAACAACACAATAACAATAGATGATTTCAGCTGATAGACTAAATTTTGGATCTGGGCAAGAAGAACAAAATCCATCACCACAGCTAGAAAGAACATGTTAAAATTAGTAAAATTGCAAAGTTTGGTTTGCGTAATGTTGAGGAAAATATGGTCCTACGAAATTTGCAAATTTTGTATTACGCACGGAAAAATGCACCACTTTCGGCCCAAATGCATGTAGTGCATTTTCCCGTGCGTAATACAAATTAATACAAAATTTGCAAATTCCGCAGGGCTATATATTTTCCGCATTTTACAACATTTTGCGGCCAAACTTTGCAATTTTACTAATTTTAACATGCTCTTTCTAGCTGTGGTGATGGATTTTGTTCTTCTTGCCTAGATCTATAGCTCGAATCATCCATTTCACTCACATTTCATCAACTTCCTCATCGCTCAAATATAGATATTTACTTTCAGCTGCAAATTTCTTCACCTGGTAAAAATACAGGCACAGTCATTAGTCTGCGTCGTGCACTGTGAAAACGAGCAAGGTTAAATTCAGGCAATCAGGCTGGTTTTAGTAACAACCTCGTCCTTAGATATAAAGCCATCTTTATTGAAATCCCAGTTGTGAAACTTGCCCGCGGGAGATTTTGCGTGACCTAGGCAGAAAAGATTTTATGTAAATTTGAGGAACAACTTTAAAGGGCCTTTCACCTTTGAGATGGTAGGTTCGTTTACCATGGATACTCGATTCCGCTCTCGCTTAAGGCCGAATTACACTACACAGCGTTTGCGTAAATCTATCGCATGCAACTGCCTACAACTTGAGTCGTACTGTGTAAATCAAGAAGACAATTCGCCTATACGTTGTCGTATAGGCGAGTACAATATTTTATTATATAGTAGAGAGTGAGATACTGAAAAATACACAGTGAGATATTTTCCATATCTTCACTAGTGAAGATGTCGATCACGTGACTTTTAGTATTTAACAATTTTTTGCTTGGGACTATATAATAAACAGAACATTACACGGTGGCTTGAAGATATGACTTTTATCTTCTCGTGTTAAAAACAATATTTTACTCACTCGATGCGCTCGTTCGTAAAATATTGTTTTCACCACTCGAAGATAGTAGAGAATAATACATGCATGCGTGCGCGGAAATACCAGATTTATTTCGAGTGTTGAACATGATATCAGATTGAACATGAATTCATGAATGAATGTGACAATTAACAATAAGTAACGTACCAATTAACCCTTTGAGCTTTTTCTCGTATTCTCTTGATTCAGGATCAACATGAACATGACTGGTGAATAAACCTCGTTCCTTCGTGCGATTGATAATGCCCTCACATTCTTCCCCTGACAGGAAGTCTGGGATTTCTGAAATAAAGAAGGTATATGTGATGGGTTATTGTAAAGAAAACTGGAAAATTTGAAACCGTTTCGGCATACATTGGTTGCGGGGGGTTTCTAGAAAATGTCGACACTTTTTCGATCTTCAAATATTCAGTATTGTTTCAAATTCTTCAGTGTTTATCAGCAGAAGGTTTGGAACGACAAAATATGTTGATAATTGATTGGGAACATTTGGAAGACCTTTTGAAAACGTCTAAAATTTTTCTATGAAAATTGTTTGAGTCCCATTGTCATTTTAACATGCGTCATCGTAAAGCTAGCATCGCAAAGCGTGTCTGCAAACGTGCACAAATGCACGTTTTCTATCCTGATCTTTGTTCAAATGGCATAATATTTTGACAATTAATGTTTTCCTACTTACCGAAAATGGGAGGATCCAAAGCTCTTGTAATCATTGAATAAAACTTATCAGGTTCCAACTCTAACTCTCTTGTATGGCCAAGCTATGAAATAAATAATATTGTAAATATATCTCTGTAATTCCCTGCAATTCAATTCGACTCATCACTTCTATAATGGCCCAGAGTGACATGGAAAAGACTCGACAGGAACAGAACCCCGACGTTCCATGGTATTTGGTACAATCCAGCTTAGCCTTAGGACTCATGTCACGGAACACAGCAACGGTAGCAGGGTCAGTTCGGGGCAAATCCCAACACATCCTGTCAACATTTCTTTATAGGTAACAGGAGTACATATAGAGAAAACACGACTTTCGGTAAAGTGTTGACTGACTCTGTCACGAGTCCGCAGAGAACCCACGATCTCAGAGGTGAAAGCGCTTGCTCTGAGATTGCGCTACCAAAACCCCTACATTCAAACATAACTGACCTTGACTGGATCCCAGCGATACAATCCTTCTTTAGGATAATCAAATTCCTCGGGCTCATCTTCCGGTTCTTCATCCTTATCGTCGTCCGTCGGTTCATCGTCTATGTCACCGTGATCGCCTTTCCTTCCTTCGTCCATGCATGGCTCGTCGTACTCATCTTTCGATGCACAAAATCCGCCACTACACGAACCACGTTGCTGACTGTCTTTGCTGTACTTATCACATTTTACAACAACCGCCGACAAAGTCAGAAAAAGTACTAACACAGAAACACGAATCTGTTTTGAAGACCGTAATATCATATTGCCAGAGTAAGGCAACTTGCTTAAACAGCCACTAATGAAGCAACTTGAGTTTATATCTAAGAACTTTCTTGCTGATACAAAATCCTTACCTTATTACCTTATATAGTTCTTTTCATGAGACCAGTAATAGCTAATGCAATAGAAATTCCCTACTCAAAAAGACTAGTTTACTGGTGGTGTTTTGATCAAGCATGTATTATTGTTACTAAATTATTTATGCCACATGTTCGCATTTTGCCACAAAGTCAAATCAAAACTGTCAAGTTTAGTGTATTAACAGTTCCTGTTTGATACATTTTTCACAGAATATAGTTGGATAATTATAAGGAATGAACAGATAAAAGTTATTGGAAGATTTTCAAAGCGTATGCAAATTTGCAGTAGATTTCGACTAAGATTAGTCATGCGTCCAGTAAACTTTACATATTTGATTCAAGATGAATATAAAATGTAACACTGGTGGTAGAAACCGTTTGGACGTAGAAACTGTTTCATAGCTTATACGAAGAGCTATAAGATCAACTGATCTTAACAAACTGACAACTCTTTTAAAATTTTACAATGCTATATCATGACCTTTAGTTAGACAAATCTTATGTCTGCTCCACACGTGGTTTCAAGCAAACATCTGGATCAAGCAAATTAAACAAAACAAGTATTTCAAATAAGTCATTACGGAAATTAAGGCAATAGATCTAATCAGCGATTCCATACAAATGCGGTATAGTAAAAAGACATTTTTCAAAATGCCGTAACTCGCGCCCTGAATGTCCAAACATCATGAAATTTTCAGTATAGATTAAGTTGAGGATTTCAATGGGCAATTCCAGCTATAGACTAGATTTTGATCTAGGCAAGAAGAACAAAATCCATCACCACAGCTAGAAAGAGCATGTTAAATTAGTAAAATTGCAAAGTTTGGCCGTGAAAGGTTGTAAAATGCGGAAAATATAGCCCTACGAAATTTGCAAATTTTGTATTAATTAACAATTATTCGCCGAAGGCGAGGTGATTATCGGTGAATAAAAACCGAGACGAAGTCGAGGTTTTTATTCACGATAATCACCGAGCCTGAGGTGAATAATTGTTTTAGTATAATTTCATAGGTGATTATTTGGAAAAAATAAGAAAATACACATTTCTTCATCATTTAATTGACAAAAAGGCTTCGGCCGCCATTTTGAAAATCGCTTAGGTGATTATCGCGTAATAATCACCTCAACGGCAACCAATCAGCGTGGAGAATTTTCAATAATCACCTATGTAATTATACTAATTTGTATTACGCACGGGAATTTGCACCACATTTGGGCCGAAAGTAATAGTACAGAGTAAATACATACAGAGTTGGAACTGGCCGTCGTAAACACTGCGGCCGGAAAACGTACGTTTTCATGTACCCACTTTTTTTCAGGCGACTGGGCAAGTTCCGCTCGGCAAGTTCCGCGAGCAGTTAAAGCGAGCCGCTATCCAATGGGAATGCATGCCTCCAGTAACTTGCCGAGCACGCGCACAAAAAGTGGGTACACTACTAGTTACAGCGAGATGAAAAATTGATGACGTCAACTCGGATCGGAGAGTTACAATAAAGCAATCAGCCGTCAATTAGTGTTATTCTTGATCAATTGTATGAGCACTAGAGCTGTGCGGTTAACCGAAAAATTCGGTTCTTCCGGTACTTTTTTCAGCACCGAAAAACTATACGCAAAAAACCGGTAGTTTCGGTTTTAATTTCCCGTTTAACGCCCACCTAATTGCAGGTTGAAATGTTTGGAAAATAACAAGATTGTGCTCTTTGTGCACAATATGCACTGTACTAAGTGCTCAAATAGTTGATATTTTAGTTGTGATAGTTATTTTTGTGAACTTGCTTTAAATTTTTTTAAAAACTAAGAAATATTACATCCTCATAAATAAATTCCAATTGTTCTTTTAAAATATTCAGAGATTTATACAAACTTAGAAAGGCATAAATTCATCTATTTAGTAAAAATGCTCGAAACATACATAAATGAGTTCATACATTTGTACTTTTCTTCTTTTTTGAAAATAACCGAAACCGAACCGAACCGAGGTTTTTTTGTTCCAAAAAAACCGAAACCGGGATAAAATTTTTGGAACCGCACAGCTCTAATGAGCACTTAAACCAGTGCTTGAATTACTGAAAGATCATACATTTCAAGCAATACTATTATATACATTTATCATAAAATATCTACAATATCGCAGTGCACGGTCAATAAGCCATTACTTGGTTCAAATGTTACTGTATATTTCAAATGACTGTTTGTACTGGCTGTGTCAATGTCACGTGGATTACGCACAAAGAAAACACCCTGTTTGCAAAACTTGACCCAGTTCTTGATGTAACCATCATTTGATATCTCCATTGCCTACATAGAGAAAGAGAGAAATAATTCAAACGTGGAAGCCGACCCGGCACTGATCTGGTAGTAGGCCTGGATAGTGCATTTGCGCTGTGCATAAATGAAGCCAATGGAGGTCATATTAGTATAATCACCACAACTCTACTGTAGTGTTGGTGACATAGTAGAAGAGGTTCTTACAGTTTCTGGATATCGGTGGGAAAGGATGAATATTGCCTGAATAGTCACACCAAGCTGAAAACACTTTTTTTCTAACCTTTGTCAACCCTGTTGACATCGTATTATTTTCGTCGAACAGATAATCCATCCAGAAAATAACAGCATTACAGCATCCTTGCCTGTGGATAATAAAAATCGTAAATAAAGACTAGATAAATTCTATTATTATATACACAAGGTCAGGATATGAGATATTCTGCAATCTGATTGGTTCTCTACTAACAGGATATTAGCTCATATCCTGCTAGTAGAGAAAAACAAAATGGCGGCTCAAACTGAATTTCCAACGTTTTGCGAACGAGAAAGCGGCAAGTTGTTCGCTTTTTATAGCTTTTACAGGATTAAAAACACAATAAAAAAACTCCTACAAATTGTTTACAGAATAGAAAATAAATTTTTAAAATTTAAAATGGTTAAAAATATATATTTTTGAAAAAATAATCGGCCGAAAGAGCGAAGATAAAAACATAAACAAAATAGAAAAATATTGAAAATATCCGAAAAGCAAAGTCTGTGAATTCAGACCTTGTGTATATAATAAAACAGTTATTCCACTCACTCTCGTCGAATGTGAGCGATAGCCGATTCGGCGCTACGCGCCTCATCGGCTATCAGCTCATATTCGACTCGAGTTCGTAGAATAACTGTTAAATATTTGATGGGTATTGTAAATGGAAATTGTCGAGTGGAAATTTATATACATTTATTAGACCTAACCAGGAACAGAAGCGAAAAATGCAACAGGAATTGAACCTGCGGCCCTGTTCAGACTCATTAGTAGTTCATGAGAAAAACACAAAATCAGCATCGAGTTGTTCTCTAGATACCAGGCCCCATGGTTATTTATCCACCTAACATAATCTGATAATTTAACCAGAACGTCCTAGTCAAAAATTAACTAGGAATATTAATTGGATATTTCCAGGTTAACCAGAACCACAGAATAAAGATCAGTAACAGAAGGGCCACTCAGCGGTGCAACGTGTCCGCGTTTTTTTGTATGCAAAAATATGCAGTTTACTGGCCAGAAGGCGGAGCAGCCAACCAGTACAGCGTGTTTATTGGCCAGAAAATGTCATTGACTGGCTAGGAAAATGGCGGCCAACACGCGTAATGCGACATGTGCGAGGACAGAAACTTCAAAGCTTCCGACGTAAGTGGCCCTTCTATATGGATCTTTATTCTATGCCAGAATGTTTAACAATGAATTTTAACCAGAGTGTTCTTAGAATGCACTGAAACAGAAAACCATGATAGTACCTTGTAAATTTGACAGCATCCTTAATTTCTTGTTTCTCGTTAGGTATTGGATTTAGAAAGTTAAAATTCTGGACATTAAAAACATCGCTCAGAGCACGACACGGGTATTCCCACATACTGTGTGGTTCTGCCTCATTTTCCTCGTTCTCCACACGACAACTCTAAAATTAAAATCAAATTGAAATAAAAACACATCTAGTGGTATGTTTTATTTCATACCACAATTTGTCGTGCCGAGTGGCTCTTTTTTTCTTTTTTCAACGGCGAGTGATTGTCAGCTGATGATCTCGTCAAATGGCGTTAATTTATAAGCAAATATTTTTCAATTGCTTTACTGAAATCGACCAGATAAATCGCTGTGTGTATATCGACACATTCTACAGCAATTTGTTCTTTTGATGGATGTGAACGAGTCGATGAGTTATGAATGTTGTGAGTATATATACGCTCATCTGAACATTCATAACTCACCCACTCGTTCACATCCATCAGAAGAAGAATATCGCACCAAAAGTGTGAACGGGATTTAACTGAAGGCCAGTAGGCCACTCATAATTTTTTCCAATAATAATTAACCAAAGGTTGGCGCATTTAGTAACACACCTCAATAAGTTTATCAAATGCTTGAACGTTGAATCCCTCAACACTGCCTAGAGGAGCTTTGATTTTCCACAAATCTTTAAGTTCAACTATAATTGAAAAATCATGATTTAGATACATTATATATTCAGCCTTTGCAAGTGACGTCACGACACGGAACTCGACATAATTGTTTGGTGGTCATTTTGGGTGGCAAATGTTTAGAGCTGAATAAAAACATGTACAGCATCCATTAGCCGTCAAAATTTCACAAGTTTACTTCGTTAGAGCTCCAGTTTACCGCTTACCTTGATTAATACGAATTCTGAAAGACAATTTTTTGCAAATTTAGGGGTAACGCGTCTACATTCCATAACTTACCTGCGATCGCTTTTAAACAAGCTGATCCTGGATATATTTTAATTTTGTGATGATCAAATATAGACATAACGCTTCTCGTTGCGTACCAGAAATACAAGTCATGCCAGGGCACAAGACTGGAGACAAAAAATGGCTCGCCAAGGATAACATCAATCTAAAAATAGACAAAACAGCAGATTCCGGTCACTTATTGTTTAACTCAACGACTGACTATATCATTTAAGCTATATTATATTTACAGTTGAAAAACAAATACCTACTTTTTCCCCTATATCGGTCTTGTTTAACTGATCAGCAGTCTTTGGCAGTAAAACAATCTTCTCCATTAAACCATTTGCAATGACAACCTAGACAATTCATATGGAAGAAAGAACAGACTTTACTGTTTACTGCACTTTTGCTCTAATGGCCTCGTTTTCATGTTTGTCTGTTTTAGCAAGGCACGCGCGCAAGAAGGTTAAATTCCCATTTTCGTGTACGAAATGGTTTTCTTTGATCATGAGGTCAATCATAAACCTACTGTATCCTTAACCCTATAAGAAATGAGAAATATCAGAAAGTCATAAAAATAAGTTTGCACCTGTTCTATGACGCGTCTTGCCGCTACTTCTGGTTCCAAGACATAAATCTAAAACGAATCAATCATGAAATAGTTGCCACTACTGAGATATAAAGGTCCGTTTACACTTGCTGCAATGTTTGCTACGATTTTCCTCTTCTGATGAAAAGATCGACACTACCTTTTTAAAACCAGCCATTGCTGCCAATATACTGATTAACGAACCGTCGCTGATTACAAGGCCAACAGAAGCTCCACTTTTCACAAGCTATACACAGGAGAACAAGAGTAAATTGTTAATATAGGGACAGAATGATTAAACAACACCAGATTGATTTCAATGCATATTTATCCGTACAAAATCACCTTTTTGGATAAGGTATAAAACTGTTTCCTCCTCTTGCGATCGTTAACCATGGAAAATCTAGGTCTGCTCCAAACTGTATGCGCTCCACATGTACATACCGGACCTCTCGTTGCTAAGTTCGATGCTTGGAGTCTTAAGAAAAAGATACAAATGAATGTAAAATCATACTAGGCATTTTATTTGTGTATTTCACTACATCCATCACTTACAACAGGACGTTTATCAATTGCACGGGACGTTTTTATCAAATTTTCAAATAATGAATCAAATGAATTGGTTCCTGTGAGCAAATGAATTTGTAAAATATTTTGGTAACACTATAAATACTTCCATTGCCACGACTGTAACTTACTTATTTTCTGCATGAACGTCAAACCAAAAGGCAAAGTCATCATGTGTCGTTTGAATACACAGACGTTGTCCTGAAAAAAATATACATTGAAATTGCACAGGTGGCATATCCAAAATGTAAGATAACCGAAAGCGTCTTGTAAAAATTTTCGAACCTTTTTTAACTTGCAAAGGTGTGTCCATGAAATAAATCCCTTGCATCCAGTGATCACGCCACTATGAAAGAAAAGATGTCTGTAAAAATGGTGGAAATTTGTCCTCTTTCAGTCTTTCAACGCTAGTTAGAGAAAGTTATGAGCTGTTAGGGTAGCACAGAGGTAATAGTCCATGAGCCTTTGGCCAATTGATTCCAGCTACTATGTTTTATGCCATGACGTCCACGATATTTTTCGGACGGCCAATTTTGACATTCTGGCTAAAATCCTGCCTCTGCGACCTGGATTCGAACCCAGCAACTGTGATTTCCTCCTGTAATAACATTGATCATGATTGACCCTTACGAACCTCCAGGGAGAACAGTTTAGAAGTGATACCATCTACTCAGATGAAACCGTAAACAAATTGCTTATTAATAACTAGAGTTTTGAGAGAGCTGTTGACAAACACAAAGAAGAAACAAACTAGTCAAATACTTAAAATATAATATAAACAATCAAATGACGAAAGATTTGCACAATATGAAAAATTAGCTAAAAAGTAAAAACAATTATAAAATGACCTCATTTCTTTTCGCTTTATCTTCGTCCATCCATTTTGGTGCCATGCTCAATATAATTTCTCCACCTTTGTCCATGTGTAAATCCCACCACATTAGGATGACATGCGCTGTTCCTTGATGCTCCACAAGAGCATTACTTAAGTAACTTAGTACTTCATTATCTTTATAATCAGTCATCACTGTTTCAGTATTCAGTTTGTCGTATCTTTCCTCTTCATCCAGATCGCAAAAAAGAAACCTGATTGAATAAAAGGACGGTTTACTGTGTTGCATTAAGTTTAATTATACTGAAGTAGAGGAAACTCTATCGATCAGTTCTACATTGTTCTTTTTATTGGACCAGTAGTTCAGACATATCAGTTGTACGAAATACACTTAGACCACGTTGATCACCTTAAAACAGGCAGAGGTTTAGTCAGTGCTTGAAAGTCCGTCAATGGCATCTCATCAGCTTGAACATCATATACTGAAGGAGCACCCTTGCAGTTCTTGATAGATTCTGGAACCTCTAATGTTACTTCTTCATCGTCGTACTAAAAATAACACCCAAGAGGTTCAGACTTGCGGGATTGCTTGTCTAGATGTTGATAATCGTGTTGGGAATCATGGACGACTCCAAAACAAACAATCGAAAAGTGTGCAATTGCCTAAACTTACAATGAAAGGAGACAGTTGATGCATTTCCCACAATGTTTGAGATTCAAACAACTGGACATAAATAGTTGCAGCAGCTGGAACAACTGTAGCATTTTCCTGAACAAAGAAGTGCTAGTTACCACGGTTATCTCATATAAACACGATAACCTGCTTATAACTGAAGAAGAATTCAAGAAAATGAAATATATAACTAGTGGTTTTTGCACTTCATTTTCATGATATGCGTGCGTACTTAAATGCAGATCCAATGTACCTTTATTCTGTGGATTATATCCACGTAATTTTCAAACAATGAATTATTGATCCAAAATTATCCCGCAATGCACTGTGCATACCGACAATTGTGTGACGTAAGCACTATTAAAGACGACGGATTTATAAGGACGCTTGTGGGAGAAAAGTATCTTCAACTTGCCTTTAGAAGGTGTTTGTAAGCATGTCTCATAGATGGTAACAATCCTTCCCCAATAAGTTCTGTATCAAACAACTCCATAACCACAAAGTCAGCCCTTTCTGCTATATCTTAAAATTTTAACAAAATAAAATATTGTAGTGTTGGTGATACTGCGCGAAGTTCGATCGCGTGAATTTCTCAGTATGTCAAGACTCATAAGCGAACCAAGTACTGCAAAAATCCATATACAGATATATGTACAGTATGTAATAATAATTAGTGAACCTTCAGGTATTAATGTATCCAAAGAACTTTTTGGTACAACGGAGATGACGTCAGAGAAACCATTCTCGTGAATAATTTCCTTTGCTACATTAGCCATTGGTAAAAATGCCTAGTGTAAATATACCATAATTATATATAATTAAAATGAAAGAGTGCATGCGTGATGTGCTACAGAAAATTTAATTAGAAGTAAAATTGCCTATTAAAGACTTCTGAAGAAGAAGCTCATGGTGACAAGCACATGCAGTAGCAATAAAAGACGCTGATAACAACTTGTTGTAACTCATAAAAGGGTGTAAAGAAAACAAGCACTCAAATGCAACTCTAATGTACTCTCATCCTCAATCATTTCATCCAGGCGTTAGACACAAAACCGCATACTTCACAGGCTGTGATTTTAGTAACTCCAGACGCGGCAGCCATCATGGACAGTAGACCGGTTCCAGTCCCAATATCAAGACAATGAGGATTTCTCCCTTCACTGAGAAATCTTTGCACTTCCTTCCTGATAGCTCTGAAGTACTGTTTATTCTAAATTTTGATATTCATAATAAAAAATAACAATTTACTATATTGTAAAATATTGCAGTTCATAAAGCTGGTACAACAAACATTTAAAATCAAATATAATTCGTATAAAAACATATGACTAGAAATAAAACATTTTTCAAAAACTCATTTCTTCAATACACACTGGCTTTTATATAGCTTTACTAAAATAATATTAGATGAACTAGTTTGTGATCAATAGACTGATTTCAGCCATTCCTCCCTTGTTCCAGAGTAGGTGAGGTTAGAATTCTCCTGAGTTGCAGTCTGATATTAAAATGCAGGACATTAGCTTTTTGAATTGGTCAACAAGAGACATAATATGCCGATAAGACTTTAGCTTTTTGAATAGCAGTCACAAAAAAGACATAGGCTAGCTGACTGTCTCACTGACAGAGTAAATTAAACCTAAAATTGTGTTTGAAAATTTAAAAAGATCTAGCCCTGCCTAATTAATTATGATATACCTTTAGTTTTCAAACTTATACTTCACATTGTTAAATCTGTATAATTATTATATTACCCTTTCTTTATCATGTAGCATATCACCAAACAATGACCTAAAATTATATATGCAAAACAGATCAGTAGATACTTCAATTTACTATGGTACAGTATGCCAAAGTGGCGACGTTGTAGCTGACAGATAATTTGCAAGGTATTAGTCTGGTGTGGGTGTGGCAGCTCCCTCAATTCTGGTAGAAATGGTAAAGCACAAGGGCGGATTTTCATTTATTTAAAAGGAGGGGTAGAAAAATTTCTGGTGGGGTGCAAGTGGCACCACTCAGTGAGCTTCGTTAAAGCCTTTAACACAAAATAGGAGGGGTGAAGCGTTTGGGGTTGAACACTTTATTGGAGGGGTTAGAGAGATTCTAGGGGGTTACCCCCCCCCCCCAGTAAATCTGGCCATGGTAAAGCAAGTCATTTTCATTCATTCTGTCATTTGCTTCTTAGGCAGCTTGAGGTCAGAAATAGTACTCATGCAATTAAGAAGGGAGAGTCAGAAATTTTGCAGTTTCTATTGTTCTTTGTGAGCAGGGGTAGGGAGGGGGTACAATGTTTGAAAATTCTTGCATACTACTAAATGGTGCTCTCTATGATTGGTCAGTGCACTCATTGGTGAACAGAGATCAGACCCTGGAATGTCTTGCTAACTCAGTAAAGACGCAATCCTAAATAAATTGTACCCAAGACAATACCTCAAAATATCGCGCCTATCATCATAATCTTCCTCCATCAAACACCATTCCTCTCTTCCTGTCGTTGGACTGAATCTTTTGCAAAACATCTCGCTAATACCTTACTCTTTCATTTTAAATGCCCTTTCCGAAGTATATCCATTTATATTATTACACTTAATTCACTGATACAGTAAAAATTAACGTAATTTTCTAACATTTCTATTTACAAATGAAATGTAAACAAAATGCACGTGTAAACACCATTTCCGGTAAAAAGATACAGGCACACCCCCCCGGGAATGTTCTTTCGTAAATACATTCTACGGAGGGTGGTTCTTGGACTCTTTTTTGACGAATGGGATTGAGTAAGGTTGCCAAGGAGAGAAATATCATTGGTTCATACTTATGAATATTGTAGCTTTTGCCTTTTTCACAAATTCACATACGTCAAGAGGAGAACTTTTATCTAGATTAGGCAATATATCGTATATTTTTGTGTAAACTGAACTTTGCCAACTTAAAAATATATCAAATGGCTTCGTCCCGTGTTGTACAACGAAAAATCTTCAACTTTGCGCGTAATCCGTCACAGATTAAAGCTGTTTCTCGAGCGATGAGTGGTTCGAAGTTTCCAGCCAGAACCGAGCCAATGTTGCCCAAAGATTGTTTCGCAAACAAGACGGCGTTTATTACTGGAGGTGGAACAGGGCTGGGAAGGGGAATGGCTGAAATGTTGTCTAGGTTGGGTGCAACTGTCATCATTGCCAGTAGGTCAGTTATTGCCAGTAGATCAGATAATACAATGGTAGGGCTAGCCTTTACCTGCCTTTTGGGTGTTCACCCATTGGGGCAATCAGTACCCCATTCTTTTCTCATATGTACCGAGTATGTAGCCCAGTGTGGAAAGTTTGTATCGTGCAGCGGAGATATCGGTTGTGCAATTTTGATGCTTTCTATATATTTACTATTAAATTTTCGAAATCTCCGGTGCGCAATTTCCAAACTTTCCAGTCCGGTAATACTATGTAGCTTGAGTGAAAAATTCACTAATCAGTAGTATGCAATTGTTTGTGATCTACAGTTGTGGGCATCTAAAAGTGTGTCAGTGTTTTGGCAGTCTGGTGCCCCTTCTCCTTCCACTCTCTGCATCACTTATAATCTCGTATTTTTCCACCTTTTGATTGCCCTGATCATGGACATGCCCTCTTCCTCCCACACCTGCATCCCTTACCTGCAACCCCGGGGTTGTCCCCCTCCATGCTATCGATACTTGACAGTCTTGGTCTCCCCCTGCAGTCCCAACTCTTTACTGGCTTGGTCTTGTACCCCCACAGCCAATCACTCCTGACCTGACATTTCTGGGCATACCGCTTACCCCCACTAATCACTCCCTTCTTGAGCTATATCCTCTCTAATTGACATACAGCCATGTCCCTGACCACTCCCCCCGTATCTCCTACTCTTGCACCCCTGGTCTTGGTCCGTTGTCCGGCTGTCACCTTCATCTCAATCTTCACAACTGTGGTGTTACCCCCTGGCAGCCACCATGATACTAGCTAGATCATATACCCTGGTCCTACTTCCTCTCTTGCCCTCATTCCTTCCTTCAACACTAATTGTCATCTCAGGTCCTCCCCACCTCCCACAATTGATAGACCTTGCCCTTGTATGCTTGCCCCTCCCTTCCCCCATTTCTCTCTTTGCACAATCCAAGTGAAAGATGATCTAAATGTTTTGTGGTTAATGTTTAGAAAGCTTGATGTTCTACAGAAAACTGCTGAAGAGCTCAGTCAAGATACTAAAAATGAGGTCATGTGTTATAGTACTCTTAACAGAATTCAACCTTTTTCGTTGTACCGTCAGACTGGTCAATATGACAAATGCAACTTTCATTTGCTCTTTAATATTGCTGATAATATCATAATTTTAAGCTTCTCCAACAGGTTTTTCCAATACAAATGGATGTCCGTGACCCTGAAGCAATAAAAAATGCTGTGGATGCCTGTGTTGAAAAGTTCGGTCTTCCAGATATTGTCATCAACAATGCAGCAGGCAATTTTATTTCACCATCCGAACGGCTGTCTCCTAATGCATGGAGAACCATCATAGATATAGTGCTGAATGGCACGGCGTATGTGACTCTGGATATCGGAAAACGTTTGATAAAGGCTGGGAAAGGTTGCAATTTTCTATCAATTTCTACAGTGTATGCCCAAACTGGTTCAGGATTTGTGGTGCCTTCAGCTGCTGCCAAATCTGGAGTAGAAACAATGACAAAGTAGGTAAAAACTGAAGATATTGTAATGGTTCAAAGAGGGTAAGTCGGTAAGTGCAGGTGTGCTAATCATCTTTACTTGCAGTTGAGAGATGAAGCTGAATTGCGAAGGATGCAGGTCAACCTGTTCGAGTTGAAGGCTGTCGATCTACATGCAGTAGATGAGGCCCCCCGATGAGGCTCAGTTAAGGGTTAATCCCAACCCCCCTGTTGACATTATCTGTGGGAGAAAACCGGAGTACTACCCGTCTCAAGAAAACCCACAAGTTTCGGTAAAGCGGTGATTGACCATTTTCACATGAGTGCAGGTCCAGACACACTGGACGCGATTCGACAACGCGACGCGATTTTTTAGTTTCTGAAAGTTAATAAAACAGCCAATGAGAGCAAATTTTGAAAGATATGTAGACCAAATAACTCAAAATGTTATAGCGCTTCTAAATATTTGGAAAATTCAAACTAGGATCAAAGTCAGTTATCGGTCAGTGAAAATCGAAAAATCGCGTCGCGTTGTCGAATCGCATCCGGTATGTCTGGACCTTGCCACGAGTCCGCAGCGAGAGACTAGATTCGAACCGTAAGGCGCTTGTCGGGGTGCTCATGCGCGTTGGCATGTAGTGTTCTACATGTGCCTGATGTGGTTATGGTTTTTGATTGAAACATTCAAAACCTTCCAATTGACATCATGGTGACTGGGTACTTCGTAGGTCCTTCCTGCTTCATCAGGAGACTAATTCAATTGCATAGCCAGCCCGTTGATCTAGTCCCGCTATGCAAATATTGCCATGTTTATAAACTATCAACACAATAAATTTCTAAAGAAATGAACAATCAACAATGAGTTGAAATTTGCATAGCGGGACTAAATCGTTGGGGGTGGCTACGCAACTGGAGACTACAGCAGGCTGTGGCCCAACTAACCCTAGTTTACCCAAAACATCGAAGACAAAGTATCTACAAAGTACCACGACAGCTTAAAAGCAAAATACGCAGCGTAAAAACAACAACAATCGAACATTCAGCCTATATTAGAAAACATGTTGTCAAATATGTAATCTAACTAAATGTAAGTTATCGCTTCTTGATAGTAATGCAAAATATTTTCAGATCACTGGCTGCTGAATGGGGAAGATATGGCATGCGATTTAATGCCATCGCACCTGGTCCTATCGAAACAGAGGTACTGTGAGCACTTTACGGCCTAGTTCACTGCCACAAGGTGCAAGTGATGCAGTCATCTTGAAAGCAATATTCTTTGACTTTATTCAATATTCCGCTTGTACCAATGCTGTTTCAACAACTTGTTATCAAGACGTGTTCACACTGCTTGTTCCCAGCTTGTTAACAAGACTTCAGTTATAACTTTTTCCAACCAGGGACGGCGCTAGACCTATTTGAATAGGGGTATGTTCGCGGCTCAATGAAATAATGCTTTTCGGACATTATATTTTTTTATATTATTTTGGATTAACGTACCGATCTTCGTTCAATTTTTCCTACATGTTTTCGCAAATTTCTCCAAATTAAAGGCAAAGCTATTATTAATTTTAAAACAGTGTCACTCAAATATTTTAGTTTTCTTTTCCCTATCCAATTCATGTTTTGCCGACTACAAAAACAAATTACTCAAATTTATGAGCAACTTTGACTCGTTTTTTTTTAGTAAAATAAATCTTAACTCAAAATATTGAGTAAATTTGCTAGTCACATGAGGCGCTGTGGGTACATTATTTTATTCAAGTTTTTTAGTGAAATATTTTTGCAGTTAACTACAAGTTGTGAGTGACAACCTTACATACTAGTATAGTGCCATTAGGCATTAACTTGAGAAAATGACTAAACATTGTTGCAAGTAATGGACCATCCCCCAATTAACCAAAATTTTGAACTCAACAAGTCTAGACAATTTCATCACAGCTTGAAAGAGTATCACAAAATTAGTAATATTCCAAACTTTCGTTGCAAAATGTTGTAAAATGCAGATAATATAGCCTTGTGAAGTTTGCAATTTTCAGTCATTTTAGATTACAGACGGGAAATGGTTACCACTTCTGTGCGTAATATAAAATGACTGAAAATTACAAACTTCGCAAGGCTATATTATCCGCATTTTACAACATTTTGCAACGAAACTTTGGAATATTACTAATTTTGTGATGCTCTTTCAAGCTGTGATGAAATTTTTGTTTAGGCCAGTTAAGATCAAAATTTTGGAAAAGTGGTAACCATTTCCCGTTTGTAATCTAAAATAACTGAAAATTGCAAATTTCGCAAGGCTATATTATCCGCGTTTTACAACATTTCGCAACGAAACTTATTACTAATTTTGTGATGCTCTTTCATGCTATGATGGAATTTTGTCTAGACTTGTTGAGATCAAAATTTTGATTAATTGGGGAATGGTCCATTGCTTCATGCCTGTTGCACCGGAACATTCTTGTTGACACTGTAGATTATTCAACCTGCAAAATAACGAGGCTTTTTCCACGATTATAGAATATAGATATCAAGGTGAATGACCATCTTATTGTAGGGCGCGTTTTCAAGACTGGACCCAACTGGTGAATTTAAAGAAGAAGCTATCAACAAGTTACCAACATCTCGTCTGGGAGAAATCAACGAACTTGCCAATCTAGCTGCATACCTTGTCAGCGATTATTCAAATTGGTTAACTGGAGAGGTTTGTCGCGAGAAGATTTCCTCTAATATCAGTTGATTCTTACATCGGAGGGTCTAAAGCCCCAGATCCAGGGATGCCGGAAGTTGCTGAGGGCAAGGGGTGCAATTGGTTAACAAGAGGGCATACTCCTTAATAAAAGGCACCAATGAAAATGAAAGGGCGTCATGATCCTACATTCATGTCAACCTCCCTCCCTGTCACCAAATTTTTTCGGACCGAATACAATTATTTAGGCACAATTCCTCCGTAATTTCTCGCCAAAAATTCCATAAGTATAATGCTTTCCGTTTCATCTTTCGCCAAATGGATAACAACTTTGCCGAATTCCTGACGACTGGGGGGTGGAACACCCCCACACACATCCTTGAACGACGTTTAATTCTGTCTGTTGTAAAAGTTTTGTGCACCTGTTACACCCATAGTCTGCACCCGCACTGCACCCACAAAGTTGAAAATGCAAAAGGCAAGGGGTGCACTTGCACCCGTGGTTCCGGCATCCCTGCCCAGATCAAACGAGGATGAGAGTGCGTGAGGGTTGGTAGTCGTGCGACCTTGGTTATAGCTGTTCTTAATGCTTTCCCATTGAAGTTAAAACATAGTTAGAACACTCTTCAAACCTTTACTTTGTTTATAATCTAGAGCTTCAAATGTCCCCGTAACAATGCGTGTGTGCCAACTCTCATCCTCATTTGACAGGGGCTTAAAGGGTGATTCCAGGTGATTCCAAAGACTGAATTTTGATCAAGGCAAGGAGAACGAACACCACAGCTAGAAACAGCGTCTTGGAATGAGTAACACTGCAAAGATTGGTTGCTAAATGTTGTAAAATGAAGAAAATATAAGCCCTGTGTCTGTGAAGTTCGCAAATTTTGTATATATTTGTATTACTAGTGGTAAAAATAACCACTTTCCCCGCGCGTAAATGCAAATATATACAACATTTGCGAACTTCATGATCACAGGGCTATATTTTCCTCATTTTACAACAATTCGCAACCAAACTTTGCAATTTTACTCATTTTAAGATGCTCTTTCCAGCTATGGTAATGGATTTCGTTCTTCTTGCCTAGATCAAAATTTCGTCTGTATATATTATTTTAGCTGGGATCATCGGCTAATTGACTAATGGCTTCAAATTTTCACAAGCACATACTTTTTATTTCAAACCTCGATTTCAAACGGCTTTGGATAGTGGTTAAATTCGCTACTGCCAATCAAAGTTTTTTGCCGCGTTTCAGCATTTTTAGCTTAGATTCAATTCACAAAACACTTCGTTTTTCAAAATTCCACTTAAAAGAAAACAATGTCATGTGCAGTGCTTTCGCTTATAGGTAATCATTCTTGATGGTGGAGAAACAGCTGGCATGGGCGAGTTCAATGGATTGTTAAAAGTAATTTTATTAGTACTGTAATTAACTTTGCTGTCCATTAATTAGGATTAAAACTGGAAATAGTGCACTTTCGAAAGGTTCTCATGACTGCCAGGGCTCAAAATAACGGGAGATAGGTCTCTCGGTTGAAATGAGTAAATGACCGGTCACTGAACTTGATTTTAGCTCGGTCAAAATCTGTTTTTGATACGCATACACTAACAGTGAAACAAACTATTAGAAACTTGTTTCGATACATCGTTTCATGTTTTAATTGCAAGGCATGAAAATGTGGCCGGTCAAAATGACCGGTGAGGTAAAAAAGTGACCGGTCAACAGGCATTTTTGGCCGGTCATTGTCCGGCCGTTATTATTGTCATGTCATGTTTCCATTGCAATTTCAACCTATCATAATATTTAACAATTAATACACGGTTCTTATAAGCAACTCGGGTGCGATAATTCGCGTACTTACAGTAACTGCACGACATTGGTACGACATTGGTACTGCAGGACTTTCGCTATCTGGGTATGTAGACCTATGCATGTTTAGCTGGTACCACATATATAACTAGCAAACTGTGCAAGGTCCATTTGAAACTGATTGTGGCATCTCAGACATGTCTTGACAGGAAACACGATTGAACTGATGGATGTGTTAACTTTTAGCAATGTAAATGTGTTCCTTGCTCTAGCTCATATCAGATAAGCTTCATGTTAAAATATGCTTTATACATTACCATGAACCTTATTACCAGCTTAAATACTTGACAACAATAGTTGAGGTAATGAAGTTGAAGTTGGGCAAATTTCCTCCCTAATATTTCCCTCCCATACTCCTATGCAGTGAAGGACATCCGAAAATGTTGAACTGTCAGTCCCTACAGTACTAAAATGTGATTCCTCATGTTTGATGTTTTAGGTAACAAATGAACAATGGGACATGTTGGAAGCTATGGTGCGGAAATCATCAAAATCTCCAAAATCTAAGCTGTAATGTTAATTTCATCTGTATAATACCACATTGATGTCACATTGGCAATATTTTTTAAAGTTCTTATGGCAGGCATAAAATAGATTGTGAAATCTGTTAAGCATTAATTTTTTAGTACAACTTTGTCCTTAATGATGACTTTAAAGTTGGTGGTTGAGAAGACTTAGTGGTAGCAAGCAGCAATCTTTTATTAGTTTCCCTTGGTGGGCCTGCATGTGGGCTAATCTTTTATATGAGACACAACTATCTGAAAAATACCAAAAAACTGACATTATGAGCAAAAGCCCTTCATCTGGTAGTTATTTAAACTAATTAGTGGATCTAACTTCTATGGTACTGATATCCACTGTGTAATGGTAGATGTATGCCCTTCACTCAAAACATCGAAGTACTCTTTGTGTTTTTCAAGAAACATTGTTTCGACCATACAAATAATTGTTGCTTGTACTCATTGCTATACTTTCACTGACACTGACCATTAAAGTTAATATATCAAAATTAAGAAATAGCTCAGCCATTAAAAAAATATATCAGTAATATGCATTACTGTAAATTTGATTACATTTGGATTATTATTAAATATAGTTTACTAAAATACATTAATTTGTGCAACAAATATATAGCTTATATAACTTATACTGTAGCTTATATAGCACATTCTCCATGGTGAAATGATCAAATGCTCCTTATGAAATGATCGCCACTACAGCTTTGTTATTTTACTCCCACTGTCTCATAAACAATGGTTCAACCACAACAGTTATAACCACCCTCACTCTTCTGTTTTTTGTCATCAAGGTCCAACCTGAATCCATTCTCCTGATCATCATGGTTCCTTCTGCTTTTAAACATCTTCACCGAATGCTTCCCAAGTTCTTTTAGCAAGTCTTCAACTCCTTCATTTGTCTTTGCTGATGTCCAAAAATTTGCAAGTATTTTCTTTTTTATGTTACGAAGAAAAACTTTCTCTTTTTCTTCTGGGACACCATCCTGATCAAGAGGCAGGTCAATTTTATTTCTAACAAGAATTAGTTTTGCTGCAGGTTCATATAATTTGACATCATCAACAATTGTAGACAATTTGTGTAATGAGTACTCATCATCAGCACTATATACTAGAAGAACAAACTTGCTACCTCTATAATATGATTGCGTAATGCTGGCATGTCTCTCCAAGTCAACTGTATCCCAAAATTCCAACTAAAGATAAAAAGATATTTATCGACTTTAGGAGGTGCTTATAATTTTTCTGTATTGTCATCATATCACCTGAGAGGAAAGATGATGGATTAGACTTGAAGTCTCAAAGTGCCCGGACCAGAGTGCATGGTATGTGCCACAGTCCAATTTATTCTGCAATTACAATGCAGCCATTTACGTACCAAATGTTCTGCCTTCATTTCTCTGCAATACTCCCTTCCAGGAAGTATGTCACCCTGGCTAAAGTGTCATACTTTCCAGAAGGGTAAATTCCATATGGAAATATTCCCCACGCCAATATAATTCTTTAATACAGACTTGATTTTTTGGGGGCCCCTGGTTACAGTAAATTGCCCCCTCTGTTGCCACATTTTGTGTGGGATTTAAATGTATATTGTCTTCTAATTAAATTACTATAATTTTAATTGTATATTTTATATAAATTCCGGCTCCAATTTTCATGTCTAGTGATTCTTACCGGTATTATAGTTTCGTGTTTGTGGAGTATTTCCTCATGTGTCCGTTTATCTCCGGAAGACGGTGGTTTTTTGTCGCAGAAACCTTCCTTAAAAATTCTTCTAAACAAACTTGTTTTACCCACATTATATGCACCAGTAAAAACGACCTTGTAAGGTTTTATTGGCCGTTTATAATTTGCAACAGAACCGTTCTGAGCGTCTTGGTTTTCTAAACAATAATGAAATTCCAAAAGTGACATAGCAATGTTTTCATTAAGCGGATTAAAAACCTGAGGAGCAACATATGCATACCAACCCTCTAATTCTAGTTAAAAAATTAACTAGAATTAGAGATGCATACCAACCCTCTAAATCTAATTCTAGTTACCAACCCTCAATTAAATAATTATGCAGTCAGGTATAGTCATGCAATTGGGGCAGGGGAGCTCTTTCCCTCCCCCAATGATCTCCATTCAGGCCTATTCTGGCAAAACATTGAAATTCAGTCAAAAACATGTGTGTGTGTGTGTGCGTGTGTGTGTGTGTGTGTGTGTGTAAGGGGGTTCAATGTGTGTGTGTGTGTGTGTAAGGGGGGGGGTTCAATGGCAACATCGTTCCCAGGCTTTTCCCTCTTGTTGAGGAATAAAGAAAAGAAAAGAAAAGGGAAAAAAAGAAAAGAGGGAAGAGCTTGGGAATGAGGTTGGTGCAATGGCTGGAATAATGATAACAAATATGTTATATACATGTAGTCTATTTAATCTGCTGCCCTGATCTAGAAAATATTGATGGATTGTCAGGAGTGTAATGAGCAGGAGCCACACAACCTATAGGGACTTTAAGATGGTCAAAAACTTAATCCCCGAGAAATTAGTACCCTCGCCCCAGGCGTAAGCCCAGGGTGAGGGTACTAATTCCGCCCGGGGAAAAGAAAGCACTAGCAAAGGGCATAGTACAAAATGACGTGACACCAGGTCGTGACATCCAATCAGATGCATGCATCTAGTAACTTGCCGAGCATGTGTACAAAAAAGTGGGTACACTAGTTACGTCTCTGTATGTCTCTACTCTGTGGTTCAGTAATTGGCCATTTACAAATACGTCATGTTAATTTGATGTTTGGAAAATATGGGCGAGGGGTTGCTGCATGCATGTATTTCTAGGCATCAACTATTTCGCTGACCTCAGAATGATATTTCGTCAAAACGTTTTTCTTCAAGATTGGTTTAGAAACAAATTTGGAATAGGGTTAGGTTAGGGTAAGGATTATGGTAAGAGTTGGTGTTTGGAGTAGGGTTAGTGTTAGTAAAACCATTGCTTTGTTACATTTTGTCACCCTCAGGCCAGCGAAATTAATTAATCTCTTCTGTATTTCTAGTATAGGTACTCACTATAACCAAATGATAAAAATTTTACCTGCAAGCTCTTGGTCTGGTGTTTTCTCCCAGTTTGGCTTTGCTGGTGTTGGATTTTCTTTCATGCGTCTACCATATATAAAAGACAATGCATCATTTTTTGGCATCTTAAACCAGCTATTCTAGGTCACTCTGCTCAACGTACACTGGTTATTATGTATTCATATACGACATCAATATGCTTACAAATTATTATACAGTATACAGACATTAGGTATATACAGTAGCAGGGCTGCAAATTACTGTCGGACATATCGGACAATGTCCAACTAAATTTGGCAAATGTCCGAGCAAAAGTAATTTTGATCGGACAATTTGGTCCGATCACAAAAAATTGTGATTGAGTCACATTATACATTTTTTTGCTGTGACAAAATCCGATTGCAAAGTGATCGGACAAATGTCCTGTCAAGTCAGATAATATTTGCAGCCCTGCAGTAGGTATATTAAAGATGATGTTCTCTCCTGTGCGCATGTGCGAACTTTGCATGTTTACGTTTTGAACTGCTATATTTGTGAAATATGATATATACTAACTGAATATCTAACACTTTTCTGGTTTGCTATGCTTGTAAATGAATATAAACTCTATGTTTCAATTCAAAAAAGTTTGAAAGATGAAAATTTGGGCTATTATCTGGGGGTCCCCTTTTGTTATGAGCAGAACTGATGTGCAGAATGGAGTAGAAATCATGCATCTTTAATATTTTCAAGAGTATTATACCATATTGTTATTTGGTTGAGGACATGCATAGATTAAAAAGTGTATATAAACCCTGATTTTGACTAAAGACTGAAAATTAAACACACTAGAAAACAGTAAAATAATTTCAAAAAAGATCAGGGATTTAAAAGAAAATAATTTATTAAATTATGATCAAGGTACAACAATTAGGCTTTGCAAGAAAATAAAATGAAATAAAACCTAATTAAAGTTATGTCATGGCAGGAGACTCCTACATGCGCATTGTGCAGACCGGACTGTACCCAATTTTTCACATACCTTTCGTTTATAGCTTCCTTACTTTTGCATACTTCTTCCATGTTTAAAATCTCCACCTTTATTCCTTCTATTTTAATTCCAGCCAACAAGAATTCTTCCTGTAAACGTTTTTTCAATTCACCAGATTCATAATCTTCTAAAACTTCCAGAAATCTTTCATCTGTCAAACAATGCAGTAGAACGTTTAGAGATCCTGGTTTGATATCCCGAAATTCTTGGTCGTCTCTTTCACCTCCAAAGGCACGTTTAACCGCGCCCTCAATTAAGGGTTTCATTAAATGATAACCAGCATAAAGAGCACCAAGTGTAACTACAGTCGTGCATACAGTTCCGACTACATCTCTGACCACTTGCACATCAGTAGTGCTGATGTTGATTGAAAGGTCACCACCTTTGCTATATTTTAAACTGGCAGACAGAGCCTCCTTTGCAACACTCTGCACTGCTTGTCCAAATTCTGGACATTCTGCCATTACCAAAATATTTCCTGGAATTGAGACAGATAATGGAATAAATGTAAGGAAAATGATCAATAGCAAGCAGGCCTAAAACGCACACAAGTCACAGGCACACACGGGTCCCAGATTGCAAGTGACAGTGAGATGACCGAGTGCCAATCACAGGTCACAAATCACATGGTGCAAATTCCTGCACCATGTGATAATGTCACCTGTGACTGGCAACCTGTGATTGGCAATTCTGCAACTCGAGTTTTAGGCCTGCCGGATAAATATCAGGATTTTGGGCATCTCACTTGATAGAACTATGGGGCCAATAGTTGCATTTTTGCAGCTCACTCTGGTTATAGGTATAAAAATGTATAAAATTAATTACACTTGAAAAATTTCATCTACAAAACCCTTCAACTAATGTAAGGAAACTAGTAATACTAAAATGTATCATGGCATCCAAAACTTGTTAATAAGAATCATTCCAAGAAAACAATAATTGACTAAAGAACCTTTTTTAATTAAAACAATAATGATAATATTTCAAATCAATCCTCCCCCCCCCCCCCTCGCCCCCTCTCGTGGTAACAAGGTTTGAGAGGGTTTTACCAGTGAGCTCTATATATATCTACAGCAAGAACTTCAGTCATTATAGACAAATTTGGATAACTTTGTTAATGACCCAATTCACAACTTTAACTCATATGCCTAATTATTGCTGTTTTAGTATACAGAAGCATATAATAGGACAAGGGTAACTAAGCTTTAGAATTATCTACATGAGTGAATATATAACTCTCATATACACATAACTCTAATGGAGTATATAATGCTTACTTAGAGCCTCATGTTTATATGGAAGCCGGGCTGGTCCGCTAAGCGAAACAACCCGGTAAGCGAGATCTCGTTGTATAGTAAAAATTATTGTGCGTTTATATGGACAAGCGGGTTGGCCCGGTTGCCGAGATCTCGCTTGAAAGAGGCGAGATCTCGCTTACCGGGATGGAAATTTCTCCATTTAAACACTCACAAGCGGGCTAGCCCGGTTGCCGGGATGAAAGTTCAAAGATACCGCCGCAAGCTATTTTTAACAACTGTCAATTTTGAAAACAATACAATGTAACAGGAGAAATTCATCCCGCTTACCGGGCCGTCTCACTAAATGGGCCAGCCCAGCTTCCATATAAACAGGCCCTTACTTTTGTTCTATTGAACTAGAACAATAGTCACTAGGCATGTAAGTTATCTAAAGAAAATACAAAAGAAATGAATGTTTAATCAATGTTTGTGAATCGGATAAAGATTTGTCCTGATTTGCATAAACTTCAGCTTTGATTTTCTCGGTTTAGACAATGTTTATTTTTAAAATTACTTACGCCATTGAACTCATAAGATGGGTCGTTTTTTAATTCGCATCCAATCGCATCCATTCGCATCCGATCTTTATCTGATATACAAACTCTCGCCTTCGGCGCGAGTTTGTATATCAGATAAAGATCGGCTGCTCATTTTTTATCTAGTACTTGTGAATTGGAGATAGGAGCCCAAACAAGTAGGTTTTATTAAATAAAAGCCGTAATTAAAACACTAAAGTATGCAATTAGCAATAAAATTGCTGTTAGAATCATGCACGTAGGTTAAGTATAGGATATGTCACTAATTATATAGTCAAATCACAGCGCGACCGGAGCACGCTACGTGCATGACTCTCTAACCATTTTCTCAGTTATAAATTCCACGCAGAGAATTCCACGAGTATCGCGTTAATCAAGTCATCAGTTCATAAAACCATAATATTTAGTCTTCACACTCCTTGTAGTATTACTAACCTGAGATTCAAACGTGTCAAAAGTTTATCTGCTTTAATTGTCCCTTGTCTCATGACTTCTTTAATTGCAGGTAGTTGTACTTGTATCACCTACAAATGCATACAGAAGCCCATTATTTTAAGAACTTTCAATGCTGATATAGTATCATTCATTCAATAAAGAAAATTAAATTAGATTTTATTATTGCGAAGGCACTTGATCGCTCGGAACACCAGTATATTATTATTCTCATGCACCTATTTCCTCGAATTTCTGCGAGTTCCGAGACAAAGCACACTAAAATTTTAATTTTACATAAAATCACATACCTTAATTCATGTACACAATACATATCAAACAGACAATACTTTAAGAAATATTTACTGAACACCGCTGAATTTTTATCATCAGCAGGGATGTTAACATTCTAATTCTTTGACTTCTCTTGCTACTTTTGAGTTTTCAACTTTTCAGTATAGTCCACTGATCTGAAATAAGACTGTGTTATCTCTATGCTGTATATAAGTGAAGCCCTGTCCCAGGATTTTCGCCCCCCCCCTACATTTTCGCCCCCCGGGGGGCGAAATTCCTGGGAATATCGCCCCCCCCAGGGGGGCGAAAATCCTAGGAATTTCGCCCCCCTTTAGGAAATTCGCCCCCCTTTAGAAACTTCACCTTTTCTTTAGGATTTTCGTCCTCCGTTCAAAATTTCGCCCTTCCTAACAGTTGCATGGGATAATTATTACATGGCTTTAATCATTTGAAATCAGTATCAATTCAAAATTGTTAAGACAGAGCTTGAAATAACAACCGATCACCGATCAATGATCGGCAAGGAATTGCTTATGATCGGCGGAAAAGCAGGGTTTCGGTTTCCAACCTGAAAAAAGCAGGGAAAGTTACGACTGCCGATCACCATGATCGGGAACTTTGGGAACGTTATTTCAAGCCCTGCATGTAAGAATACAAATTTACAATTATAATTTACATGTATCGAAATGGCTTTACACAGTTACAGTAGATCAATACTCAATAGGACTTATGACGCTTCACAGCACACCATGCATATTTTGCATATTCAGTGTTAATCCTTAAACTCATTGTTAAAAAGTAATCACCGTGGTGGTTATTGTAATTATTGGTATTGTTCTGCATCTACGTTTTGTCGTTATCGGAAAATGTATAGTTTGTCACTATCTTTTACTTGCATTATTTCAATATAGTTTGTAAATCTCAGAAGCGAAGGGTAGAACTTGCCAATAGGCAATAATCCAATAATATACGTTTCAAAAAAGACAAGAAAGCTTTTAGTTTTGCAGAGTTACATTCCCAAATGTTAAAGGCATGCACTAATAAAATCAAAGTATCATGAAATTATTTGAATAAACCACACCACATATATAATGCAATTTTCTTTGCGAAGTGAAGAATCAAGATTACATCACTGACACGGAAAGTTGACGATTCAACGGACAATAGTCAATACGCTTCCCAACACATTCCATAGATTTTTTACTAATCCTATAGTTTATTGTTAGCAAGTGATTACTGTGGCGGCTATTGTTAACACTCGTATTGATAAAATTTGCAAGCGATTGTTTTTATAATATGTTATGTGAATGTAAACTGCCAGAAGAATACGACAACACGATTTTATGCGATCTCTGTGATGGTTCCACTTTAGATGTGTAGAATATGACACTAGTCTAAGTACCTCAAATGAGTGGTTATGCAGACTGTGCACACCACCAGCTGCTAAGAAGCCTAAAATGTGTATGTGATTTTGTCTCCTTGTAATAAATAAATAAATCACACAATAAATCTTTTCAACTTGCAATCGTTTTGTTTTTAGATCAAAAATTCAAAATTTATATGGGGGGGGGCGAAATTCCTAAAGGGGGGCGATATTCCTAGGAGATTCGCCCCCCTGGGGAGCGATATTCCTAGGAGATTCGCCCGGGGGGGAGGGCGAATATCCTAGGAATATCGCCCCCCTTTTGGGAGGGGGGGGGGAATCTCCTGGGGGGGCGAATCTTCTGTGACACCGGAAGTCACTGGCCGCCACCCGATTCTGGGGCCTCACTTTTGTGGCATTAACTTGAGAAAATAACTAAAGGTCACTAAACATTGTTGCAGCTTGCTTCAAGCCTGTTGCGAACATGTCTTGTTGGCACCGTAGATTACCCAACCTGCAAAATAAAGGGGCTTTTTCCACGATTATAGAATATGATATCAAGGTGAATGACTATCTTTTTGTAGGGTGCGTTTTCAAGACTGGACCCAACAGGTGAATTTAAAGAAGAAGCTATCAACAAGTTACCAACATCTCGTCTGGGAGAAATCAACGAACTGGCCAATCTAGCTGCATACCTTGTCAGCGATTATTCAAATTGGTTAACTGGAGAGGTTTGTGGCGAGAAGATTTCCTCTAATATCAGTTGATTATTGCATCGGAGGGTCTGAAGCCCGGATGAACGGAGGATGAGAGTGCATGAGAGATGGTAGTCACGCGACCTTTGTTAGCTGTTCTTAATGCTTTCCCAACACTATCATGTATTTTATTGAAGTTAAAACATAGTTAGAACACTCTTCAAACCTTTACTTTGTTTATAATCTAGAGCTGCAAATGTCCCCGTAACAATGCGTGTCCTCATTTGACAGGGGCTTAAAGGGTGATTTCAGCTGTAGACTGAAATTGATCAAGGCAAGAAGAACCAACACCACAGCTCAGAAAGAGCGTCTTAGAATGAGTAACGCTGCAAAGAGTGCATGGTTGCTAAATGTTATAAAATGAAGAAAATATAGCCATGTGAAGTTCGCAAATTTTGTATATATTCGTATTACGAGAGGTAAAAATAACCACTTTCGGCTCAAAAATGGTTATTTTTCCCGCGCGTAATGCAAATATATACAAAATTTGCGAACTTCACAGCGCTATATTCAGGGACGTCGCTATAGGGGGTGAGGTGTGTGGGGGGGGTGTAACAGCCCCCCCCCATAATTTAAACGTTGTTCAAAGTTGGTCAAAATGGAAGTGATATTTGCCCAAAGTTGGTCAAAACGGGAACTGATATTTGCTTAAAGGTGCCCTACAGTCCGATCTGCGCATGTGCACAAAGGAGCCCACTTTTTATGATACAAACAGTTTAACTATGTTTTGGGTTCTTGCAAAGCCTGATTGTTGTTTCTTGATCATTTATTATACTCTACAAGCTTGAAAATATAAATAGTTGTCGAATAAAGCTCAATATTTTGGACACAAAAATGTAAACAAAGGCTTTGTTTACATACGGACTGTAGATCACCTTTAAAATTGAAGGTGAAACTGGAAAAAATGGATTTCGTTCTTGTCTATAGATCAAAATTTCGTCTATAGCGCTGGAATCATCCAATGGCTTCAAATTCTCACGAGCACGTATACTTTTTATTTCAAACGGCTTTGGATAGTGGTTAAATTTGCTACTGCCAATCAAAGTTTTTTCCGCATTTCAGCATTTTTACCTTAGACTCAAATCATTCAATTTACAAAACACTTCATTTTTCAAAATCCCACTTGAAAGAAAACAATGTCAATATGTCATGTGCAGTGCTTTCGCTTATAGGTAATCAATCTTGATGGTGGTGAGACAGCTGGCATGGGCGAGTTCAATGGATTGTTAAAAGTAATTTTATTAGTACTGTATTCTGTAATGAACTTTGCTGTCCCTTAATTAGGATTAAAACTGGAAATAGTGCACTTTCGAAAGGTTCTCATGACTGCCAGGGCTCAAAATAACGGGAGATAGGTCTCCGGTCGAAATGACCGGTCAACTTGATTTTAGCTCGGTCAAAATCTGTTTTTGATACGCTTACACTAACAGTGAAACAAACTATTAGAAACTTGTTTCGATACATCGTTTCATGTTTTAATTCAAGACGTCAGCAATCACATTGCAAGGCATGAAAATGTGGCCGGTCAAAATGCCCGGTGATGTAAAAAAATGACCGGTCAAGAGGCATATTTGGTCATTGTCCGTTGACCGGCCGTTATTATTAGTATTGTCATGTTTCCATTGCAATTTCACTTATCATAATATACTCTAATATTAATACACGGTTCTTATAAGCAACTCGGGTACTTACAGTAACTGCACGACTTTCGATATCTGGGTACTATGTAGATCTATGTATCCATGTTTAGCTGGTACCGCATATATAACTAGCAAACTGTGCAAGGTATTTGAAACTGATATCTCAGACATGTCTTGACAGGAAACACGATTGAACTGATGGGATGAGACAAGCCTAAGGAATATTGGAGTGAATTATATGCGTTAACTTTGTACATGTAAATGTGTTCCTTGCTCTAGCTCATAGTTTCAGGAAACATGGCAGGGGCGGATCTAGGGGTCGTCAAACCAGTCACGCGACTAACGTAAAAATTGCAAACTTAATTAAAGTCTTAAATATGCGACCAATATTCCAGTTATTTTTTATCATGCAGCGACATTTTATAATAGTCCAGTATCTATTATCATGCAGCGCTAGCAATTAACATTCCAATCGAACTGTAGTCCAGTGATCAAATTTCATACAGTGGTTGAGCCGACGAGCTTAGTCAAGTCAATGAGCAGCTGACATACGCAAAGTCGGTCAGTCAAAAAGTCAAAATACAGTGTTTTGATTGGTCTAGACGCTTATTGCCATGGTAACAAGCGATTTTGTGCGATTTTGACTGATCTGTGGGGAGTTCTGACCGATTTACAAAAGTCAGGGGTGCTCCATTAGGTCGGAATATCATTAATATTTGACGCATGCTAAGGTCTTTCCGAGCGCGCGCTCATTCGAAGTGTCATGTTGTAGCTTTGTCGAAAGATTCAATTTAAAGATATCTACGGAAAATTCGGAAATGTCTGCTGCTCCAGACTCCAGTCCTTGTAGTATTCACGAAACGGTTCAATCCGCATTTGCGGTGAATGATTTAGCTGTCTTACAAGACTGTTGCGCTGATCTTGGGAGGAAAATCAACGCTAAATATCGGAGAGTTCCATTCAGTGAGCAGTTGCTAAGCGGCGTAAGCGCCACGAATAGCACGAAGTACATTTTGACTGTTTGAGTAGAAGTATTGGCGCCGAGATCTTTATTCTGAAGTGCAATAAGGTAAATTTAATGTGATATGTAAATTTTATTTCGTTTTAGACAGCATAACAATATTTATAAGCGAACAAGATGCGCGCCATGCATATGTAAAATTGTAACTTGATTACGCGTATCTTGATTTAGCTATGAATTTTGATTTACACAACAAATTTGCATATTTGTAATTCTGCGGTTGAAGGTCCGTCAGAACTCAGAAGGCTATTAATATGGAGGATAACCTATATAAATGCATTAATGCAGTGTACATAGGATATAAAGGTCAGGTTTTATAGATGAATGTTAAGACTTTAATATTGATATGTTTATTTGAGTAATATGACACTGTAGTGATCACTAGTCAAGTGATCAATGACTCAACAAGGCTATTAGGCAACAAAAATTAGTGTAGTACTATCATGAAATAGTTAAACATAATACTAGCAATCCGTAATTTGATAAAATGAAACATCTTCCACAATTATCACATTTCTGCAAGTACTTCTCCTTTACTTTTCCCTAAGGAGCGAGTTGTGAGAGTCAGTCAGACTGATAGTTGCTATAATTATCTCCCATTTCATGAAGTTAATTTTTTTTGAAGCTGCTTTCAAAGTGATGCAAATTGCATTTCGGAGGTTTAAAAATATAAAAATTCCTGGGGGACAGACCCCCCTAGGTGCCTCGCGCATTCGCTGCCCGCAAAACTAGATTGTACATCCGAAAACTTTGACTAACGTACGAAAAATCCTGGATCCGCCCCTGCATGGAACCTTATTAGTTATTACGAGCTTAAATACTTGGCAATATTAATAGTTGGAGTAATTAAGCATATGAAGTTGAAGTTGGGCAAATTTCATTCCGCCTCCCTAATTTTTCCCTCCCATATACTCCTATGCAATGAAGGACATCCGAAAATGTCGAACTGTCAGACCCTACAGTATTAAAATGTGATTCCTCATGTTTGATGTTTTAGGTAACAAATGAACAATGGGACATGTTGGAAGCTATGGTCCGAAAATCATCAAAATCTCCAAAATCTAAGCTGTAATGTTACATCTGTACATTACCACATTGATGTCAAGTTTTGTAGCAACTTGCCCAATATTTTTAAAGTTCTTATGGCAGGCATAAAAAATAGATTGTGAAATGTGTTAAGCATTAATTTTTTAGTACAATTTTGTCCTTATAATGATGACTTTAAAGTTGGTGGCTGGTTAGTAGCAAGCAGCAATCTTTTATTAGTTTCCCTTGGTGGGTCTGTAAGTGGGCTAATCTTTTATATGAGATACAACTACCTGAAAAATACAAAAAGAACTTGACTAGTTAGACTAGTTAGTAGATTAGTATCTACAGTGTTGGTAGATGTAGGGCCTTCGCTCAAAACATCAAAGTACTCTTTGTGTTTTTCAAGAAGCATTGTATCAATCATACAAATCATTGTTGCTTGTATTCATCGCTACCCTCACTGGCACTGGCCATTAAAGTTAATATATCAAAATTAAGAAATTAACTCGGCCATTAAAAAAGTATATCGTATCAGTAGTATGCATTACTGTAAAGTTTGATTACATTTGGATTATTATTAAATATAGTTTTACTAATTAATGCATTAATTTGTGCAAGAAATATATAGCTTATATAACTTATACTGTAGCTTATATAGCACATTCTCCATGGCGAATGATCAAATGTGCCTTATCAAATACACTGTATATCCTTCAGTTCTCTGGGACCAGAAGGCTGCATTGAACGTGACTTCAGCCTTGTTATTTTTCTCTCACTGTCTCATAAATAAGGTTCAAGCACAACAGTTATAACCCCCACTCTTTTGCTTTTTGTCATGAAGGTCCAATGTGAATCCATTCTCCTGGTGATGATCATCACATTTCCTTCTGCTTTTAAAAATCTTCACTGAATATTTCCCAAGTTCTTTTAGCAAGTTTTCAACTCCTTCATTTGTCTTTGCTGATGTCCAAAAATTTGCAAATATGTATTTTTTTTTGTCATGAAGAAAAGCTTTCTCTCTTTCCTCTGGGACACCATCCTCACCAGGAGGCAAGTCAATTTTATTTCTAACAAGAATTCGTTTTGCTGTAGGTTGATAATTTTTGAGATTGTCAATAATATCAGACACTTCTTGTAAAGAGTCTCCATTATTAGCACTATATACTAGAAGAACAAACTGGCTGCGTCTATAATATGACTCCGTAATACTGCCATGTCTGTCCAAATCAGCTGTATCCCAAAATTCCAACTAAAGATAAAAATATATGTATTGATTTTAGGAGGTGCTTACTTTTTAGTATTGTCATCATATCACCCCTCCATCAGAAAAAAAGATAATGGATTTAATGGATTAGACTTCTCAAGTACCCGAACCAGAGTGATATGGCCTCGGGACAATGTTCTGCCTTCATTTCGGTGCAATACAGCCTTCTGGGAAGTATATGACCTTGGCTAAAGGGCCTTGCATGTTTTCATGATTGAGTTGTTGGGCTTTAACTTATGTCACAACACGAAAACGAGGCTCTATGAATATATAGCCAAAGTGACATACTTTCCAGAAGGGTAAATTCCATATGGAAATATTCCCTATGCCAATTAATTCTTTACAGTCTTGATTTGTATAGCACCTCTCAAATTAGGGTTGGGGGCCCTGGTTGCAGTAAATTGCCCCCTATATCAAATATGTTGCCACATTATTTTGTGTGTGAGTGGGATCGGTGAATATAAAAATGCAAAGGCCCAATTTGGCAATTGACGTGATCCCAAGCACAAGTTACTATACAGAAAAAATTTAAATGTATATTGTCTTCTAATTAAATTATAATTGTCTATAAATTCCGGCTCCGATTTTCATGTCTAGTCGACTTCTTACCGGTATTACAGTTTCATGTTTGTGGAATATTTCCTCATGCATTCGTTTATCTACGAAAGACTGTGTTTTTTCGTCGCTGAAGTCTTCCTTAAAAATTCTTCTAAACAAACTTGTTTTACCCACATTATATGCACCAGTAAAAGCGACCTTGTAAGGTTTTATTGGCCGTTTATAATTTGCAACAGAACCGTCCTGAGCGCCTTGGTTGTCTGCCATATTTCAAGATCCTTACAAGTCACCTAGACTTCCTGTTTCAATTTGTTTCAAACGATTTGTGCCAGAAAACCTATTTGTGCTATTACGTTGTGCTGATTGGCTGATTTCCCAGGAAATATGCCAAGGTCACGCGATCACGCATATAAACATAAATTTTGAGTGTAAATTTTATGTATTTTTTATTGAATGCAAAAATCTCACATCTTGTAGCAAGTTTGTCAACAAGCCGTCGACAAGTTGTCTTCGCACTGCTTGTCACAAATTGTCAACAAGTTTGCCTTTTGAACAAGCTGTTAACAATTTGTAACAACCTGGTAACGTCAACCTTGTAACATTCTTGTTTATCATGACTGTATCAGCTTGTTAGAACAACCTTGTGACAAGTCTGATAAATGCCAACAAGCTTGTTACAAACTGTTAACAGCTTGATCCAAACTTGTTCCAACAACGTACTGGGAACAAGCAGTGCGAAGACAACTTGTTGACAGCTTGTGAACATATTTGTAACAACTTGTTTGCAGACTTGTAACAACTTGTGCGTTTTTAATACGTGTGTAATAGTTGCATTTTCGCAGCTCCTCTTGCAGTAGGTCAAAAAAGGTATAAAATTTTAATCAACTCGACATTTCCAAAATCCCTGTAGTTATTGCCTGCGCTGCGGGTTTTCGACACCTTAAAATCGGGTCTAGCACACTAAAACAAGATGGCGGCATTCGGCCGGCTCTTTCCTGTTGTACTTCGCAAAAATTGCAGCAAAATTCTTAATACTTCGCTTGGAAAATATACAAACGGTGTGTTAAGTGGTGTATCCTAGTACTGCGTACAGTAATAGACCTCATTTCGTTGGTAAAATGTTAGAATATGTCACCCAAAAAAAGAGAAGAATATTATAGTGTAGTATTGTAGTATATTGTACATATATTCATATTTAGATAATTTGTAGTTTATTTAACAAATAGATAAAATTTTGCCGTTGTCTGTTCAGTTATAGATACATAGTATGACGTCATAATTTGGGAAGAACAAAAAAGTGGTTCACGAGTTGTCGAGGCGAGTGGGTCACTTTTTTGTTCTATAACTGATAAATTGAACAGACAACGACAAAATTTTATCTATTTGTTATATATAATAAAAAGAAAAACCACGAATTAAATAGGTAAATAGCTTACTTTTTATCCACCCAAACATTTTGAAATTTGAAAAAGTCAAAATTTTACAAATATCACACATACATTATCTATACAAATAAGGGAATGCTATTGGCTACCTTAATTGTAACATAATTATGTGTGTCTGTCCTCTAATAGATCATGGCTCTCAACCAATGAAAGCGCTTGAATTCTTAACGTTGTTATATCATGGCTCTCAACCAATGAAAGCGCTTGAATTCTTAACGTTATTATATAAATACTTATATACATGTATTCAGTGGGTTGCCCAGTTTCGGACAGTACCAATACTCGTCAAGGGGAGACGCTCAATGGGTTAATATCCTGCAGCTTTAAAATCACATGCATCAGGGCATAATGTAACTTAAAGAGTTAAAACTGGAATTTATGTTGGTTTGACAGGGTTGATATCGTTGTGTGGCACAAACAAATTACTATCTACTCAACCTGCAATTAAAGGTATGTGGAAAAATCCCTTAGATATGACATAATAATATTACCTGAATGTTAAGTTTACCAACGGGTTGCATGGACTTGATTCAAGTTTTGTTTTTCGCTAGATCTGAGGCAGTATAACATAGCCATATAGAGCAGGGGAAGAATGGGTCGACATGTTGGATCAACATTGTCACAACTTGTTAACAAGCTTGCTACAAACCTGTTGAGGAGACATCTTGTTGACAAGTCGTACGTTGGAACAGCATTGTCACAACTTGTTAACATGCTTGCTACAAGCCTGTTGCGGAGACATCTTGTTGACAAGTTGTTGGAACAGCATTGTCACAACTTGTTAACATGCTTGCTACAAGCCTGTTGCAAACAAATCTTGTTGACAAGTTGTTGGAACAGCATTCTCACAACTTGTTAACAAGCTTGCTACAAACCTATTCAAACACATCTTGTTGACAAGTTGTTGGAACAGCATTGTCCCAACTTGTTAACAAGCTTGCTACAAGCCTGTTGAGGAGACATCTTGTTGACAAGTTGTTGGAACAGCATTGTCACAACTTGTTAACAAGCTTGCTGCAAACCTATTGCAAACACATCTTGTTAACAAGTTGTTGCAACAGCATTGTCACAACTTGTTAACAAGCTTGCTACAAACCTATTCAAACACATCTTATTGACAAGTTGTTGGAACAGCATTGTCCCAACTTGTTAACAAGCTTGCTACAAGCCTGTTGAGGAGACATCTTGTTGACAAGTTGTTGGAACAGCATTGTCACAACTTGTTAACAAGCTTGCTGCAAACCTATTGCAAACACATCTTGTTAACAAGTTGTTGCAACACAATTGTCACAACTTGTTAACAAGCTTGCTACAAACCTATTCAAACACATCTTGTTGACAAGTTGTTGGAACAGCATTGTCCCAACTTGTTAACAAGCTTGCTACAAGCCTGTTGAGGAGACATCTTGTTGACAAGTTGTTGGAACAGCATTGTCACAACTTGTTAACAAGCTTGCTACAAGCCTGTTGAGGAGACATCTTGTTGACAAGTTGTTGAAACAGCATTGTCACAACTTGTTAACAAGCTTGCTACAAACCTGTTCTGGAGACATTTTGTTGACAAGTTGTTGGAACAGCATTGTCAAAATTTGTTAACAAGCTTGTTGAAGAAGTGAATGAGCTATCCTGGACTGAGACTCTATGGAGAACAGTTTATATAAGCAGAAATGATGGAGCTATATATCGATTTCAAAATGAATACGTTTAAGCTTGTTTATCCTAAGTTAATTCATTAAACTTTAAATAAATTGTGTGTTATTTAGGGTTACATAAAAAGTTTACTTGAAGAGAAATTTTCCTCACACTTGGATTTCGTGTTACGAGAACCAATCTTGTTTGGTGATTATCGAAACTCTCTGACAGGAGAACCTCGAGTTTATGAAGATGTCGTCGATTATGAAGCTTCTAAAGCTGTCTTTGAGGAGGTGGGTTGAATATAGAGTAGGGTCTCTCTCTGTCGTCCCACTATTATTAGACAGATTTAGATCGAGGACGTGGATGTCAAAGACGATATGAACATGGCGTGGCATATCCATAAATGGACACAACACGCCATTTTCGCGTCGTCTTTGACGTCCGCGTCCTCAATCTAAATATGTCTATTGCACCTAACATGACGGTCAATGCAACAACAATTCGGAATATTCTTAGTGTTATGAATATTATGAATTTTATATTTCTTGGCTTGTGGAAAACACCATTTATTGTATATTTACCATACATTTTCGTGGTGCTTTGCACAAGCCAAGAGTTTTATTCGTTTGTCGCAATGCAAACTTTCAAGCATATATATCTTTAACTGTCTGTGCCAGTGTAGGTAGTGCCAATCAAATAAACAAGCTTTCGTTGGTAGGGATACAACTACCTGAAAATATATAAGGAGAATTTCGACGTTTCGAGCGAAGGCCGTTCGTCTGGAGTTATTTCAACTTGACTCTATTTCAGATATGATTTCATTTCAACTTTTCGTTTTATTTTAGATCATGGAAGAATACAACATGGACCACACTGTGATGAACCTGGTGCTCTTCGACGACGCTTTGGAACATTTAACCAGAATCCACCGCGTGATTCGCATGAGTCAAGGCCACGCCCTCTTGGTGGGTGTGGGGGGTAGCGGAAAGCAAAGTCTCACGCGTCTCGCTGCGTTTGCTGCCGGGGCTGAGGTGTTTGAGATTACACTAAGTCGAGGCTATGATGAGTCGAATTTCCGAGAAGATCTCAAAGTTCTGTATCAGAAACTTGGAATTGAAAATAAAGTGATTGTCTTTCTGTTCACTGATGGACATGTCGCTCAAGAAGGTTAGAAAATACTTAGGGCCTTAGGGGTATAGAAGACTCTAAAAGTCCCGCGATTTCATACTCATTATTTTCCAAAGGGAAGTGAGATGACCATTTTGATTTTATTCGGTTACATGGTCAAGTGAATTTATAATAATAATAATAATAATAACTTCTTTATTTAAACTGGTAAAAACCGATCAGCTAACAAATATCAGCTGGTATAAACCGATGACCAGCATTAATATATAAATAGTTTGATCAAGTCCTAGGACTGGATGAAGTTTTGATCAAGTTTTAGGACTAAATGAAGTTTGATCAAGTCCTAGGACTGGATAAAGTTTGATCAAGTCCTAGGACTGGATAAAGTTTGATCAAGTCCTAGGATTGAATACAGTTTTGATCAAGTCCTAGCACTGGATGAAGTTTTGATCAAGTCCTAGGAATGGATGAAGTTTGATAAAGTTCTGGGACTAGATCGAATTTGAATTTTTTCCTAATTTTATGGATTTTTCATTAAGGTACAAATGTCACAAACAATACAAATTTGTATGTAAAATATTTTTTAGGATTTCTGGAGTTGATTAACAACATGTTGACATCTGGTATGGTACCAGCTCTGTTTCCAGATGATGAGAAAGAAGCCATTATTGGTCAGGTACAGTCAGCTACGTTGTTTAGTCTGTTAATCGTATACACTCCGATATAATGACAAGCATGACAAGTCCTGCTTGGGCCAACTATAGGAAACGTTGCTATTGATGTTTCCTCGTATTTTTTTCCCAATTTACCAACCCTCTGTCAAAATTGTACTGGAAATTAATAAATCTCCTTTCTAAGAAGCAAAATTGTATCCAATTTGTTTCACGAATGGGACTGACGTATTGTATTGCATTGTATTGTATTGTATTGTATTGTATTGTTTTGTATTGTATTGTATTGGCAAATATGACTGGGAATCAATGTTTTTACTGCAATTTTTCCTGGAGACTTAATCTAATATTGTTTCATTCTGCAATAGGTCCGTGATGAAGCAAGTAAACACGACGTGCCACCAGCTCGAGAGTCTATCTGGCAATATTTCGTGTCAAAATGTGCAAGCAATCTTCACATAGTGTTAGCAATGTCTCCTGTTGGTGAGACCTTGCGTACACGGTGTCGAAATTTTCCTGGTTTGGTGAACAATGCTAGTATCGATTGGTTTATGCCGTGGCCAAAACAAGCCTTGTGTGCGGTGGCTTCTGTTTTCTTAGGAGAAAAGGTGGGCTAGAGATCTTTTCCTTCATACTTTTATTGACTTTATTGCATGTTGACAAGTAATACTTTCTGTGAGTTCGGCAGGCTACACTTCCGTCCTGGAAATTCCACACTTACGTGTTCGTTGTGTTAATATAGTTGTTGTTGTTTGTTGATATTGTTGTTGTTTGTTGATATTACTCAGAAATTTTGTAATAATAGACGTGCAACTATATTAAGGTTTAAACCAATTATTTTTCCAGAATGATAAAATCCCTGCAGAGTACAGAGAGCGCGTGGTGGAACATGTTGTATTTGTACAAGAGACTGTCGTGAAATACAGCAAGGAATTCTTACTCAAGTTACGGCGTGTGAATTATGTCACTCCTAAGAACTATCTGGACTTTATTAATACTTACACCAAACTGTTGGAGGAGAAGGATAAATACGTCTTAGAACAGGTAGGCCAAACAGTTTCTGATCGACCTGTTAAAAATTCGACCTGTTAAAATTGTTTTGATATTTGATTTATTAGCAGATTTTTTAGGTAAAAATAGGCTAAAGACCCCAAACACTTTTAGGTGGACTCAGGAATAATTAAAAACACATACAATTTGGGGCCTTATTTTGTCGCAATTAAGTCAAAGTAAAGCAAAAGAAAATGTTTGACTGAGCCCACGATGCTATATCAATGAATGCTCAGCGGCATGCCCATTCTTCTGTGCAATTTGTGGTCGCGTTTCGGCGGCCGTGGAGACCAAACACCATAATTTTCTCGATTTTTTTTTCAGTGTCATCGTCTTGATGGTGGTCTGAGTAAGCTGTTGGTAGCCAGTGATCAGCTCGCTGAACTCAACGAGAAGCTGGCCATACAGAAAGTAGCTGTGACAGAAAAGAGCGAAGCTTGTGAGAAGTTGTTGGCAGAGATCTCACAAAACACGGAGAAAGCCATGGAGAAAAAACAGATGGCGGAGGCAAAAAAGGAGGAAATTAATCAACAGAATAAAATTATTGTTGTCGAAAAGGTAACTGGGGATATTATAGAGAACATTTATGTTAAAATTTAAGTAGGCTCTTTTCATGAATGTCTAAATATGCTAAAACGATGAGTGACTGGATTGTATGAAGAATAGTGGGGTTTTCAAAAAAATGAAAAGACAATGGAACATTCCCATCACTGGATCGTGACTTAAACTAAGTATTATTCAAAGACCATAAGGAGATAAGAAATAACTATATATTTCACGACACATTTTTTTTAAATGATATGTATGTAAATCTCCTTGTTTGATAAACGCCCCTCTCAATGGGACAACATATAATGCAACAGTATGCTGTTCTTTGTTTCTCACTTTTTTAATGTTTCTTCTTTTCATCAGAAAGAGGCAGAAGACGCTCTGGCAGAAGCATTACCAGCTTTAGAAGAAGCCAGACTGGCTTTGCAAGATTTGGATAAATCGGATGTCACTGAAATAAGGTGAAACATATACTCACTTGGAGTTTCCACCAAACCCAGCATTCTAGTTCAACCAAGTCAAGTGCAAAGCGCATCTTACATGCACTGTAGCGGGGAGAACTTAAATCAACAAATGTTTCTTCCACCTAGATCGTTCGCCAAGCCTCCCCAAGCCGTACAAGACATCTCAGAATGTATCGTTGTCATGCGTGGTTACAAGGATATTTCTTGGAAAACGGCGAAAGGCATGATGGCTGAAGGCAACTTCCTAAAAACGTTACAGGTAGAAGATGCTAATCCTTCTTTATCGAGCGCTTCTGGTTGCCAGGATGCGACTTATTTCTTATCACAGAGCTTAGCTGAGTTGAAGGGTTTGTAGTTGATGGTGGGGGATGAGAGCCGGAAAACCCGAAGAAAAACGTTTGAAACAGAAGAGAGATTTGAATTTGCTTTATGAATCTTATGTCATGTCTTTTATTTTCAAATGTTTCAATGTCTTTTTAAAAATGCTAAACTGCTAAACATTGATTGCAAATACCTTAGATTTTAAAAATTTCCAAGTGGATAGCATAGTTGTTCGAAGGCTACGCTAAACAACTTAGTCACAAATTCTTAACAAAAGGCCCTGGCATCGACCGACTATTGTTATTATTGCAGGAACTGGATGTAGATGGCATCACAAGCGCTCAAGTGAAGAAGACCAAGGACATATTAAAACAAGTCAACTACACTATGGAGGAAATGCAGGCAATCAGTAAAGCCGGGTCTGGACTGTATAAATTTGTACTGGCAGTCATGGGCTATTGCTCTGTAGCGAGGGAAATTAAACCCAAACGAGAAAAAGTAAGTCCACTTATAATTATTTGACAGCAAAAATTGCAAGTGTAAACTGGTTTTTATGCTTTTGTAAACTTTTCTGAACAACGGTAACTAAGGACACTCTCGTTTGACCGGGGCTTTAGCATTATTTTTTGCCTATCTAGGTTGCGAGGTTAGAACGGAATTTCTTATTGAGCAAGCGAGAATTGAGCAAGATTGAAAAAGAAGTCAAAAACTTGGAAGATGAACTGAAAGCATTGAACGACAAATATGAAGCCGCCATGTCTGAGAAAGCTGCCTTACAACAAGAGGCTGAAATCATGGAAAGAAGATTGATTGCTGCTGATAAACTGATCTCTGGTCTCGGTTCTGAGAAAATAAGGTAATGCTGATGTGAAGTATTACAGGTAAACGACGTCAACCGTTCCTCTTTTGAGTTCCTAACATATACTTGATTGCAATTTTGCTTATTACCTTTGCAAATTTGAAAAACGTCCTTGCAATTCCCTCTAGGGAATTCGCAGTGTTTCTAAAAGCCATTTAAATTTTCTTCCGTTCCTGTTAGAAGTTCTTATTAACTTCCTGTTACAAGTTCTTAACCTAACTTCTTCTGTTCTGTTCTGTTCTGTTCTGTTCTGTTCTGTTCTGTTCTGTTCTGTTCTGTTCTGTTCTGTTCTGCACGTTGCAAATGGCTAACAAAAATAATCCATCCACCAATGACAACGCTCAGAACAGAACAGAACAGAACAGAACAGAACAGAACAGAACAGAACAGAACAGAACAGAACAGAACAGAACAGAACAGAACAGAACAGAACAGAACAGAACAGAACAGAACAGAACAGAACAGAACAGAACAGAACAGAACAGAACAGAACAGAACAGAACAGAACAGAATAGGA